GTACTTAAAGATAACTTACTAAATGTCAAAACAGTAGTTAATTGGATGAAAGTTGTTATCTAATGAAACAAATGTCTTATATGTCTTCATATTGTATACACTATTGTATAATACAGTCAATACTATTGTTGTAGAGAAACAAAACAGTTATCACACATTCAAACAGTTATTAGTTGTCAATAGAAAAAACATATAAAGTGTGGGAAACAAGTCTTTTTTTATTTGCTTCTCATAATATGACAAACAAATACTCTATTATAATATAGACTGATCTCATGAGACAAATGAAAACGATATGAACGTTAAAACTATGCGCCACTGCATGTCATGACATCAATAGACCAAATGTTACTCAAGACACGAGACATGTGCCCCAAACACACTACTCTTGTTTGATCCCTGAAGTTGTGTCAATGCAATGCGTGCGCACCCGACCTCATGGACTGATCCACTTTACACGACATACCGACGCTGACGGCCATCACATTAACTGATCGCTTAAATGAGGCTTAAAACCAACATTTATTGAATTCTTCCAATTAATTAATTGTTATATAAAGTGTTTAATTACTCTTTTAAATGACATTTTATGTCATTTTGAGACATATTTATCACTTCGCAAATACTCATCATTTTTTAATTAATATTATATATAAATTTTATATATAAATGTATATATACTGTATTAATAATCTCTAATTAAAATATCAAATTAAATTAAATCAGTTATAATATCATAAATAATAATATACATATTAATAAAATTGTATTACATTGAAAATATGTAATAATTACTATAATTTTTAAATTAAGCTAAATCTTAGAATAGTGTTGTAAATTTTATACAATATTTTTAATAATAATATAATGCAAATATACTCTATTATTAAAAATACACTAAATTCAAATAATTTATTTCAAAAATTATTTTTAAAATTATAAAAAGTATTAAATATTACATTTCTAATCTATTATTAAAATAATGGTTCAGTAGTTCGATGATATTAAATGTAAATATATAATTTATATGTAATATAATGTATATATAGTATGTTTATTGCAATAAATATATATTTAAAAAGTTAGTAAAACAATCAAACATTTGAAACAATTTTCATGTAATGCCTTTAAAATGTAGAAAATATGTACAAAAAAGATGTAATAATCACACAAAAAGCACATCTGATTTATTGTACGCCCAATGCTTTTGGTGAGTAAGGCGTTCAGAAAAAAGTTCAATTCATTTGCTAACGGGTCGGCCCTTACTTAACAATAGATATGTCGCGCAACTGAATAATAGTTACTTTACTGATATATCACACAACAAAAAAATAGTCTGAAAACAAAATAGCAGTGAATCAGTGCTAACGATCGTTACCATTGCATTAGTGCCTCTCAATCATATCCCAGCCCCTACTGGTCTGATCCGTTTCAATGATATTATATGTTATATTTTACGCTCAGAAGTGTTCAAAAAATTTAAGTTAACTTTGGTTTTGGCTTTACTGTTGTTGAGTCACTCAATTGACAATTTTGTAAAACACGATTTTGATATCACTATCTAAATAATAATTGCAAAACATATCAGAGCAACAAATCCTTTGTTCAAATGGGTTGACCATCGAAATGGATCCAAAAATAAAAGACAATCACTAGAAAGGGATTTTTTTAAAGCTTCACATTTTATGATACAATTGTTGTTATATAATCTATAACTATATATATTATATACACTAAGACTATACACACATATTATTAGCCACTTGTCTATTGTTCATAACGATTCACATCACTAAATAAGACCGGATCTCATGTTTTATACTCGACTAAAGCTAATACTAGTGAACACTTTACAAACAAACACTCATTTCTCTGATAATCTTTAGCTTTAAAGTTGTGTTTTTACTTCAATAAACTTTTTTCATTTTGAGATAAACTAAAAATATTTGACCAAATGATTGACCAAATGAAAGCCATAATATAACAGTAATTACAAATGTTTTCAACTATTTCTTTCACGTTTTGCTCTTATCATAAAAAATTTATTTTTAATATCACTTGATATATATATATATACGGTATATACCGGTTATCTATAAATTACATTATATAATATATAACTGCAATTCAGCTAAAATTGTAAAACACTATATATAGCTTTATAATTATTAACTGTAGATTAAATTTATTATATATTAATTAATATCTTTTTAATTTATATATAAATTATATATTAATAATTATTTGAAACTTTAATAATCTAGATTATTACATGAGTTTATATTATTTTTTGCTTAATAAAAATTATTTTTTAACAATGATATTTAAATTATGAAAAGTTTTTTTAAAAAATTATTTTGTAAAGAATACAGTTAAATTATATAACATGTCTAAATGTGTGTTTATAAAAATAAACTTTAAAATTATTAAAGCATTTTTGTGACACTTATTACTGAATACATACTTTTCAGAAATGTTTTATTATTCCATATATTAATAATTAATACTAATGCTAAAGATATTAAGTTTTTTTTTATTTTTCACTCACTCACTCACTCGCACTTATAATATAAGTATTAACTATATTTTACATCCTATATTGTTACCATTAATACGGTATGTGGTAATATATGTACTGTACATAAAACTTTCTTGTATAAGCACAGTTGAAAAAGCTAAACTAGCATGCTCAGACCAACTTCTAAATTGTATTATAATCTTTGTATTATATAAATATACAAATTGATTTATATCAATCATTATAAATGTTATATATTATACAATGTATTCATATATAAAGCATGTATAGATTGTATCTTTAAAATATGCACTTTTACATTAATATTTTATCATTAAATTATCTTTAAATCATTTTCATGGATCATAAAATATAATTAAATGTTATTGAAAATTATAATAAAGATTTCATGGGTCATATGGCACTAAGGGGTTAATGGGCTAAAGGGGGCCAAATCTGAAACCAAAATTATAAAATATTCAAAAAGAAAACATAGAGAACAAACATAACGAATTCAGATATAAAACTTTTCACTATTTTGTGATTATTTATTTTGTATGTCCTAAAGACATATCAAATACTATATTATATCATATAATTTAGTAATAATTACAAAAATTATTTTTTAAAAACTGTATTAATATATTATCTATGTCTAATAATTTATTATTATTATTATTATTATTATTATTATTATTATTATTATTATTATTATTATTACAAAACATTGAGTTCATATACAGAAGTTGTCTTCAAAGTGTATAAATATATATAAAAGTATAATAAAGATTAGCTTATCGTTAGACGAGTTGACATCATTTCATATATAATATACTATTTTATGCTAAGCTATTGGTTTAGATTTGACACAAACACATCAATATTTATATATACCGTAAGGTTAATAATATTTTATGTAATACTTGATATTGATTATCTGTTTTACTGAATAACAATATATTGGCAAAAAAAAAGTTTGGTAACAGACAACACATTTACTACTAAAAGTAATAAATATTTTTTAGTCTTCAGAGACAATAAATTTATTTTTATTTATTTATTAAAGTAAACATTTATTAAATTTTGATCGATCATAAACTCATTTATTATTAAATTAACTTACTATAAACTTTGTATTGTAAAAAATTAATTTAATAAAATCAAAAAGTAATTACTTAATATAATAATAATAGTTTTATGTAAATAAAATTAATAGAAATTAAATAGAAATTAAATAGAAATAAATATTTCAAAATAGTTTAAGTAAATAATTTAAATAACCTTATTTTTTATTTAAAATATAAAAACAATTTTATTGGCAAAACATTTACTACTAAAACATGAATAATTGATATTTTCTAATAAATACAGTACTGAATGTATAATTATGTGATTTTTTTTAATTAAAATAAGATTTTCTCATTTCGTTTTTATGTACTGTATTTGTAATTGCTTTCATTAATCACAACAACAAAAAACTATTTTTAAAAAAAATGTTGAATCAAATGATTTTATTGAATTTGTTTTTAATAGAAATTGTTAATTATTTCTATTATTTTAAGCATTAGTTACACAAATCTTTTTCATGTGAAAACCCTATGATTTAAAACAAATAAAAATAAAAATTAAGTCTATATTTATAAATATATAGACTAAAAAATTAGTGGGAATAATATACTGTATATATATATATTAATATCATTATATCATAATTGTATGATATATATATATATATACTGTATATATCGAAATATTGTATATTATGTCTATTATTAACTTAATATTATCATTCAATTTTGGACAATAATCATAATAATAATAAATATTAAATTGGTTTTTATTGCATTAATTAAGTATTTAATGCTTTTAATTGTTAATAAATTGTCACAATTTTCGGTTAAGGTATATAACACCAAACCCACAGTTGTTTATTATGTATTACAATTGATTATGTATTATAATAGTAAATTCATATATGATTTAGAAAACATTTCGATACTTATATATATTTATTTATTTTTACATTAAAGTCAAATAATTTTGTTAATTAAATCATGTATTAGTTGTGTATTACCTAAACTGGTGTTTGCCTCACAACCTAAACCTAATTATAAAGTAAATACTGATATTCAATGTATAAATCATAATTAATCATAATTTTTGCATTTACTTTATAATTAGGTTTAGGTTGTGAGGCAAACACCAGTTTAGGTAATACACAACTAATACATGATTTAATTAACAAAATTATTTGACTTTAATGTAAAAATAAATAAATATATATAAGTATCGAAATGTTTTCTAAATCATATATGAATTTACTATTATAATACATAATCAATTGTAATACATATAATACTGTATAATAAAAACTGTATGTTTTGTGTCATATATTAATATTTTAACCCAATTTTCCTATTGTACTGAAAAGTACTGTTGTTTATGAATACAAAATCATTGAGATTTAAAATCAGCTGAAAATTCAAAATATTTTGCAAACAAAACAATAAAACAATCGATAAATGATTTGACAGACAATTGAAAAGTCATTATTCACTTAATTATTGGTTTATTTGATTTATTTTTGTTTTTGATTTCATTCATCACATTATTAGACATCAAATATGAGTGAAGAGTTGGCTACAAATGGTTTAACATTAGTAGTGAAGTGGAGTTCACACGAGTATACCATCGATTCGGTGACCATTGAGGACACGGTTTTGGATCTCAAGAAAGCTATCTTCAAGAACACTGGTGTTAAACCCGAGCGACAAAAACTTATGGGTCTTAAGAGCAACGGTTAGTCATAGAGGTGTCAGATAATGATTTAGTCATTAATATCTACGATTAACCATTGATAGGAAAGCCGGCCACCGATGAGATGCTGCTCTCCAAAGTCGATATAAGACCTAATATGAAGATAATGATGATGGGCAGCAAAGAAACAGATATTGCTAGTGTTGATCTCTCACCTCAAGACATACCTAATGTCATCAACGACTTTGATATCGGCGATGACATCGAATTGGGGAATATTCCCATTCAAAATAGGGAAGAGTTTTTGGCCAAAGTTGACAAACGGGTTAAAGACTACAAAATTAAGATGTTATCCGAACCCCGAAACGGCAAAAAACTACTCGTTTTAGATATCGATTACACACTATTCGGTATTTTATTTGTTTTTTATACACAATTATTACCATATATTATAACTTATATCAATTGTCTCAATCAGACCACCGATCAACAGCTGAATGTGCGGCACAACTGATGAGACCTTATTTGCATGAATTCCTAACCATTGCTTATGAAGATTACGATATTGTCATTTGGTGTAAGTATAGACTTATTATATTGTGATTATTGATATTTTCTTAATTCTGGTAATAATAATAAAAATAAATGGTTTATAGCGGCGACGGGAATGAAATGGATTGAAGTGAAGATGAGAGAACTGGGCGTTGAAAAGAATACCAATTATAAGATAGTGTTTTATTTGGACAGTTCGGCTATGATTAGTGTCCACACAACCAAATATGGATTAGTAGACGTATACTTAAATTATTAATTCATTATATAAATAAATTCAATTAATTTTTACATAATTTTAATATTAGGTAAAACCTTTGGGTGTCATTTGGGGTAAATTTAAAGAGTATTCGCCAAAGAATACTATAATGTTTGACGACATCCGCAAGAATTTCTTAATGAATCCACAGAATGGACTCAGAATTCGTGCTTTTCGTGAGGCCAACAAAAATAGAGATACAGACAATGAGTTATACTATTTGTCTAAATATTTGAAGAAAATCGCGAAATTGGATGATTTTGGTTCACTTAATCACAGACATTGGCAAAGATATCTAAATCAAGAGTGAGACTTATATTTGTTTGCATTTAATTTGAGTTAATCTACCGAAAACATTGCTAATGTTATATATATTACTTTAATTTCATTTCATTTTGTTTATATTTGCCTAATATGTATGCGGTTTAGTTACTTTGCAAAAAAAAAACTATTACTGAATATTACCAAATTTAAATAGTTTATTAAATAGTGAAAACGTGTCTAAATGAAAATATAAGATACATTTTTAGCCATACATTAATTTGTAAACAGTTATAATTACGATATATGTATCAAACAAGTACTGAAAGAATGTCAGTATTAGTTAATTAAATTAAATTGACGGCCATTTTGACCGCATATTCATTAAGAGTTAAGACATTACTTTTTTCAGAAAATTTTTCCAAATCTGAAGTCAAAATTTTTAAATTTCCAAAATAAAAGATACGACACTCAGTCAGACAAATATAAAAACAATTCACTAATATTATTGTAATATAAATATTCAGTAATATTTTAGTTTTTGCAAATTAATTACTTAAATGTTATTTTAATTTTTTTAAAATTAATTTTTGAGATTCATTACACAATAATCATTACAATTACCGGTATATTTATATTATATACACAGTATATCTTTAATTACATTTATAAATAAAATTTAAGAAAACTATTTTGAGCTGACGTTTCTAGTTTAGACAATTGTGTGACTTCATCGGCTAATTGGCTAACATGACCCTCGTATGTATATCCCTGACCCATATTTTTCTTACCATACGTTACTTTGCCATCAAATTCATTAATTTGTAATTTAAAATCCGATCCAATTGAATCAATAATGCAATTTAAACTTTCCTCGATTTCAGCCAAAATCTAATTATTAATAAAAAGTTTAAATAACTTTAAAATACTACACAATATTACCGTTAATATATTTAGCAATTATAAGATCACCTGAAGTTCATTATACCAAACACAACAACCACCCTCTTCGACGAGTGCTGTCTCATAACAACCTTTCCCTCTGGAATTGCAATTTGAGTGATACCACACTTTTTCCGGTACTTCCGACACTAAGCTTATCGCTAAACCCATTTTTTCAGCTCTACCTAAGAGTTTAATAATTAAAAAGTAAATATTTTAAATAATATATTATTATCTAATAGTACTACACATACCAACTCTTCCAATTCGGTGCAAATAATTAGATTTCTCGTCCGGAAGTGTTAATTGAATAACAAATGGAATTCCTTTAAGTGATACAAAATGTTTAAAATATAACATAACTTAATAAAATTATTATTTAAGTAATTACTTAAAGTAATTAAAATTTTAATAGTTATTACCTTTAATATCAATACCACGAGCGGCAACATCAGTACATATAAGAAAATTGCATTTTCTTTGTTTAAATTTATTCAAATTTTCTGTTCTTTCGTATGGTTTTCGATCAGAATGAAGACAAACACATGAATATCGGTTTTTTGGATTTCCATTACCTGTTTCATACAATTAATAAATCAACAAATTTATTAAATACAGTAAAAACTAAAACTGTTAATCGTATGACAGACTAACCGCCACCGATAGCATTGAAATGCTGTTCCAGTGAATCGCAGTCAAGTTTGGTTCGACAAAATATTATGGACTGATCTATATTTAAGGCATCGATTGCTTTCACAACATAATGTCCTTTCAAACAATTATTTAGACAAAATAAATAATTTCAATACAGTATAACAATATATTCATTTAAATTGTGTTACCTTTAAGTGATTTGATGGCTTCACTTAGCGTTTCTTTATTCGGTTGATTGTAATTAAGTCGATCTTTGGTGTGAACGCCATCCGTTTTATATGTCGTCTTCAGTGACTTCCATAACATGTCTTTTAATGGATCAATTCGATACACTACGTGATGTACAGTATCAGGAATTGAGTCCTCTCCCTATTATATCAATTACATGGTCTAAGGTATATCTTGAGTGACAATAATTTAACTGACCTTTAAGTCAACCCAAGTCGGGAAATACATTACAGTTTCGGCAAACTTTTTGACGTCAAAATTATGTAAAGTTGCCGAACAAACAATCGTTTGAAGTCGTTTACCATCAGAAAACATACGCGGAAGTAATGAATGCCAGCGTTTCAGTAAATTTTGATTTCCTTGTTGTATGAGAGCATCCACTTCGTCGATCACAAAAAATCTATAAATCATTTGTTTTAATTTAACGATTTTAAATCGTTTTTAAAAATATCGATAATTAATTAATTCTTAAATACTAACCGACAGGAGTCGAGTGAAAGATTTCCATTACTAATCAATTCTTCAATACGACCTGGAGTTCCGACAACAATGTCAACGCCAGCTGACAATTGGTCCATTTGGTCTCTGGCATTGACACCACCAATCAGTAACAGTTGTTTTATTTGTCCCGACAATCGTTTCATGAATTGTGTGATACAATCGTATGTTTGTTGTGCTAACTCTCTACTCGGTTCAACAATTAATGCTTTTGGACCTATATTTTTGTTCTTTGAATTCGATGAATTGGAAGCACTTATATTTGATGAAAACTGATTGGGATTGGCATTTGCCACCCAAATACTATTAGGAGGACAATCAGTGCCTAAATTAATAAAAACCAATAATATATTAAATTTTATTTTATAATAAACTTAACGCTAATTCATGATCAAAATAAATACCTGAAAACTTGATACTAATGCCAGCATTTTTGATACAAATAGCCGGAAAAAATACATTTTGTTGAGTCAATTGATCTGACAAACGAAAAGCAATGCCCAGATCTTTGCCTCCTTTAGTAAATGAAATGGTATTTCTATCTAAATCTATAAGATTTCCGATGACATCAAACTTATCGCCAAATGTTTGGCCGTAATTCTCAAAATTTTTCGCTGTACTCTTCTTAGCTGTTCCTCCATAGCCCCAACTTTTCTGATCGCAACCCAACTCAAGATTAGCGCCGGCCAGAGACCAACCAATTCTGGCCAAACCGGGATTTGTGAATTGGACTTCAAAGTAAAAACAATTGCATTTGGCTGACGGATCCTTTAATTATATGATAATTACAAGTCATTGTAGTTAATAATAATCAATAAATATTACTTTTTTGACGCCATAGTTAGCCCGACATCCCTGCCATTTCTGGTCTCCTTTACTTTGAGCCGACAAATAATCAGCACTAAGGGATAGGTTTAGCTCTCTATCAGTTGAACTCAAGCGCCACTGTTTATCACTTGAAGAAGTCTTTGTTCTGCCACCGGATATATCTAAAAAGCAAAGTTTTATTTTATTTGATCTAATAGTCAATTATTAAATAATCAAACCATAAATGGTTTCCCAAACTATTTGAAGTACTGGTAAACAAAATGCTCCGGTCTTTCCAGAGCCGGTCTCGGCTGCCATCAAGACATCACCGCCGCCGAGAATAAGTGGAATGGCTTCGGATTGAATATCAGTGGGAAGTCTAAGATAATTATAACAACAGTTAGCAAACAACACAACCAAATGACCACTTCTTAACATACGTCCACTCCATCTGTTCGACCGCTTCAGCGATCTCTGACATGATTCCCATTTCTGTCAACAATTTAAGACAATTTTTTTGTGACAATTGATTCAAATTAATCAAACAATATATACCTTCAAATGCTGTCATTGTTTTCAATAACTTTATTGTTAATCACTTTTTTGTAACTAATTTTAATTAACATTAAAATCAAAAATTTAGTGAAAAGTATCGTTCAATTGGTGTCTAATATTAGTGTGAATTGACATCAATTACGACAAAATCCTTTTTATCGATCGGTTTGATGTCTGTTATCAATAGTTATTAAATAATACCACAAATTGATTGATATTCATCTAAATCTGATCATTGATTTTGTGAATATCTGTTAATTATTTATAAATGGTTTGATTTAATTCAATTGATTGGTATAAGAGATGATAATTCTTAGCAAAAAAGTTGCCATTTGTTGTTCCCTTCTGTCTGTTTGGGCGATAGTTATGCTAACTTTGATGGGAATCCTGTTATACAGTCACGCATTGGCTTTCGCTGAAGACCTCGAGTTGGGATCAATCAAGAGTTCGGACACTTTCGAGTTCGTGGCCGAAGCCTTCTCTAAGTACGAGTCGGCGGCACATAACTGTTGGATCGGCGCCTGTCTATACATCGCAGCCCTGGCCTTCTCTGTCCATCAGTATATGTCTGCCCGTAGACTACAATACGGACAATAATCAGACACTCATTGATATCATATTTGATTGTATTAAATGTAATTGATTTTTGTTGATAATTGGTTTCAATTTTATGATATCTATTTCAATTTTAATGTAAATTATGTATTTATTTACAGTATTGTCACAAATAATTATTATTGTAAGTTATTATCGGTAAATATAGGATCTGATAATTATTGTATTATTTATATTAAAAAAAAAACAATTATTATTTGTATTATATAAAATTTATAGAATAAAATATAATTTATCCAAGTTAAAATTAAAATATATATTTACTATTAAGTAATATATTTTTTTAAATTAAAATAATTTGAAAATTGTTTCAAATATTTTACTTTTATCTACAATTAATACATATATACGGTATTACATAATTTATATACACTGTATACCCTATCAATGATACATATTGTAGTTAAATTTATTTGACAATTACTAGTGATGTTATTTAACGATTAAATTATATCAAAGGGAAACAACATTTTGATGTTTTTTTTTTTTGGTTTTATTTATCAATTGATTTAATGATTTAAATTATATTATTTTGCTTAAAATATATAAAATTTATTCAAATTTAAATAAATAAAAAATATTTATAAAATAATAAATAAAAATATATTCAATATATATATCTCTCTTAAAGTGTGGCCAATACTCGTGTAAACGACAGAATAAGAGTGACCAGAGTTTGTCCGCAGCCCCAGAACATAGCATATAAGGGATACATTTGAAAGCTGGCCGCTCTGTGAGCACCGGCCACTGCGGCAGATGTTATTGAGTATGCCGTCAATGGAGTGACCACTCCTGAGATCAACACAAGAATTGAACCAAATCTTAGTGTTTTGTGTTTCCGAAGTGAACCAAACGCTATACCGGAGGCCAACATATGAATAATTATTGACGAAAATAGTGACCAAAGGAAGACGTGATACCACATCTCTGTGTTATTAATAAAACATTTGTTAAGACAATGAAAACAATTAAATTGTGATAATTGAGTCCTCTTTTAATTAATCGGTAATCATTACCGACAAATGTGTCGATCGGGTCGTGAGATAATCCAATGACTGTCCAGAAAGAGTTTAGCTTTGAAGTGTCAAAATCTCTTGATTGTGAAGATCCCATCGCTTAACACAACCAATGATTCAGTCAATCGACGGAACAGTTGAAGACTAAGACATTTGAATCACATTTTTAGTCATTATTTCCTTTTTTGATATTAAAACTACAAAATCATTCAATCATTTGGTACTTTTTAGACTATATTATTAGTTTGCTTGTAATACATGAGTTGTAAACTAAAAAAGTACTGAATTGTTGTTTAAATGTTATTAAAAGTACGCAATGTTTACGAAAAAACATTTGTTTAATGTTTTGAACGAAAACTTGTGACCAAAGACTTGCATTTAAATGAAGACATTAGTTAACAATGAATAACATTAATCCAGTGTTTGGACAGTTAGTTATAGGACCGGCCGGATCGGGAAAGACAACATATTGCGATGTTATGGCCAAATATTTACGACAATTGGGCCGATCGGTGATACTGATCAATATTGATCCGGCAAACGATGTCCTCCCATATGAGGCCACTATTGATATTTCAAAACTGATTACTTTATCGGATGTTATGGAAACAATGTCTTTGGGACCTAACGGTGGTCTACTTTATTGTATAGACTACTTGAACAGCAACTTTGATTGGCTTCGAGATGGGCTACAAAAGGCCATCGACGCCATAGAAAGCGGCGACAAAGACAGCAGTGGTAAGCCATCGATACCTTATATCTTAGTGGACAGTCCGGGACAGATAGAGCTCTATACTAACCATTCATCACTCAAGAATGTCTTAACCAAATTGAATTCGTTGTCAAAACAATTAACTATTAATAGCAGTGATGTTGCAACCAATGGTGGAAGTGCTTCCAGTGATCACCAGAAAATAATAGACTTACGTCTGGTTTGTGTCAATATAGTTGACTCTCACTATTGCAACGATCCTTCAAAGTTCATATCAGTTGCACTCAATTGTCTCAATACAATGATTCACTTAGAGATGCCACACATCAATGTCTTATCAAAAGTAGATATCATCCAAAAGTACGCCAAATCAGACTTTGGTCTCGACTTTTACTGTGAAGTTCTTGATCTTAACTATTTGGTCGATAAAATCAGTGACGACCCGTTTTTAGCTAAATTTAAGAAATTAACCAAAGGGTTGGCTGGAATTATAGAAGATTATAGTTTAATTTCATTTATTCCTCTGGATGTAAACAATGCTAAGACAGTTTTAAACGTACTGAAAGGTTGTGATCGCGCAAATGGATTTTATTTAAGTGATTTAGATGAAGAACAATTGATCCAAAAGTATTTTAGAGACAGCGGTTCGGCCAACTTTGAGAGTTCAAAATACGATGAATTACTCGACAATCTTCACGAATGACACACAATAAGAGATCAATTTCTAAACCATTGAATCGTTTATTTATTATTAACTAATAATAAGTGAATCCATTTTTACAATTAATTTTAATTTAATAAAACTCTCATTAGAAGTATTTGTTAAAACTACTAAAATCTTTTTGAAAATAATTTATATAACATTTAATTAATTATCTGAACGTTAATGGCATCGGCTTCTGATATCAATAGGTCGATGGCTTGACTAAACTCGAGATGAATTCTTGTGTCTCGAATCCAATCGTTGGCTACATTCCTAGCCTCACCTCTCAATTGATTTGCATATTTAAGAGCCATTTCTAAGTTGTAGTTTTTTAATGAATATCTAACGCGACTTAATATATCAAAAGTATCCCATTTTGTTGGATCAACTTCTTTATCTTCCAACTCTTCTTTAGGAATTTTTGAGTCACCAATAATTAAAACAGACTGAATATATGATAACAAATATTGAAATATGTTTCCGCCGTCATCTCCAATAAGAGCTACTCTTTTACAATATTTGTCCACTTTTTGAAATCTTTTGATGAGGTCTTCACGACTATAAACACCATTTTCAAGAGCGTATTGAGGTATACCTTCGAGTGCACAACGAATTAATGGCCGATCATTAAGCGATTGTTTATTTAATATTGACTTAATGGCAGTTAATTCTCCTTTTAAAGCTATAGGAAGACTATCTTCACTCAACGATGGTTTGTGACAAAGCGATTCTTTGAGTGTCTGAGCTAAGACCCAAAGCTCACGCACAGGATGTTGATCTGCATCTAACTGTTCCCGCACTTTGGTTAAGAATAATGATATTTATTATTGCTTTAAAAATATAATATTCATAAATACCTTTAAGAAGTCCTTCCAATATTCTTAATCTATAAAAACTGTTTTGAAGTTCAGATTGAAACTGAGCTCTTAGTTCGAGTAATTTTTCTTCAGTTTTGCTTTCATTATCTCTTTTCAATTGTTGCCTTAAAATAGTCAACTGATCCTGTAAATAGTCATTATAGGCAGCCAATTGTCTCTTTAATTGTGTATTTAATTCAATTTCAAACTTTTCCTCGAGTTTTGCTAACTATTGGCAAAAAAAGGCATTAAAAATGTTAATTACAGTAATTATTACCGTAAGTGTAATAACATTTCAAATACTGACAAATTAAATATACCGATACTAATAATTAACTGTAAATAAATTTATTATAAAACATACCTTTCTTTGATATTCAAGATCCTTATCATTTGATGATTTGTGTTCATCATTAGAAATATCCATAATATCTTTAATCAGATTTTCTAACTCTCGAAGTGAGGCATCGGTGATGGCATTCGAAGATAAGACCTCAGGCTCTTTGTTGTCACTCTTTTCATTAGATGATTCATTTAAGTCTTTAGTTTCACTTTGATTATCATTAGAAATGATTAGATCACTAGTTTGTGGTAATTGTTGTGAAATTGTTGTATTAATCTCTTCTTTCTTTTCAATGTTAATATTGTCTGTCTTAGCGGTTGAAGTATTCAATGAATTTCTTGTTTTCTTTTTGTCTAAAAAACTCTTTTCAAAATTTTCTTTTGATTGCTTTAACTCTTTTTCAATTAAAGGCCCAAATAGTGTATCAAATATATTGTCTGAATATGGGATCAAATTCTGAACTTTTCGTCTAAAATCAGTGTCATATTTAGCGTAACCGATGGTAATGCCTGTGAAGGCCGCCAAAGAAGAGCCGACAATAAGTCCAACTTTAGCCGAATTGCTATAAATTAAACAAATCTGTTGAGAAATAATCAAATGATATGTAAAATATTTACCTTTTGTCAGCATCTGTGGTATAATAACGAAGAAAAGTATTTCTCTGATGTCTTGAGATTTTCTGTAAATTAAATGTCAAATTAAATGTAATTAATTATTACTTCAGAAAGTATGTGAAGAGTGAAGACATACCCTAACAGTATTGTTGAGCTTAAGTGTTGACCGAAACATCTTCTTAGAGGTCACTCAAGAGTACATTCAATTGGATCACTTGACTTGTGTTGTCCACACTTACCGGTCGTTCAAACAAACAATCACACAATCAATACAAACACTACTACACTGTTGTATACTATATATTAGCCCCTGTAAGCTATCTTCTAACTGTAGTTACAAATAGATTGCATACTTGAGTAGAGATAAAGTTTACTTTTGGGTCTTTTTAATGTTAACGTATTATTCTAATGCAATTCAAGCCAAATGTTGATCTATAGCTTACCTTAAAGTCTATAGTAATGAAAGTAATGAAGAGTTTTATTGTCAGCTGTTTTGTTGAAAGGCTTTCATAGAAATCTCATAACAATTGACTCCAATAAACAACTATTACATTGAAAACACTAATTCATTGATTATTATAATTATTATAATTAGTTATATATTAATAGTATTTGTTTGCGTGAAATGTGACTAACAATTGGTCACCAAATTTGCATCAATTGATTGATCACTTGTTATGTAATTTTCTTGTTTTTTATCAACCAATGGGTGGATGTCTTGGATCGCGAAGAAGTCGTCCATCGAGTGGTGATTCACTTAACAGTAATATTCATCCAAATGGTAAGAAATTATCATTTATTTTAACTAACGATTTACTAAGCAAATGATATGATATCTGTATGACATATGTAGTGTCTATCGGGAAGAATCAGCCGATGAAACATCAGGTCCTCAAATGGAAGAGGTCTTCAATTTCAACTCACTTTCACTTATCATTTCTTTATATCATTCATTTTGTTTAATCAATTTATTTGATTGTTTGGTCAATAGTGATGTTCCCCTAACCGATGGTCAACTCAGATCTAAAAGAGATGAGTTCTGGGATACGGCACCAGCTTTCGAGGTTTGCTGAAATTATTTGATAATTTTATACAATATGTTATATATTTTATATAATTTATAATTTATTGACCAATTTGTTAACAAAAAAGGGACGAAAAGAAATATGGGACGCATTGAAGGCAGCGGCCATTGCAGCCGAAAGTAATGACTTCACATTAGCTCAGGCTATCATCGATGGCGCAAATATCTCTTTACCCAATGGTATGAATTACTGATACAGACGTTTTCAATCTTATGATTTTATTTATTTTTAGGTACATTACTTGATTGTTATGATGAATTGGGTAACCGATATCAACTGCCCATCTATTGTGTCAGTGCGCCCATCAATTTGATTGATGAGAGCAGTGACTCTGAATCTCCATCTCCTGAGAGTGAGCCCATCAATGCCATCGGCGGCGAAGAGATATTTGTTAAGTTCCGAATCAACCCGTCTTGTAATGACGTCAAGATGGCTGTACTCTCAAAAGAAACCATTATAAGTGCAAAGAAAAAGTTGGCTCTTCTTGAAAATGTTGAGCCCTATCGACAAAGGTATACATCGAGTGATTTTCTAATTTAATTTTTTTAACAAATGAGTGAACAATTGTTTGATTACTCATTTGGTTTGTCATATTAGGTGGTATTTTGGTGGACGACTATTAAGTGATAAACAGAGGATAGAAGACATTAATCTTCAATCAGGATTTGTAGTCCAAGTTATAGTCTCTTCACCACAAACTACAGATCACTGAGAGTTTCGACTTTAGTCAAAGCAAAATGTGTTAATTTTATGTATAAACTTTTAATTATTATTAGAGCGCTCTTTTCAATTGAATTCAAACTGTGATATAAGCGACAAAATATTTTTAATTTTATTAATTGATTGAAAACATTCAAAAGTAATGGCAATTATTTTACTTAAAGCACTAATGTGACTGAAACTTGAAAGCAATGGCTAAAAGTCAATAATTATTTTTGCCATAAATTGTATACTGTATTGACACACATTATCTTACAAACTGAAACTCAGTAGATAGGAAAAGATGCAAAACAAATATCTATAAATATAATTGATCCCAATTTTATAATTGTCACAAATTGTTTAAATTGACATAATGTTGTGGCCATAATATAGTGTTTTAATGATATGATATAATATATAATTATTAGTGTTAGTTTACCGTAATGCTTTTATTTATATTGTAATAAATGATAGTATAACTTATTAGTACCGGTAATTGATTTCTAACTGCAAAATCTCGTTGATATAGTTAATGGAAATTATTTAAAACATTTTATTTGTTTATTTTTAAAAAATTTTATAACTTGTTATTATTATTAGTTTATTTTATATAATAGTATAATATTTATAGTGATGATTGAATGGTTCAAATATAATTTAGATACTGTTTTGCATCTAATTTTTAAAAATGAAGTCAATGTATGCAAAGTGTTGTCAATACGGTATTAGGATATTATAAAATGATATCAAAATTAAAATTGAAAATGATTTAATCAAATTAAATAAATGACTTCATTCCAAATGTTTAGATCACAAATAATTTACAGATTATCTAAATATCATAAAATTTGAATCAGAGAGTAGTTTATAACTATAAACAGGAATAAAAAAATTTGATTTATTTAATAATTCATTAATAATTATATACATTATATAATTATAAATATATATATAAATGCCATTTATTAAAGAGTCGTGTAATTTGCAGCTGAAAGCCTTTGCAAACAATTTTTGCCTTCATTTTTCATAAAAGAATATCTAAAACACCATAACTTGAAATATAATTTTGTTTTATATTTATTTTACTATAAAAGAAATATTGCATTCATTATATAAGCCGATTGTCATAACACCGTTGCTATCAATATAATTACTTTTCGATAAATTAAAATTGATTTCTAAATAAATTTGAATAAATTATTAATATTCTTTCAATATTCAAGAAAACATTTAATAACAATAATATATATTATATATCGTATAATTGTAATACAACTTTATTAAATCTAGATATTTTTATTTTAATTATTTTTTGTTTTTATTATCATGTTATTAAAAATAAATTTGTACAAATATATATACATAATATAATAAATTAATATATAAGTAATAAAAAATCATTATGAATTGTAATATATATTGAATATACTGTATATTGAATATATATTTATATCAATATTGATATATTCAAAATACAGTACTTTGAGGACAGTATGGTTGGTATGATGTGCTCAGTCTGTTAAGCAGTCGTGTGCAGGTAAGTTACAACACTGTATTACCTGCGGCACTACTACTTAGAAGTCTGGCATCAAAATAAAATTTCAATTGAAAAAAACATTTGGTTTAAAATTAAATTTCTCTTAATTAAATTAAGTGATATTATTATTATTATTACAATTATTTGGTGATAAGTGCCTCAAATATATATATAATTTCGTTGAACACATAATTTAATTATTATCCTTAAAACATATGCTCCTCTTCTCTCATTAATGACTGGTTATCTGTAAAAATTAATAATAAATATTACTATTATATTTGTAGTATTAAAAAGCATAGGCATACTGTTTGATTTAAAATAAAAGCTATATATGTTATTATAAATGAATATATGCTCATAAATTAATAGTTGAAAAAATAAGTTACAATTTGTCTATAAAAATGCATTAAATGATATCATAATTGAATAGTTTGTATGAATCGCACGAATGATTTGTGGCGGAAACTCTTGAAATGATAGCAAACAAAAAAACGATGTGATGTTATGATAATATAAAAATATTTTTATATAAGTTTATACATATGTTGTTTCATAGAAAGTTTGTATAAAACTCCAGCAAATCAATGATAATGCGATTGACACCAAAGTTTATGCCATTCATTTGACAAAATCTCTTATCACTATTTAGTTTCCTAAACTAAATATAACAAAAATCATTATTTTCATTGCTCTCTCACTTATAGTTTGTCCCCAAATCTCGGCAATTGATAGTGACTTCAATGTAATGTTGTACTGTAATGACTATTAAATATAATAAACATTTCGTGAAAAATAAGTGAATATCAATGACATTATAGACAGGGCTTACTCTGGGAGAGAGAAAGAGAGAGAGAAAGAGAGAGAGAAACTCGTACTTTGAACGAGTGATTGCTTTTTTTTGATGATTTCAATATAATTGAACCATAATTTGGTCCTATATTTTATATATATATATTTTATAATATTTTATATATAAGTTTACATCAATTATTAGCACAAATGGTGATCAATAGTAGAGACGGTTAACTAAATTTGACTCCAAATTTTCTAGCATTGAATTTTCAAAATTAATATCTCAAATCTCGATATTATTACCTCTAAAATAGCAAAACAGTGCAAATATGATGATAGTGTCTCTTATATTAAATATGCTGTAATTGGATATTCATTGCGTTGGTTAACACAGAAGGTAGTCGTTGTGTTGCTGTTATATTCACAATATATTAAAAACTACTATAATTTCATTTAATTATTTATTAACTATCTCTCAATTTTGATAAAATGCCACATTTGAATTTATAAACTTATATTTTTACACATTACTTCTTATAGTTTTACATACATTTACTAAATATTTAAAATTAATTTAATATATTAAAAAATTATATTATTCACTGTAATAGACTATAACTTATACCGGTATAACTAAAAATATAAAAAGTTTGTTGAATTCGACTTTTATGTATTAAACAATTTTAATATAAAGTTGTGTTATATGTATTGTAATTTTACAACAAACATATTGTTAGTTGAAAACATGAAATAAGCATAAAGTAAGCAAAAAATTATTTTAAAAAGAGCCAATAATTGAATGATATGCAGAAATGATGCCATTATGACAAGCAATGAATGAATCAGTGAATGAGAGAGAGAGAGAGAGAGAGAGAGAGAGAGAGAGAGAGAGAGAGAGAGAGAGAGAGAGAGATGACTGGAATAGTACTCACCTAAAGATTTGCATAAAGTTTGAACCAAACAGTGAATAGAGTCGGTGGCCGTCCTGTACTATAAGAGACCAGATTATGGTTCATTACATTGCTTTATGTAGTTATCAGATGTTTACTTTAGTTGTTCTGCATTTACTCATTAATGTCTGTTATTTTTGCGGAGAACAGGTAGGTATTGAAGAGTAACAGTGTATTGTATAACAATAGAGTTGGCTTTTTTGGAGACCAATAGCAATGCATTGGTTGGTATATAATGTGTACAATAGTACACCTGTTGTAATGTTAAGTTACATATTAATAGTTGTAATGATAGCTGTTTTTTGTGAATCTCTCGTATACTAACTAATGCTAACTAAATGAAACTAAATGGTGGACACTATCTCTTGTTTAGCTAACGTTTGATTGGTTGTATAGATGTATATGACATTATGTGGTGCTGTCGGTTGTGCTGCCGGTGCACTACATATTCACATCCAATTCGTGATAACATTCAAACTAAATGCACACCAATAAGGCATCACTTCCAGTCTGTCTGCAACACTATTATCATATTATTATATGATATTTCAAAATATCACACATTATACCAATTATATGTATATCATTATATACTGTATCTAACATTTCATTCAATTTATTGTGTATTCACCTGTTGTCACAATATACCACTTATTATTGTTTTATAAATAATATAATTATTTAAACTTATTTTTTGCAAATCAAGTGCTCTCACTCTATACTAAATGTCTAATGCTTTAATTGATTTGAAACCCTTTTCAACTATTGATAACTAATTTATCAAATTAGTTATGATAAAACTTATTATCAGTAATTATTTTTATTACAATTAGTATAAAGCAGTGGTAGCTATAAAATATAAATATAATATATTTATATATTATTCAGTCATTAAGGCATTCCGTCTAGCATTTCGCTGTTTATAACTTATTTATTTATTTAATTAAAAAATTTCATTGTAATTTGTTTAATATAAAAACACTATCTTTTCATATAAAATATACTTTAAGCTACTAATATCTAATAAAATATATTGTTAATTAACTTATCTGCCTTTACTTTTAAACAGTTAATTTTTGATAATAATAGTTAACAGTAAAATTGTTTTAAAAACTAAAATTAACACTGAAAACTGATACTGATTTTAAATAAAAAGAGAAAAAGAAAGAAAGAAAGAGAGAGAGAGAGAGAGAGATTGTATGACCACCCTATGTGTTCATCCAATTAATATTTGCAAATACAGTTAAAGTTATAATTTTTTACATAAATTTATGTTGATAAATGTAAATGATAATTATATATCATATAAGTGTGCATATATTGAATAGTTCAATATATTGGACTCAATTTCAGAGATAACTCAAAACTATTGGTACCATTGCATGACATTAAATGTTTGATAATAAGCAGTGTTTGCACTGAATTCATATAAAATACTTCACTATTGGTGACGACTATTCAATAAAATACTGACGCTTTTATACAACATTACTTACATTCATATTTGATATATTAAATATAAATATAAAAATATTATTCACCTGTTTATAAAAGCAAACAATTTGTGCTTATTTTTCCTAAATATCATCAAAATTTATTATATTATAGAAATATATTACTGTTTTTAAAATTTTTATTCAATATATTGAAATAACTACTTTAAAACCATTTAGCACTAGAGATATATTTTCAATTATTTAATGCGCGATACAATAGTTAGTCAATAAGGATTAAAGCCGACAAAAGCAAATTATATATATATATAATAATAATAATAATAATTAAGTACTTTATAACATATTAATAGTATATTATATATTATATATTTAAGATTATTACCAATTAATATAAAAGATGTGATGATTACCGGTTAGTCAATTAGGTGTCGGTGCAAGTGATGCAATGCTTTGCAGTGCACGATATAATGAGCGTATGTCTGTCTCGGGACACTTGACGCCCATTATAACGGTCACAATAAAGCAATACATGATATCATAACAGTTATTTACGATCACATATTTATAACTTCTCATATTAAGTAAGTTAATATCATATAAATACTATATATGATATAACAATTAATAGTTAATAAAAAAATAATAAATATATTTATTTTTAACAATATGATCAATGAATTTGTACTTACCTGTGCTTCCAACTACTAAACTAGACACTAGTAAATGATAACTTAAACACAAATTGAAGCCACAAATGGATAAAGCATTTGGTTTGTGATTAAGGTGTTTGAATGTTTGTTTGTAAGACCCGCATCATTATCGATGAAACAAGCAATGATTGTCTACCAGTGCCAATGCTAGTCAAATGTACGGTTGGATCAGAGCCCGTATTATTAACGACTAACAGATATTAAAGAACAAGTGAGACCATAGCCCACGTGGTATATGGAAAGCCTACAGAACGCCTATCATATAAAATCTAATAAAAAGCTAAAAAGCTGGCCATATGTGGTCCGACCTGTCTATCAAATAATTACTCTTTTTTAGCACATGTTTGCAGCTTTTCTTTTAACATTTTATTTGATGGGATATATGTTTTGTGACATTTCATATCTATTTATCTGTTTCTATATCTCCGTTAAAACGTTTTACATAATAAATAGACAATTAATGACTCATTCAATTACTTTCTATATATTTTATATTAGCTTTTAATTAGAATTGTTAAGTTGTTGTCTGTAATAAAAACTAAGTAAATACTAAACTAATATAAAATATTTTAATTTAATTAAATTACAGAAAAAGTAAAAAATATTTAAATATATATTTAATGTTTAAATATTTGGTATTTAAATTAATAAATACTTTATTAGAAAATAGTTAATACAATCTATAGTCTATATCATACATATCGAGGTTATCATTCATCTGTCATAACACCTGGCAATGTATTTGCAAATAAACTTTTATTTAATACTCATTTAATGCCACCTAAATTAATAGTTCACTAAAATAACATTCATATTAATACTACAGTATAAAGACTATAACATATTTTGTCTAATTGTTTCAATTATTTCAAATTTTACTATATCTGTATTTATTTATCTTAACACTAATTCTAAATTTAGATATTATTTAGACTTTTTAAAATTAATTTTTAATAATTTTTATCAAAAAATAATTATCATATTTGATTAATTTTTTATTTAATATTTTTTTAATCAATACATTTAAAGTGTATTATAGATATATAAATACAGTATCATAGTCAGTAACCATTATAATTAACAATTATTTTTAATAAATTAGCAAAATGTTTAACAATTTAAAAATTATTAGCTAATGTATAACAGAGACAATATTTTTGATGAATAATACACAACTTATAACTGTTGCCCGCATTAAACACAACTCAATATTGCATTAGTTATAACTTCCTGCAGATGTTTCAATATTAATATTAGATGTAATAATAATAATAATTAAAATACAAAAAAATTATTTTAGAGTTGATTTCAATCCTAACAAATTTAGCAAAAATTTAGACATCTATATGTTTCTAATTAAATATCAGATCCTTGTAATTGTGGAGTAAATAAACTAAAGTAACTCTAGAGTTGGTGGTTGAGCGCACAACCGTAGCCCTGTCCGCCCGTTCAAAGTTGCTCTTTACCTATTAATAATCAATTATAAATATTTTTATTAATTATAAATATTAATTAACAATATTTTTTGAAGACATACCATTTCAAAGTATTTGCCATCACTTAGACATAAACATCGCAATCTTAAACACTTCATTCTAATGGCATCTGATTTACAAAAATAAAAATATCATTTTATTAGAATTATTTAATAATAAAATCAATAAAATGACAATAAAATGAAGAAAACAGACCAACAGCTTTGCTACTTCTGTCTGAAAAACGGAGTGTCTCTGAATCCCAATGGGCCTCAAACCTCTCCAATTGACAACAATTGTTGGCAATTGAATCGATCAATGAGTCGATGTGTATCTTTTGGTGGATCTTTTGACAACAACCTTCAGGCATACCCATCACTAAAATTCTGTATTAATTAGTAATTATTAATACTATATTGAAAAGTATTAAATGCATTAATAGTTGTTAACCTAATATTTTTAAGTAATGGTAATACTGTAGTCCAAAAAGACTCTGTCAAATGTGGTAAACCAGACAATTGTAGACCTCTGAGGTGAGTCGCTTGCATTTTCAGAAATTTAAGTAACATATCGTCCGAAACATTTTCATTGCGATCCAAATCCAATGCCATTAATGACTTTGTGTTTCCCTTTTCCATAAACTCATACAATACTAGATCTGTGAAGCAATCCTGTTGTCCGGCACTTAGATAACGAAGAGCTGGTATACGACATAAGATATCAATTAGACATTCCGTTGATAATTCTGTTGCAGTTATGTCCAACTCTTGTAGATTTGTCTTTTCCCACTCAATAGCCATCATATGATCACTTTGTAAGTCTAATTAGATATTCAAACAATAAATATCAGTAATATTTATCTATATTTTGTAAAATCCTTACTCGTGTGTTGCATAAGAAGACATCTGAGTCTTTTGCATCTTTGAAATAATTGTTTTAATATACTTCCCGTGAATTTTGTGCAAAAATTGAGAGACAGACACTCTAATTGAATACAATTACTACTGAGAGAATCGACATGACTGTCGTCGACAAAATTGATACCAAATAAGTTGACAACTCGTAGATTGGGAACAGCACTCTTCAGTTTGTGAATGTTTACCACTTCATAGATTTCTTCTTCCTCTTCTTCAACAGCCTTCTCATAAGTTCCGACTAAATGTAAAACCTCTAAACCATTGATAAAGTTATAGATTTTTCTCATAAAACCCTCCATAAAGATAACTTCAGATAAACAGACGCACATTGTTCTGAGTTTTGTTGGAAATGAATGCAAATCATTGAAGTCGTGTAATTGCATTGCTGTTGAAAAGTCCAACAATATATTGGTTAGATTTGGACACTTATTGGCCAACTCATGAAGTACTGTATGAGTGATCAATTCAATGGGTAACTCTATATAACGTAAAGATGGGCCTAAAAAAATTTATATCATTTATTGATTAATATTTATCAAATCAAAGACAAACCGAAACGAATTGATATGAGAGCCAGCAATGACTCTATACTCGTAACGTGAAGTCCCGATACTTCTGGTCGGAGCGAGACGTGAGTCCATAGCTTGGAATCGCATGAAATCATTCGCCATTTCTTGCAAACTCTGGCTAACCGTGATATCTCCCGATGCGGTAAATTACTAAATATTTTAAGCAAAATCTTGTCCGGAAGCTTATCTAATGTCTGGTATTTTTAAGTAAATTTTTAAATAAAGAAATTCATTCACTATTTGTAATTTTATTTATTTTAAACAATTATTATAATTATGTGCAGTTATTTTATCAATAAATTATAAAATAATGTCTATATCAATAAAACTTAATTAGTTTTATATGTGAAAATATCAGACATTTATATTGTATATTTTATACATTAATATTATGCACTTTTTTAATACATTACACTTAATGTTTCTATTATAGAATACACTATTTATACTTAAATTTTAAAATATAAATATACATTTATCAAATTAAAATCATTATTTAATTTTTATTATAATTTTATAATCCATATTTGTATAATAACTACTTCAGTATATACTGTAAGAATACAGTGTTTATTGTAATGAAAATCAAACTAAAGCATCAAAATCAAGTATAAATCTTATTTGAATTTAATTTATTTTGTTTATATATTGGTTATCATGAATTTGCACAACAATATACAGTAATTAACTAACTTATTTTTATAACAAATATTATTTCAATACTTATTTTTCGTAAAAGATAAATCACGTATTTTTAATCCTATTTATATTATAAGTATAAACTTTATAACTTATAATAATAAATATCATAAACAGTATTTATTATCAACACTTGATTCAACATTACTGTATATAAAAGCTAACTTAGATTTTTTTAACCACAAATATATTTTTATTAATTCACATTAATTAAAACTATTCTTTAAAAAAATATTCATAAACTATTGATGAGTTTGTAATTGTCAAATAAAAAGGTATGTTTGAGGATATGGTACCGTAATGTGCTGTAAGAATCCATTTTTGTTGTGTTGGTCCTTAATGTTGGCCAATGCAGCCGATGACACATCTTGAGTGACGGCCCACATTGAAAGCCTTCTCAGATCCATCTCTGCCTACACTCACAACCTTTTATATCTGAGCTCAAAGGGGGTAAACAACGGGGAAAACACTGTTTTTTAATAAAATAGCATTTATTTCATTTTTTCTTATCTTTTTTGTCTCCGCAAACATTGGTATTTTCTTTTTTAAAATAAAGACATTTTATTTTTTTCCTAATTTCTATTATTAGTTATTATAAGGAGCTCTTAAATGTAATTACATGTCAGCGCATCCAAACTATGAGAGATACCATTTGTTGGTCTAAATTTAAATTATGCATTCATTAATGCTTCTTTGAAATTATTTTATAATGTATTATATTATTAATAGATATTAATAAAATTATTTTATTTTAAGAAATAAACATTTTTAACTTTTTAACTAAATATACGGTATAAATATCAGATATTAATTATTCTTAAAGTACTGAATTATTTAACCAAAATTTATCAATGCATTGGAAATATATTTTTATTATTATATTAATATATTTTTTTTTGTTAATCATCAACCAGTAGTTATCATAATATTATAATAAGCGAAGTCATTATAAATTATATGCTAATACTGCATAACATTTAGATTGCATATTATTATAAATAAATTTTCAGAGAAACAAATACATTTAAAAAATATATAATTTCCTAAAAAGTTATAAAAATAGGTTTATGAAAATAAAGTATTAATAATTTTATAGTTATTTATTACATTTTTTTTATTTCTACTAATATATCAACCAAAAAATTAAAATTACGGTAAACGGATTACATTATAAATATAAAATTTTTGTAACTAAACGATTATATTGTTTATTTAATTGATCCCAAAATAGTTTTGAAGACTACATGACTTCACTACACGAGTCTCAGTCTTATTCTGCGTTTATATGTATTGACTATAAATTTTGACATTAAATACTGCATTATTATATTTACTATATATTATACTTCATTTTAACCAACGGTACGGTACATATGACCAACACTTAATATGTTTATACTAATTGTGTTTATGTATAGTTTATCTATAGATATCATTGTAATGTGTCTACTAATGTATACTATGAATAAACAAAAAAAATGCATAAATTTAAATATAATATTGGTTTTAATTGAAAAAATTTGTTTTTCATATTTATTATGAATATTCTAAATTATTCATAGACTACATACAGTAATTCATTTACACATTATAATTATATCATAACTGAGACATCTATACTAAACTTATTATAAACATATTAAGTGGTCATATGTACTGTTGGTTAAACGAACTATAAGATTATAGTTTTTATTAAAGTAATAATTTTTATCTAATATTTATTATATACTTTTATATAATTTATAAAAACAATTTATTTATATAACTGTTTAAATTGGTCATACTTTCTTATTTTTGTAAATATTTTTTAAAAAAACGTTAAGTAAATAATAATTATTTATATTTAATTTTGTTATATTTATTGATTATATTATTATATTTGTTATGAAATTTAAATAATATTCTAACTCTACTATGTATTCTGTATATATTTATATAATATACTAAATGACCTAATAATACAATTGGTTATTTTTAAATAATATTTTATAAATTGATAAACAATAATGTATATAATACTACCATCTACTTTTTGAATATTTAAAAAAATTAATTAATAAAAAAAATATTTTACATTAAGTAAAAACTATCAAAAAATTACTAATTTATATTATAATAGAAAATATATTAAAACTACTGTACAATTAATTATTAGAGTGACCAACAATGACCACGCATTTTCCGTGACATTGATTTGACTAAATATTAATGTAATTTTTAAAACAAAATATTTTTAATTAAACTTTATTTTACAATAAATATTATACTGTATGTACAGTTTTTACAGTCCAGTTATTCTCAACTATTAGTAAAATATCATTAAAATCAATATCACATATATTATCATTAATATCATTAATTGCGATAAAAATATTTAAAATGTGTTTAAAACAAAAATTTATTAAATTTTTTGATAATTAACAGCACATTGTGAACCAATGATAGTTTCATAATTATTATCAAATATGAATTAATAATTGATAAAAAATAATCGCCAATATTATTAATATTACTGTTAAATTCGATAAAATATGATTAAACTTTTTTACTGTTTATAAAAAATTCCAAATTATATATTATGTACTGTATATACAGTATGTGATCTGAAACAATTTTTGTGATGACAAACTTATTACTTATATCAACAATCAAAATATTATAATTAAATAATGTGTTTGCTATGCAACTAAAATATAAATAACTAAAATTATTTTTAAAATAATTTATAAAATTAATATTAAAATAAATAATTAAAAAATGAATATGTTTAATTTAAGTGAAATACCTCAAGAGTATTACACATGTATATTATGCCTGTTGTGTTCCGGTCTAATTGGTTTAACGGGAATATTACCCATGATTTTTATAAACAAAAAGGATAATTATTATAAAAATAAGTTTATTTTCTATTTTTTTTAATTAAGTAAATTTTGAATATACTTATATCAGTTATTATTAAAATAATTTTTACATAATATTTTTGATATTCTAATTTAAAATGATTTTTAAATCTTTAGGTGAAAGTAATAGGATTTCACTTTTAATAAGTCTAGGAGTGGGAAGTCTATTGGGAGATGTCTTCTTTCATTTACTACCCGAAGCTATTCGGTTGTCATTAGATAAAAACGATTACAATCCCTATACCATTGGTTTATGGATTTTGGTGGGAATCTTCACATTTGTCATCATTGATGTCCTCATTAATCAAATACACAATAATAATGCGGTAATTATTTTAATTTTTGTTATAAAGTTAAATATTAATTTAATATTAACTGTTAAGACTGAAAATATCAAGAAAAACGATCAAAATAACAAAATCAAACATAAAACTAAACAAATTAATGGAAAATCGGTTCAAAATAATAATAATAATAATAAGGGCCAACAAATTGAAGCCATTGGTTATTTAAATTTGATAGCAAATGCAATCGACAATTTTAGTCATGGATTAGCTGTATTTTCTGGATTTATGGTCAGCATTAAGGTATTGTTTATTAAAACATTTAAACATTTATTAAATTTAAGATTTAAAATATTTAAATTAAATTAAAATTTTTAAATATTTTCTAATAGACTGGATTCCTAACAACTTTAACAATAATAATCCATGAAATACCCCATGAATTCGCTGATTTTGCCATACTTTTAGAATCAGGATTTTCTAAATGGGAAGCAATTAGAGGACAACTAATCACTGCCTGCACTGGTATTTGTGGATCAATGTTTGCTTTCATACTAAGTTATAGCACAAGAGTTAATATTGAGATTTGGATTCTCACCTTCACTTGTGGTGCATTCCTCAACATATCACTCGTTAATCTTCTACCAAAACTTCTTAAAGAAAAAAATATTAAGTAAGTACTGTACTAACTATTTAATTGAGTGTTTAGTTCAAAAATAATTATATTTGTTTAGACAATTAATTTATCAAATTTTGATAATTGGATTCGGAATCGGACTAATGGCTATTATAAATAGTTTTGATTAATCATAAATTATTATTAGTTTTTAATTGACAATAAAATTATTTATTATTATTAATTTCCAATAATTATTTTATTTGAATTAAAATTTATTTGGGAAGTTTCTTCAAAAGTTTCATTTCATGTGATAACCAAAGAGCAATCGTAAGGACTGTGAGCGCTCCCGATTGATGCGATGCGGCCAATGATTTCGGTACATAAAATAGCAATGTTGTAACTCCAAGAGTTACCTGTAATAAAGTGGCGGCAAATAAACAGTTGACTGCAAGTCTTGTTCGGGGACTTAATGGTAAACGTCTTGAATAAATCCAAAGACCAGTTGAACCACATAATACTAGTTCGCCTAACCTTCTGTGATCAAACTGGACAGTTGTCGCGTTTTCAAAAAAGTTTTTCCATTTCGGAGACTGTGATAATAAATCTGTGGGAATAATTCTGTCGGCCATTAATGGCCACGAATTGTAAACCAAACCGGCATCAAGTCCTGCAACTAAAGCACCCGAAAGAGCCGTAAAAAATATAAAGCCTTTTGTCATATGTGTATATCGTCTGAATTTGAGTACTTGAGGAGTGACTTGAGTCTTAAATATGATAAAAAAAATTACCGTAAATATTATTTCTTAATATTATAATAAAATGATTACTGACTTGTGATGGAACTGTTAGATGTGAAAGTCCTGACCAAATAAGTAATGAATAAAATACAAGAGCTGTTCCTAAATGTGCAGCCAATCGGTAGTGACTAACTTTTGGATCCCTTTGGTATTCTGGCTTTTCTTCGAGACCACTCTTAACCATATACCAACCCAACAAACCCTAGATATACCAGTATATACATTACAATTACATTAATTATTACAATTATAAAACAGTTACCGAAGTAATTAATAACTCAATACAAACCTGAAATGCAAGAAGACCTCCAAACACAAGAACTCGCGGTTTCATTGATTTGGTAAACCATTTCTTATACCAGAAAATGGCGGCCGGAATGAAGTATACGGCGCCTATGGTTCGGCCCAGAGTTCGGTGAATGAACTCCATATACCAAATCCATTTAAACTCCTCTAAAGTCATGTCTTTATTTCGGCTAAACTTTGATAAAAACAAATAAACATTAAATCATAGCATTCATCACATTATAATCATTTTATCCACAAATCATTACATTTTAAATTCAGGAAATAACTTATATTTATTGAACTCTTCAATCCATTTATTGTTATTCAGTGGTGGAAACTCTTTGAATGGATGCCAGTCGACCATCGAGAGGCCAGAATTGGTCAGTCGGGTAATACCACCGATTATTACAGTAGTAAATGTTAGTCCACCGCATGTCATCAACCAATAGCCAACAATTTTACGGCTTTTTGTTGACACTTCTTCAAGTTGTTGTCCAACCGTTCCTGTAGTTAATTGTTTGACAACTTTTGTCACATTCAAGCTTTTGGTGACACAAATCTTTGATTTTCAATATTTTTAATTATTAATACCGGCTTAATGTCAAACAACAATTAAACTTACATTTGGAGTATATTTTGGTGACTTTAGGATACAATGAGTTGATCTCATCCATACTCTTGACATCAAAGATAACATTTTATAACCTTTTCTTACAATTTAGTAATCATTTACTAAACACGTGTTCACACAAAATACTGATTCAAATTAATTGTTGTCAATATTTTCAAAGTAAACAATACATTACACTATGGGTTCACATGTATTACTAACCATACATATCGTGTAAGTTTACTGTTAGTGCAATAAAGTAGTACATAATATATAGTGTATAAATAATATTACATAATATTAATACAATTTCAATTAATATACTGTATATAATAATTAAATATATTATACAGTTTTTACAAATAGTTATTTTTATTTAAAATTAATTTTATATAATACTTTTTCTTTAATTTCCAATCATTATTTTAATACTGTATAAAAATATGTTGGCATTTGATTTAATTAATTAAAAATATATCACATATGTTATAATGTATTGTATATTGTTATAATTAATGAGACAAATAGTGTAAATTATACAAACAAACTTAACTGTATTTATCATAATAAAATAAATTTGTTAAAATCTATATAAAATATAACTAATTATATGATTGCAAATTTAAGCATAAAACATATTGACTAGACTTTTAAAATGACCATCATCAATTCAAACTTATGTCAATATATATTACGATAGTTTTTTAAACAAAAAAATCAGATAAAGTACAGTAGATTTCATTGATATAAATATCTTTATATTTGGAAAGTCATTCAAAGACTATATTAAATTTTTTTTAATAAATTGTTAATTTCTAGTTAAACAATGAGCAAAATATATTCAATTCATTTATATTCATTTAATTTACTGATTTATCATTTTTTATTAAATTCTCCTATATTTAAAAAATATATATAAATATTTATATAGATTTATACATATGATATATGTAGAAACATAATATATCAGTGATACTGTATATCAATATTATATTTATTTTAAATATAGGGGCTAAAAATTGTAAAATACTAAAATTTTTCACTAAACAAATAAGTGTAAATTTATGTAATAATCTGTAATAATATAAAAATGTATTCATTTATGTTTTAACTCAAAACTTTAATTAACAAATATTTGATAAAAATTCACAAAACATGTTTCCAATCATTAGTGAAATAAAACACTAAAACTAGTGAAAAGCTATTTTTAAAAACAAAAGTGTAGAAAAACCAAATTAACAATTGATTATTAACACAATACAATATATTATGAAACTATATGATGCTATTAAATAACATTTATAACATTTATATTTATTATATTAAACATAACTTTTGGATATTATACACTGTATAATATACAGTATATACAATATTACCAAAAAAGTACAGTATATTATATAAAGTATATATAAATATTTAAGCGATAAATGATTATATTTATTCAAAGTTTTACTAAGTAATATCAAATATGTAATATTTATATAATTATACAATAAATATGATGACATAGAAAATAAAATGTATATAATTATATGGATGTGTATTTCATATGTATTTCTGCACAAATGATTTTGGGAGTGGTGTTAGTCTATTGGAAAGCAAGGAACGGGACATATGAAACCTTTTACTAAAATTTTGAAACATTTTTATGTTTTGTGCCACCAATTAGTGTAGTGTATGGCTCTCTCTCATTGCCAAATCTGTGTCCTCTGAACCTAATTCACATGTCTTTTGTATAACAGTTTAACTTTTAGTTCAGACCATAACATAAGTTAAAAATCTTATATCAAGACAATCACAACACAAAATAAATATCAAGTTTTACATTATTATCAAATATTATACTATAATAACTTATGTTTGAATAGTTGAATAAATTGTTATAAACTATACTAAAACTGATTACAACTAGTGATACAACAAGTGATTTGTCTAAATTAATTCATATTAAGTCAAAATTATACAATATGATCGTGTATAATATTATGTTATATTATTAACATATTAACGTCAATTATTATTATTTTTATAATTTTTGCTCCGATAGTTGTCTTATTTTCTAAATATACTATTTGTGATTTATCTCATTAAATTCAACTAATTAAACGTAAAATTTAGAGTAAGTGATTAGTAGTGTATTATTAATAACAGTATTAATAATAACAGTATTAATAATAGATAAGTTGTTCAAATCTTTAATAACTTTATAATATTAACTATAATAATACTTTAAAGAATTTTATAGAAAACTATTTTATATAATTGAAATAATTTTATCATACAGTATAATATATTATATATGTATTGTAGTATATATTTAAAAATAACTATTATTATTAAAGCAAATGTTTGTGTGATGAATAATAATAATAATAACATTAAATGATGAATACATTGAAGATATCAACTACTGATTCGCACCGAAAGGACACATATATAAGTAATAGCGATATCTCACAAGGGATTGGATATAAGGCATACCTCCCGTCTCTACAGTTGAGTTCTCACATAAATAAGAGTCTAAATTCAAACTCAGTTAATATTGAAGGCATTCATATAATACCAGAAGAGTTGTTTGAAGTGTTAGTTGAGTCCAAAGTAGATCCAGATGTGCTCACAGACAACAACAACATAGGGTTAGTCTAGTTTATGACTTATGTCTTATAACATGTTTCAATCAACTTAACTGGTTTTCTTAAGCTGTGTTTTACTGTTATCTCATATACTGTAATATATTAAACACAAAACTTTTCATCTTTTAATTAAAAGGAAAGTTTGCCAAACATATTGTTCACAGCAAACCACTGTTCCGCCCGATTCACACAATACTGGCCTTGAATTAAACAATAGGACGACTCCCGACAAACAATACAAAGTGTTTCCGTATTTATCAACCAAACCATTCAATGCTGAACCACACATCATTAAAAAAGGTAATGTATTTTATAAATTTTAAATTTTTAGTGAATATCATATTTTATAATATTTCTAACTATTAATTTTTTTTTGTATCAGAGCTTTAATGATAAATACTTACAGTATAATATATACTGTATGACTACGAAATATCTATAATTATTCAAAAAAATATTATTTTAATATTAATATTTAAACATTATATAATATATATATATATATATATATATATATATATATAATATTATAAATGAAGCTCTTTATTGTACTGCAACTATAAGTTGCTTTATATTCCGGTCTATAATACAGTATATGATAAACCATACATTTTACCGTATAGTATGAAAGCATGATATACACCACCGCCTACTTTAATGAGAGTTTTGTCAAATGTAACAAAACTTTGTCCATAACAATACTTAAATTATTTACTATATTATAATCCATATACAGTAATATACAATATAATATAGTATCCGTATATTATTAGTTATATTGTCTATTATATTATTATCTAACAAATATCCCATATCTAGTATTCAAAAACAAGTCTTAATTAGTATATAAACTTTAGACTCTAAACTAATGGCTACTATAATATTTGTATATATAAAACAATAAAACAACAGTTGACCCCTATTTTTGCTTATCATTTAAAATTATCTTTTATGAAACATATACTGTACTTTAATATATGTAATCCATAATACACCGGTTATAAGTTAGTACACTATCTTTTTAAAAATGTTATGTATTATTGAATTTGTAGTAACAATATTGTTATATGTATTTGTGACCTCTATTATAAATAGTTTTTTATGTGTTCAACTTTAATTATCATTGCAACTAATTATTATTTAATTAATCTTTGATTTAAATTTGTGTGTCATTGTGTACACTAACTTATATATATATATATATATATTAATTTTAATATAATACTTATAAATATATATTATGACTAACCAATAACTTGTAATGTCCAGTATTAGTGTCAATAAGTTTTTTATTAAAACCAATAATGACTAAAAAATCATATATCAGTGTATAAAACGGTATATTAAATTACTTTAAACTATTTACACTAATAGGTATTATAACTCATGAGTGGATAGTGTGGTATGTGTTGTGTGTGTGACACGAATTGAAATGAAAATATAACTTAAAATAAGATTTGGGTTTCAGTTCGTTGAATAACAAGTCATCAGTTATTTCTTTACATACTTTGCTTGTATTATATAATAAGTTTCTTTTGTTCATTTCTTAACACTTTTAAACATACTATGCATATGATTATACATTTTTCATTTTATATACACTTTTTAGTTATATTATATTTGAAAAATTCTAAAAAATAATAATTTTGTTTATTAAACCTTATAAAAATTGGTTTTAATAATATTTTTTAAAATTATATATTTCTTGATTATATACAATAGTTTTTTAATCATTGATTTTTCAAAAAGTATTTTCTATTTTTATTTCAAAAACAATTTTATTACTTGTTTTGCTCTATTTGTCAAAAAAATGTATATTTGTATTAACAGTGAATAATGTGTTAATAGTTTTTTCAATATGAATAATGTCTCATTAATCAATATATTAACAAATGTCAATTTATTTAATTTTAAAAACAATCAACTTAAAGGTAATTATAAATATTTTATTATAATTTTTAATTGTACTGTATATTACTCTACTTGATAATAATTAAGATATACAGTATATAATTATTTATTTAATTACTAAATTTTATTTTCTAAAATTGATTTAAAGAATACTAATATAGATAATTAAAATAGATTTTTTTTTTAATTTTATAAAATATAACTCATTTACTTAATGATGTTTTATTTAATAAACTTTTAAAAATGATTAGTAAATTAATGTATACAAAATTAAAAACATTATACAGTAATATAAAAGAATCTTTAGTATAAAAAATAAAACTATTTTTTAAGATTTAAACAAAAATATGTTATTTAACATAATTTACTGAATTACATAATCTAAATAGTCAATTGATTGAAACTAAATTATAAATACAATAAAATCAATTTAAATGTCGCAATATATTTTTTTAATTTGCTAATAAATGTATCAGTAAAATAAAACTTTTATACAAAATGATAAATATTACAATAATAAAATAAACAAAATATTTTTTTAATTAGACACTTCAAAAATTATATATTGTAATATCACTAAATTTAATACTAAAATGGATAAAATATCAAATTAAATATATTTTTTTGCAATTATAAAATATTTTTATTAGACATATAACTGCATAGTTTAATAGTCTAATTGCCAAAAATTACCAAAAATATTATACAAATGAATTGCAATTTGATATACATTAATAATAAAGTTATTTTTATGTCTGTTTTAGCATAACTACTAAAACGTGATTCATTTTGAATTTTTCTGTATTTAAAATTTAATGATTTTTTGAATTTGTATAAATAATTTTTTAAAATAGTCTATTTAGTGGTTATTACGGTATTAATTCAGTACAATATGATACGGGTATAAAATAGCAATTATATACTGTCTAGACATTAAATCAATATTAAGTATAAAATCAAAGTTTTATATTAATTTTTTTAATGACTTTTAAATGATATTGTCAACCAAATTAGTTAAGCAGATTATTTTATTTTTTAAAATAAAAAATAAAACCACTTGAAAATCTTAGGCCAGACAAACTTTTTGAATCTATTTTATTAGTATTTTTATTATATATATATACTAATCATATAAATAATCATACAGTGTTTACTTCAAAAGTAATTTTAATTTATAAAATAATAATTATTTTTAAATACTCATAACAAATTAGCAAACCATATACATTAGTATATAAATACATATTATAATATTGTTTTTTTTAATTAGGGTTAAATACTATTTTACATTATTAATTAACTTTAATATAAATGTTATGATAATAATAGATTACTTGTTTTAGCATTTTAATTATAAATTATTTAAATAGCTATTTCTCACAGTAAGTTAAATACATAATAAATATTTATAAAAAAAATTTCCTTATAAACAATATTAAATGTGAATAATATTTTAATGTATTTAAAATATTAATATTCTAATTTTAAAAATAAAAATATAATTAATATTTTTTTAAATTTTGTTATTTATATCTAATATTGGCATAAAGATATAATTGTTTTAAAATGTAAATTATTTTTTTTCTCTAAAATTAAATATAAATTATTTATTATATTTGCAACATTTAAATATAAAATATACATTAATTTATAAACTAAATATTGTTAGTTGAATTAGAATATAGAGAACCTAAACAATTGAATTTTATTATTTGTTTAGTTGACACTAAAATAGATATAATAAAATATACAGATTTTTTTTTTATACAATACTATACATATAAGTTAAATGTATAAATATAAAAAATGCATCATTTATATTAAATGGTTAAATAGGTTTTATATGACCTCCAACTTGAATACAATTAAGTTTTTTAATAAAGCTTTTGGTTTAAAACAAGAATTAACTGTATTATTGATTTCAATAAAAGGCAATTAAATTTATAGATAATAAACAATATAACAGAAGAGTAAACATATAAAATAAATTATTTTTATTAGCAATGCTTTGTTTGTAACCAATTTTTACATTTAACTTACATTTCAAATACCTATTTTGATTGTAAGCATAAAATTTGTTTTATTTTTGAAAGGTTTGGCACAAAAACAAAAGACCAGATCTTCACTGTTTACTATAGTTGGACATAAAATAACAAACAGTACCGACAAGACTGCCATTGACTGCTTAAGAGAAGAGTCAACAAACACGTCGAGTGATTATAAGTGTTGTTCCGGTACTTTGTTTAGTGTCTCGGCTTCACCTAAGCTAACAAATTGGAGACAAAATAACTTTGATATAAATAAATCTTCAGAAAGTGATAAACAATCAAAAATTTCTATCGAATTCAATAAAATTGATAATCAAAATGATTTTGACAACAAAAGTGAAGATAAGTCATATATGACTTCAATTACTTGTTCAACAAATAATCAAAATGTGAATCCTATTAAAGATAGTAATAATGAAAATTTAAATTTTAAAACATTGGTTCCACAAGAGGTACCGATTCAAACATTTAAGGAGTTTTGTTGTGTTATGATTGAAGACAACATTAAAACAACATTTGATGTGAAAGAAGAAGTTTTTGAGGAAACGAGAGATGCATTGAATGAATCAAATGAACAATTGTTGTTGTCTTTGAAAAGTCCCACAATTGTTAAAGAAGTCATGAAAAAGATTGCTTTTCTTCCCTGTGGTCATGACTTTACCACCGATTCAAACAATAGTGTCAATGAATCATCAAATAAATCTAATGATTGTAATTTGTCGACACATTCATCGCCCAAAATGCAGTTAAATGGTTATACATTGAATTCAGACAATGATAACGAAGCGATGTTAGCAATACAACAATTGGATCAAACTATAGATGAGGCCAGTCCTTCAAATACAAACTCACCGGTAATTGTTGCCAAAATTCAAGACAATTTTAAAAATGAACAAATTGACCAACAAATTAATAATATGAATAATAAATCAAATAATGTTAAGCCAACTAAACCGCCGCGTTTTATCAATTATTCAACCATTGAAAACAAACAAAAAACATTAATTGAAATAAACCAAACACAATGTGATAATCTTATTGAAGAGATGTATGTGACTGATGAAAATGGCAGTAAATCCAATAAAATTATCGATAAATGCATTACTAATCATATGAAAAGTCAAACACTTTATAATAATGATTCAAATAATAGGCAAACAACACATAAAAATGAAATTGACTTAAATTATAACAATTATAATATTAAACAAATGAATATCGGAGTGTCTACTGATTTGGACGTTGCCATCGCCAGAGCCAGTCTTAGGTATGTTTTATTGTTAGAAATTATTTTTTTAAGTCATAAATTGTCAATTACTTAGTTATTAAATACAATTACACTTATCTAAAAAAAGTTAATTAGCAGAAATTAAGTGTAATATTAGTGTATGAAATAACTAATTTTAGTATAATTTAATAATGTACAATATTGTACAATAATAATAATAAATTGTATATTTAATTGTTATAATTAGCTTATATACGGTATAAGATAATTATTTTTAAATGAATGTAAGATAAATATAGTATAATAAATAAGTGAAATAAAAAATATATATTTAAATTATAGTTCTGTCGACTCCGGAACCAGTTCTCCAAATTCAACCCATTTTATAGTAGTAGCCATTGATTTTGGCACAACTTTTAGTGGCTATAGCTTTGCCTTTACCAGAGATGCAGACAATGCCATTCATGTGATGAGGAAAGTTGAAGGTATTTCATCTGAGATTTTAATTTAAAATTAATACATTCAATAGCTATAGTTAAAAACTCATAATTGCAAGCATTCATGCATTATAACTATAATTTCTAAAAATATTGATATTATTATACATTATTTAATACATTTGACTTATTATAGGCTGTGACCCCGATGCTAGCAATCAAAAGATACCGTAAGTAATTGTAAATATAAGTGTTAGATATGTACAGTATGTATATATCTATAGATTTGTTGATTAAAATATATATATATATATATAATTAAAGGACTATATTATTACTGAATCCGGACGGAATATTTCATTCATTTGGATTCGCATCCCGTGACCACTACTCCAGTCTTGAGCCCAAAGAGGCCAACAAATGGTTTTATTTTGAAAAATTTAAAATGGATTTGCATTATAATCAGGTATTGTTCACAAATATACTGTATATTATAAGGTATATATATATATATATAACGGTATTCTTTAATTATAGTATTCATAATCTATTTTCAAAGTTTATTAATAAATTGTCACTCATATAACAAATATATCATTGATATCATTGTTAGTAAAGTAATACAATAATGAATGACACAAATGAATAGATGTTAAGTGAAGTGAAGCATTGAAACATTCAGTCGCGGATGACTTATCGCTATAGAAATACAGTATATAATCACTTAATTACCAAAAACCACTTAATCTTATAAACTGTTTGTCAATTTTTAACTAAAACATCTATATTTATATGTTGTGGTTATATATTGTAAATAACATAAGTTAAACATATATTTAATTATAATTAATATTTGTTTCAGTCATTATCATTGGAGAGTACAATCAATGCAACCAATGGTAATAAATCAATGTCAGCTTTAACTGTGTTTGCACACGCACTCCGGTATTTTAAGCTACAGGCGCTACAAGAGCTAAGTGATCAGTCGGCCACCAATATTCTTATAGAAGATATTCGATGGGTTATAACAGTTCCGGCCCTTTGGAAACCATCGGCCAAACAATTTATGAGAGCAGCAGCTTATGAGGTAAATCTTTATAAATTTAATTAATGAATTATTTAAAATAATTTAATTAATACGGAGTTCAATATTGAAATTTAATTAATAAAATTGCCAATAATTATGAGTATTTTTATGTAAAAAATAACAAATAGGCGGGAATAGGAAGTGTTGACAACCCGTCACAATTGTTAATAGCCTTAGAACCAGAAGCTGCTTCAATATATTGTAGACGTATTAAATTGAATCAACTGATCCCAAGTTGTCCTCCAAGAGAATGTCAGTCACAGTCAGAAAATATCAACTCAAATGATGATAGATTGGCCATACATTGGAAGAATGGTATTTATCTGTATAGCTATTTTGCTTTAATATTAATCTATTAATGATATAATTTACTGTATGCTTATTTGCTATGGATTATCATTTAAAGTTAGCAAAAAATGCAATTTAATACTAATACAGTCTACAGACTAACAAAATGCTTATATTTGAAATAAATCACAGATTCTTTCAGTGCTAACGATTCAGTTGAGACCTCCTTTACTAAAGGTAACCAACCATTAATAAATTGATTGTTAAAACCTTATCATAGATTTTTAGATTTAATATTTACGATTTATTTGTTTTTAAGGGACCAAATATATAGTTGTAGACGTTGGCGGTGGTACTGTTGATATTACATGTCATCAAATGCAAACAAAAGAAGGCTCTCTTAAAGAACTACATAAAGCTATTGGAGGACCCAATGGGTCAGTTGGTGTGGATATAAATTTCGAAAAGTTATTATCTGATATATTTGGTGTGGATTTTATAAAACAATTCAAAAACAAACGACCGGCCGGTTATGTAGATTTGATGTCGGCTTTCGAGGCGAGAAAAAGAAGTGCCACTACTTATCAAACAACTACTTCCAATATATCCCTTCCCTTCTCTTTTATTAACTTTTTCAAAAAATCTAAAGGAATGTCTGTAAGTATTAATAATAATAAAAATCTAATAATTGTATAGAATTTCATTAGTAGTTTAACTGTAATAACAGGTCGATAGTGCTGTTAAAAAGTATTCAGACGGTAAAGGCATAACTTATTGCTCCAAACTAGGAATGCTTAGATTAGATCCAACAGTTATGCAACAGTTGTTTGCACCGGTAGCCAAACAAATCATAAGTCATATCTGGGATATACTAAACAGCAAACATGTCAAAGACGTGACATTTCTGTTTCTTGTCGGAGGCTTTTCTGAGTCACATATACTTCAAACTCATATAAGAAATGCATTTTCATCGCGACTTAAAGTAATAATACCTCAATCGCCTAATTTGGCAATACTTAGAGGGGCTGTAATGTACGGACTGGACCCCACTGTTATCAGTTGTCGAAGGGCTAGACTTACATATGGAGTGGGAGTTCTCAATCGATTCATTGATGGCAAACATCCATCACATAAATTGGCCATTAAAGACAACATTGAATGGTGCGCCGATGTCTTCGACAAATTCGTAAATTGTGATCAATCTATAGGATTGTATGAATCAATCACAAGAAGCTATACTCCAGTTAATGAGGGACAGTCATGCAGTATAATCCATATATATTGCAGTGAGAGAGACGATGTCGAGTTCATTACCGATAAAGGTGTGCAACGATGTGGTACTTTGTATCTCGACTTAGATGACATCAATTACATCTCTCACTCCAATCATATCAACTCTGCATTTAAAACTATTATTAAACGAGAAATACAAACGCAAATGATTTTTGGAGACACAGAAATCAAGGTTTGTAAACATTTAACCATTGAATGCTATTTATATATATATTTATTATAACAATAGGTATGTGCTTTGGATGTCATGACTGGCAAATGCGTGAAAGCAGAGATTGATTTTCTTAACAACTCTAATCTATAATATATTCATATAATTAACTCAAGATACGAGTGCCATATCATTTAATATTGAATAACACAATAGATTTTAAGTTTTTCAATATTTATGACAATTGTCTATATAGTCATTATAATTTTAACGATTAAAAATATTACAGTAATTTTAATAAATCGTATGTTTTTAGTATTATAAATTTTATTTTAAAACATGTGATAAATGAATAATAGAATTAAGATTTTAATTAAAATTATATCAATTATATAGCATTCAAATTATCTAAAAATCACTCTAACATAAAATACACATATTATATATTAATAGTTATGTATTATTATTATTATTATTTCACAATTTATATATAATCGTGTATATTATAAATTTATAATAAACTATAAATTTTGAAATATTATTATATATAACAAACTAATGAAATAAAAATATTTAAAATGACTGATTTATTAGTTTTGATAAAATTGATATAATTACGGATTAAATATGTTTGCATATAATATGTTATATCGTATATAATATTTGATATATTTTTTTGAATGACTTCGGTATAAATCACAGAATATATAGGATATGCTTATAATTAATGTAAAAATAATATCATTTTTTTGTATATTTTGTTGTAAATAATACTGTTATATCATATATGATATACATACATATATATATATACATACATATATATATATATATATATACATATATATATATACATATATATATACATACATATATATATATATATATATACATATATATATATATACATACATATATATATACATACATATATATATACATACATATATATATATATATATATATAYATATATATATATATAYATATATATATATATATATACATATATATATATATATATATATACATACATATATATATATATATATATATATATATATATATATATACATATATATATATATATATATATATACATATATATATATATATACATATATATATATATACATATATATATATATATATATATATATATATATATATATATATATATATACATACATATATATATATACATACATATATATATATATATATATATATATATATATATATATACATATATATATATATATATATATACATATATATATATATATATACATACATATATATATACATACATATATATATATATATATACATACATATATATATATATATATACATACATATATATATATATATATACATACATATATATATATATATATACATACATATATATATATATATATACATACATATATATATATATATATACATATATATATATATATATATATACATACATATATACGGTAATGTAATAAATTTGTGACTAAATTGATGCATAAATTAATTAATCAAAGTCTGGGATGTCATCAAAGGAATATCCATAGCATCGATGGTAAGCATAGTATGCAATACGGATGTGATAAAAGCCAGGAATAAACATTATGACACCGAGTAATACCAATACAAGAAGTCCATCATTGGGTTTAATGTTGACAATAACTCTGAGATATATTAATATTGATATCACTATAATAGCGGTCCCGAAGACCAACAAAAACAGTGCCAAACATATGGCTCTCCACGGAATGCGTCGGCTTTCAGACACCTGTTTTGGACATTAAGTCATTAGTGGTGGTCATCATCGGTAACATTGATAATATGTGTCAAATAAATACCTGTTTATTGTTTTGGTCGCAAAAATCATGCAATAATTGATAATCTGACACATCTTTTGACGGCTTATTCACTAATCGATGCGTTAATTGATTGCTAAACCAATTATAACTCATTTGTTTTGATTTTTTAGTTTATATAATATTCACTCAATTAGTCAAACATTTAAATATTATTTTATATTATATTAATTGAAAATACAATTGAATTGACTTTTGATTTAATAAATAATTTATTGCTTCAAAGTATACACAATAAACATAAATAATGTCAAAAAATTATCAATCATTTACAATGTGTTTGCTTATGAAATGTTTATTATTTGTTTGGACGTAATCTATGATAATATTAATAAACATTACTGTATTATAAATGATATAATTAACGATAAAAAGCATAAAAACAGTGAATCATTAAAATCATTGACTTTATTATAACAACTATAGTGTCGATGTTTAGCGGCTTTTGTTAAATACATTATTAAATATGCAATTTATATTGAATTTACATTTATTTAATAAACATATTTATAGTTATTTAGCAATTTGTTTATCAATTGTGGCCAATGTTTTGACACAAAATGATTTTGAAGCCAAAGGTATTTACGCCAAGAAAGAGCACTCTTTGGTCAAACCATATCAGGGTATGTATTGAATAGACATTTATATTAATCAATGATATTATTAGTTTATATTTCATTAATTTAATTTACCGACAATTATCTTATTGTTGATTAAATTATTATTATAAATAACATATCGATTATGCCATTAATACAATAATATACAGTACTTTAATTGTATTTTTATCGAAAAACGCCTAATTATTTAGTTAAATGCAATACAAATACATTCAAACTTTTTCCTCTAAAATTATTATATAATTTATATCCTATAATAAAAAAAGTAAAACAGACTAAATAAATATTTATTAAATTAAAATAAAATGTTTAAAATGTATAAAAATATTTTAATAAATTGTTTATTTTTTCTAAATTAAGTTTAATAATGAAATACATAAAATATAATATAAAAATGAAAAATCATATCTGACTAGTATTTTCTCGACTATTAAATACACGTTTCATTAGAGATATGGTTTTATATTCATTGGTGATATTGTTTTTATGAGGTTTTTATTTATATAATATATTTTATTAACTATTTTCCCATATTTTCAATTTATTAGTATTATTATTAACTCTGCTGTACAACAAAAGTACACATTTGTTGTACACAAACCTCAATTTATGAAAGTTTTTTTTGTAAAACTATCTTTTTTATCAATTTTTAAAAAATGTTTATCAAAAGCCAATTAAAATTTACAAACACTATATATGATAATTATATACAGAAATGATTTTAAATTTATAATCAAAGCTAATAAATAAATTTGTAGTTTAATACAATTTAATGTTTTGAATGGACAGGTACTGGTATGACAATCCCCAATTGGGACTTTTTCGGCAGTACAATGGTTACGACCAGTTTTATTAGGATTACACCCGACTTACAGAGCAGACAGGGAGGCCTCTGGAATAAGAGTGTATTTATTTGATTACTATTATTAATCTTTAATTATAATTATTATAAACTATTTTTATGTCTAATAAAGCCGTATTCATTCCGCAATTGGGAAACACAAATTCACTTTAAGGTTAGCGGACACGGAAAAGATTTATACGGAGACGGAATGGCTTTTTGGTATACTAGAGATCCTCTTAAACCGGGTAATCATCTAAAAATGATTTCTTTTAATGTATTAATAATATTTGAAAAAAATCAATTAATAGGACCGGTGTTTGGTAACGCTGACCCATTTGTTGGTTTGAGTGTATTTTTGGATACCTATGCCAATCAAAACGGAATCCATAGTCACGGACATCCCTACATCTCAGCGATGGTAAACAACGGATCAAATCATTACGATCACGACAGAGATGGCACACATTCAGAGTTAGCCGGATGTGAGTCAAAGTTCAGGGGTGTAGATGAGGACACGTTTATTGCCATCAGATATGAAAACGATATATTAACTGTCAGTACAAATATTGATGGAAATAATGAATGGAAGGAATGTTTTAGTGTTAAAGGCGTCCGATTGCCGACTGGTTATCACTTTGGTGTGACAGCAGCTACCGGTGATCTCAGTGATAATCACGACATTGTCTCAATCAAGACTTACGAGTTAGAAGTGCCATCAGTTATGAATCCATTAGAGGATCGTTCGCAAATCATTCCGTCCGCCTCTATATTTGCTTCCCCAAGAGATCACACACCAGATCCGCCGCCACCTATGTCTGGCTTCAAGCTTTTCCTTATAATATTGTGTGCCATCATTGGTGTTATTGTCTGTGTTGTCGTCGGAATTATGGTGTTCCAGAAGAATCAGGAGAATTCACGCAAAAGGTTTTATTAAGTGACTGATTGTGAGATAAGTGATCATAACATTAGACATAATATTTAATTTCAAATGATTTGCAATATCATCGAAGAGTTTTATCTTTTGTTTTATATTGTAGTCTATGTTTTCCCATTTCAAAAGTCATTGTAAAGCTATTCCCAACAGTAATTATTTTCAATTGTTTTTATTTGAAATATAAATTATATACAAACTTACATTTTATTCTAATTATTAATATATTGTCATTTTCTGATACATTTTTTAGTAATATTACAACTATTTTTAATAAATAAAAGTTTAATATTTATAAAAAAAAAATTTAATTCATTTTATCGACAACTTCTCGTATTTGTTGACAACTATTGTTTGTATTAAATGAGTTAATGGTTTTTAGGTTAATATATTAATTAGTTTTATATGAATACCTGTTATTGATGTCCTCTAATCTGAAATCATATTTAAAAGTCATTAATATTATCAACAAACAAACCACTATAAGACTCACTGCATTTGGAACTGTTTGGTTGATATCTCGAGTTTCTTGATATTCTGTAAGAGTTATTATCATTAAAATTAAGAAGAGTATGGTTTAAGACTAACTGAATAAGTATTATCAATAGTGTTGTCGAGTGCGGCCAAAGAGCGGGCGCTTTGATTGAGTGTCTGTTTAAAAACAGTTTCAATTGTTAATAATAATAATAATAATAAATTTTAATTCAATAAAAACCATTACTTCAACACATTTTGAGCCTTTAATGATCTGTCGGGTGACTGAAGATATTAAATGAAAAAAATCATTTTAACACAAATTAGTGGTCAGATTAGTTGATTGATCACCTGATCCGGCGCTCTGTATATTAGAGGCTATTCTGTCGCAAAGTCTTGCTTTAGAGTCTGAGTACAGACTTGTTGTCTGAGATGTCTGTCCACTCATTGCTTATATGATATATAAGACAATCATATGATTACATCAATTGTTTCAATCAAAACAAATGTCAAACTCTACCACAATATCCAAACACATTATAAACATTGGTTGCTATGACAGCAGTCAACTTACATATTATATTAAATTTAATGTTTATTAAAATTTTTAATATTATCAAAATTATATAAAAACTTTTTTAAAATATTATTAGAGTTAATAATGACATCCAATTCATTTGTTTTTTCTAATACTTTAACACAATTGAAGACTCAGATGAAAAGTCTAAACAAAGTTTAACATTTGATTGATAGATAACAGTTGTCTGTAAAAATTAATTCATTAGAATACAGTATAATAGAGTATTAAATTTATACAGTATATCACATAATTGTATATAAATTAATATTATTTTAGTTTTTAAAAATATTAAATGACTGTTATATACACATGTGTTTTAAAATGTTTTGACAAATATATAATATTGTAAAAAATTGTTTATAACTTGGATAACAATAGTAAATTGATTGACACCGATATCACAAATTGCGTAAATTTATGGATTTCAATTGGAGTTCAAACTTTTAATAGATCTACTAATAGTATTGATATTTATTAAATTTTAGTTTATAAATTGATATCAATTAATTAAACTTTAATGTATAATATTAAATAAACAAATTTGATGTAATAAAGCGCAATACATAAAATAATTTCATAATTATTTGAAGACCAAAAATTTCTCACAAATAAAAAATAATAATTAATTAACTGAAAATTATAAATTAAAATATATATAAAATATTTTAACTAAAACGACAAACATTATTACAAACTAAATACAGTACTATTACTGATAAAATTAATTTTAAATATTATTAATGAGATAATAGCACTTAAGATAAATAAATTTACCATTACTGAAGTATTAATAGTTTTAAAGTAAATGATAAGATTACTACACTATAAGCGTATTTCAATACATATTTTAGATATTTGTGTTTAAATTATAAAAATTATGAATTCATTAGATTTGTTATTATTTTTAATTATTTATTAAAACAAATTGTTTATTAACCGTGAAATAGCTTTTTTAAATTGTGTAATAATGTACTAAATATTATATAGAAATTAACTAAATAATAAAAATGGATGCTCTTCTTGTATTTGATCCACAAAATAATCTCATATCAAACAAATGCAATAAATTATTCAAAGATTACTTATTTAAGTTTGTGGTCGACATTGGATTCAGTATTAATCCACAAGATGTTAACGATCAACAAGTTTTGAGAAATATATTGTCTGTATTGATCACACCATTTGTTGTCTCACAGAAGTACCTCAATGTCTCAAATCTGACATTTGATTGCATCGCAAATATGAATGCCGTCTACTCTAAGGTTTATAAAAACATATTAATATTTAATAAGATGTGACACTAAATGTTGTTTAAATTGAAAAATTAAATCAGAGTCACGACTTCTTTTTGCTTCTTGTGTTTGAAGAATCAGAAAATCGACTTTTAATGCAAAGAAATTGCAATCTCTTCTCACAAATCATTCAATTCATTTTTGGTCCGCTTATCAACTGTTTGCCAAAATATTACCATTTAATGGATATATCTTTTAAAATGATTGATCAATGGCTGGCATTTAAATATTCAATCACATTCCTACTGGAAGTAAGACATTAAAACCATATTATAATTATTGTGTGTATTATAAAATATACAGAATATCTAAGCATAAAACATATTCCTATCGCAACTATAAAATAATGGTAAAAAAGTTATAAATAAAAAGATTAGTACAGTATTACAATATTAAATAATTAGATAATTAAAATTAACAACAAATAAAACTATAGAATAATTCATAGAATACTGTAATTGATTAAAAAAATTATTTTATAAGTAGAACAAGTAGTTTAATAAAATATAGTAAATTATTAAAAGTTTTATAAATAACTAATTGATCGGATTTTCATAATGAAAATACTTATATAATTAATTAAATTAACTTAAGTTATGTCGACTTAGTGTTTCTACAATTCATTGAGAATATATTTTTACATTTTGAATTATAATTTTTTTAATGATCATTATAACATTTTACGAAGATTATATTTTTAATTTAATTTAAAGATTCTAAAGTATTAAATATTTATAAATTATTTTTTAAGTCTATTAAAACACATGTTCTCACATTTTTGACATTAACTCTATATTCCAGTCAATCGAGAGACTGTTTATCGGATCAGATTTGATGGATATCTGCAATAAAACATTACAGCAAATATTGACCCGAATTCAGTTAATTTCAAAAGTTTCTGATGAATCTATTAGTCATATATATCTATTTTATGGACACAAATACATCACATCCTACTCCGGGTGCTTTTTCATTGTTAATATTGTTATTATTATTATATCTAATTAATAACTTTTAATATTAATAGTCGTAACTCAGCAAAGATCTCGAGAGGAGACATGATTTTGATGATTCTGTTGTCAATTACTTTAGAGTCAAATCAAGACAAATGCTTAACTGATACCATTGAAAGAGAGGAACAGATGCTATCATTCAGTGAAAAGATAAGATCAAGTCTTGAGAATAGTTTCAATAGTTTAATGAATAGTTCTAAGAAAAAGAGTTCACCGAAATGTGATCACTATTTAGTATTTCTTCAGTCAAGTAAAGACCAAAATCTACTGATTCCACACATCTTTAGAAGAATCAGAATCGATAGCGAAATGTTTGTCATTATCTTAAGTGAAGTAATTAAATATTTTTCAAATAATATAAAATGTTTATTATATAAACTAATATTAGACTAAATATTTATGTCATTTAACAGATTCCCACACAAATGGCAACAAATTTGATGATTTTAATGAATGTAATTAATATATTGATAAATGAATCAAACGATAAAAAGTGTTGCCATACAGTCATTGAATTGCAAACAAGCATTAAACACATCAAAGATTATATAATTAAAAATAATTTAACAAAAGAAAAACCATATCTTTCATTGTTAAATAATTTAAATTTTCTAAACAAATGCAAAATTTTTGAATATTTGACTGATTTGGACCAAAATTTACTTAACTTTCAAACCGAAGCCCAATTACAGCTAATTAGTAACTCTTTAAGAGAAAATTATAAAATATTAATATTTGATTTTTATAATAAATTAATGGAAAAATCTGATTCTTTACACAACAATCTCTTCAATGAAATGATATTTTTCTGTAAAAAAGTATTTTGTGATTATTTAGCATTTTTTAGGGTTAAATCACAAAGAAATATGACTTTATTGGGCATTAATATAGATATTAAAAACTTAATGGGATTTATATACATTGATCGTACTGTTAATGAAGTGATCATAGCTCCCATTGAAACCATTAACGATGAAAATAAATCAAAACAACTTATGTCTCATACAAACCATTGCCGACCATTTGAAACAATTGCTTTAAATATGATATCATGTGCTTATAATTCATTGACTAAAGGAAACCTCACCACTATTTGGTCCGATCAAGAGTTTCAATATAGTTATGTTATTTGGTTTGAAGATTCAACAGTTGAGTTATATTTCAAATTAATACATATATTACAAAATATAATAATTTATACTAAATTAAAGTATTTTAACAAACTTGCATTTAGGGCTCAATATTGGATCCAAAAGTTAAATATTTTCAATTAGACTCATATCCCAGTATAATAGCCGGTAATTTCATTCAAGACATTATTTCAGTTATTTTTAGTAAAGATATTAAAACTGAGCGCCGGTGTCACGGATACAATGGCTATAAGTCTACCATTTCCTGCTATCCGTATGAACTTTTCTGTATCTATGACAATACCATTACATTGGATCAAATCAATGCAATTCAATATAGTAAACAATTATCAGCAAAATTATGGAAAATTTCATCTGAAGTTTAATAAATTAAATTCAAAATACTGTATAATTAGTGTTAAAAGTATTAATTATTATATAAGTTAATAATAAGTAATTGTAAAATAAGACTAGTTTTCGTTTTACATCAATTGATTCACATTAATAATTAGCTAAACTTTTGATTAATTAATTAATTAATTAAATAAATTCATAATTGTTAAAATGCTTATAAAATGCATATAAAACATTATTTTTTCATAATATAAAAAACCTTTAAACCATTAAAAAATATAAACTCACTTTTGAATAAAAACTATTACAAAAGTTCTTGTCTTACAAATTAATACAATATAAAAAAGTAAAATAAATTCAATAAACTTTTAGCATAAAATGTTAGACAAAATTATATAAATTAAATTCAATCAATGAGTTCAACATAATTGGCGGGAAATAATCCGTAAGTACCGTCGGGTGCCAAGCCTTGCCACCAACCAGAGTCTATCTGTTCAATATGTGTTATGATGTCTTCGGGATCAAAGCTAATCTCGGTGTCATCCGCTGACATACAAAATATCAATTATTTTAATTTAAAAAAATATATCTAAATAATAGTTGAGTACTTACCCGCCTGATAGTCAAACAAAGCCCGGGCTTTCTTTAAACCAGTTGTGTTATCGACAGTACTCTCTTCTCTTTGATCAGACAATACATTTTCAGTGCTATCATATTGGTCTTCAACAACATTATTGCTTTCTATAGTATAATATTAAATATATTGCTTTTAAAATTAATATTTTCATAAACTTTAAATGTAAAATCATGTTTTTAGAAAATTTTACACGAATTATAAATATTTTATAATAGAAATGTTAAGCATAATACTGATCAACCAATACTGTACATCAAGACATGTATTAAATTAATATCTATTAAATAAATAATACAAACCATCCCATGTTTGTTCTTCAGCAATGTCTTCTAATGGATGTGTTTCTTGATAGGTCTCTTGCAATAAGTTTCGAGTAAAATAGGAATTCGTAGAATTCTGTGGTTCATATGTATCATGAATTCCATTTTCGCCATTCGTTCCATTAGTAACCACTTCTTCGACATCATTATAAATATCATTAGCTGTATCAATGATTGGCTCATTAATTGGTTCATTGATTGGTTCATTAATTGAATCATTAATTGGCTCATTGATTGATTCTTTCATGGATTCATTGGATGGCACGGGTGATGGTGTAATAGCTGCCACAGTAGATGCAATTGATGGCTTGGGTTCATCTTTTTTGTCATTTTGATTAATCGGTGCGTTTAGTTTCAAATTATTAATTTCTGTTTGAATTTTGTTCACATCTTTTGAATTATTGGATAATTCATTATTAATATTATTTGATTCAAACATCTCTTTTCTATTGGAAACCAAAGATTTATTATTATTAGACTGAAATGAGTTGCGAATTGAATTCATTTGTCCGGCACTGGAGTTCTGTTCAAACAAAGCCCGCGCCTTCTGTATGGAATTGTGACCAATCATTGTCTTTACCTCTTGAGCTCTTTCTAGTCGCATATTTTCACTTCTAAGTCGTCTTTCATTGTCATCAACCGTACAATTATTATGACTGTCATTATTTTTGGCACTATTAGTTGCATTCAGTTCCGATTCCCTGATTTTCGATATATTTTCGTCCCTTTCTTTAATAGAATTATCTCTTTGTTTGGTTTCCTTTAACTCTCTTTCTTCTCTTTCCTTTTCGTTCTTAACTCTGAATTCATTTAGTTTTTTCTTTTCTTCCAAAACTCTCTGTTCCTCTTCTTTCTGTGTTTTTAACCAAAACTCTTCTCTATCTGTTCGACTAATCTCTCGCTGTGGCTGTACTTTTCGGTAATTAGTTCCAACAGGACTTGGATTTTCAATCACTTCTGATCTGTCTTTTAGATTTACTTTTACCGACAGCTTTGATACCTTATTAATGATTTCTTGCGGCTCTACTTCATCCTCATTGCGAGCATTTATTGTCAAATGAGAGCCCTTAAAGAAGTCACAGACATCTCGCGAATGATTAATACAAACACTTTTTTGCCGAAGAGGTGCTCCTTCTCCTTGCTTTACAAAATATAATCATTAATACCATAAATACATAAAAAGTAAATCAATACCCAATTGATGAACACGTATTTGATTTGACCGGTGTTTGAATCGTTTACTTTACAAAAGGCATACAATATTTGACTCGAAGAGAAGCCATCGTACAGTTCCTCCAAACCTCCATTTCCTTTACCTATTGAATAGCCATTCAAATCAATGGTTAATCATTGAAATAATTGAAATACTTTTTTATATAACCCATACCAACAAGTGTTAAGTCATTTGTTTGTTTCTCGTAACCAAAGAGAGCCCTAAATTAAAGATAATGTTATCTTCAAATCAAATGACTATTAATTTAATAAATAAATGACAATTAATACCAATTAATGTTTGATTTTTCATTAATCACTTCTTTATAAGCCGACACCATTTGGTCTCTATATTTGTAGAAATTGACACTCATTTTCATCCGATTGTTGTCTTATCTGTCAAATTAAATCATATAATAATATTATAATTAATTAATAAAAACATTAATTATTATTTTTATAAAACAAATCAATTAAATAACTTTTAATAATAAAGTTTCATAAAATATCATCAAATTAGCGGTAAATATAATTTATAAACAATAATGACATACAAATCAATTGATGACAACCAATGACTTTACACTTCAATCACTGTTTTGAGCGATTAATTCAATTGAATAGCAGTTAATAGCAGTTAATTGCACTCAATTGCAGTCAATGTTTGAAATGTTGGTAAACATCAACAGTTTTGACTGTTTTTTGAGTCAAACAATTCAAGCGATCACTCAATTCAATGCATGCATTCAATGCATTACAACAACACATTCATTACTTTAATCAATACCAATGTATGTCAATCACTGAAGCATTTTTTATAAAAAAAAATTTTGTGTTATAACAACATATTCTTTAAAAATATTAATTGTATTTCTTATAGTTTTATTATAAAATAATCTAATTTTTAATAGATTTGTTATTTAATCAATTTATAAATTATTGAAAATAAATTATAATAAATTAATTAAAATTATAATTAACAAAGTTCTTTATTTTAACTATCATATAACTATTGGTGAAATTTTATTAATATACTATAATAGAAATTTAATGATGTTAATATTCTCTAATTTATTAGTTTAAAAATATTTTTAAAAAGTTATTAATAAAGCAAATACGATAGAATAAGTATTATTTAATAATTATCTGGATCATCTATTGTAATTATAAATTATTAAAACTTAAATTATTTAAAAATCTAATGTCTTATAAGTTTAAATAAAATATATTGATAAAGAATTGTAAATTTAAAGTTATTAAAACATTAATTGAAGTAAATTTCAATTGTAATCAAAAGTCGTCCCGAAAGTTGAGTTGAGTCAGTAGTAGTGATCCATTGATAAAATGTTAGGCCATTCATACTGTAATGTATTAGTATTACATGTATTGTATTGTATTGAGTATAGAGTGTATGCTTCACAGTGTGTGTGTGTTTGTGTCAAGTGTTGAGCGCATGTGTAATGAATGTCATCTCATATGATATTAATATTTGATTCAAGTATTGAATGTGTTGTATATGTTGTATGTGTTGTATGAGTGTGTGATTTGCACCCCATTTGCAGTTTATATAAGAGTCAGTCAGTGAGTGAGTGAGTGTCTGACCAGTGATTAAGTGTATGACAACTGGTATGGCTTGTGATGGACAACGAACAGCCACATCAAGAACTCGTCAAATGTGTGGTCGTCGGCGACACAGCTGTCGGTAAGTGTTGTCACAACTGATTTTAGTGACAATTGTTTGTTTAATACTAAAGATATGATTATTTAGGCAAAACCCGACTGATCTGTGCCCGAGCCTGTAATTCACGGCTAGACCTGACACAGCTTATGACTACACATATTCCTACTGTTTGGGCCATCGATCAGTACCGCATACATAAAGAGGTTTGTCATCATCTGCACAGTTGATCATTAAGTTGACATCACATCCCATGTTTGCATTGATTGCAAATGTCATTCAATTATTTGCCATTTAATTACTCAAAAAATTATTATCCATTAGTTTTGCAAAAATGAGACAATACTTACATTTGATAAACAAAATACTGTTAGTCTATAGTTTAGTTTGCATTACTTGAAAATATGTTTGAATGCAAACATAAATAAAAGATTTTTTTCAAAACGTTTGGTTCAATCATTTGTTTATTATTACAAACTTTATAACATTATCTGACATTCACTTCACTATATTTTAAACATAAGATATTTTAAGAACATATCATAAGCTATTCAACATAACTATATGTTTGCAATAACATTGAAATTGCATTGATTTTTGAGACATTACTTCAAATTATATAATAATATATTTTGACAGTTAACTTAAATTAAACTTTTTTAACATCAATACATTGCTATATTTGTAAATTTATATTAATGCTATTATTTTTTTATATTATTATTATTACTATTTATTTTTTATTGCTATCAATTATAAATTTATATATAAAGAATATTAAGCATTAATTAATCTTATAATAAGTTATCGTAATTTAAATATTTGTTTAAAAACTAACCAAATTTAGAAATAATGTAAAATTATAAGATAATAAAATAAATTTATATGACATGATGTGTCAGAATAAATATTTATTAGATATTTATTATGTTTAAAATTAATTGTGATGTCATGATTTGCCAACAAAATTAAGATAAAAAAATTTAATTATTTATTAAATATAAAATAATAATAATATATAATTAAATATTTGGAAAGTTTCTGATTTTATATTTACTGTAATACACTACTTATTAGTATTTTTTTGGCAAATTCAAAATATTTTAGTCACTTATGTACAATGTAAGCCAAAAGTGGATAAATTGATTATATAATAATTAAATTTGCATTTATCAATTATTGACGATATTATTAAAGATTGAAAATGTTGATTGCTTTTGATTTTAATATTTATGTATACATTGTATTGGGTAAATATTGACATAAAATAATGTATTTATGCATAATCGAGACTATGTTTGGTAATTGTCAACACAATACCAATTGCCAATAATATGATTAATTTTTTTTCAAAATATTGCATAAATTAATTGAAAACTGTTTTTTAAAACTTATGAGTTCTCATAAATTAAATGCATTATTATTTTATTGTAATTACTGTACTATGAAATTAAATTGTAAATTAGTTGCTGACAGTATTGCATTATATTAATACAACAATCTATATTATTTTATTGTTAAGTAATAGTGTATAAATGAATGATACAGGTATTATTACCAATTGCTTTAATAACTATAAAAGATTAATTATTGAATGATTGGCATAAATAACTTAAATAATAAAATTTAAAAAAAGAATATATTTTAATTTATAGATTTATTTTGTTATTTTATTTATTAATATATATATAAAATAATGTAATTTTCAAATTATGACAATCATAATATATTAAATCAAATCGATGCTGAATAATATTTTTATTTTATTTTTTGATGTTAAGAATTAATTACAAATATTCAACAATTTTCAAACAATTATTATAACTTACAATTAATTACTGCTTAATTTGGTTAACAATAATATAATATAAATTATTGTTAATTTAATATTAATAATACAAATACAACTTTATTTTGTATTACAATTTGATTTATTTAAATAATTAGATTTTGATTAATTTATTATTATAAAAGCTATTATTACAAACTATTCTAATATTTAATAAATTTGATTGAATTTATTTATCGGTAATAATTATGATTATTTTATTTATTAGTCATTAAAAAAGCATTAATGGTGTGTGGAATATATACATGTATACCAATGATAATTAAAAAAGTTCAAATTAATATTTACCGGTAATTTTGATAAAATTGTTTTTAACACTTAATAAGTTATAATTATAGTTTATAACATAATACAGTATAATAAACAAAATTAACTGTACAAGGATATGTTTAAAATTATTGTTATATAAAATATACAATATGATACTATAATTAGATAATAAAGTAAACAGTAAATTTGTATTAACCATAATATGTTGAAATGTTTCAAAAATTTCCTCTATATTATACTGTATTAACATTTACTTAATTATTCCTTAGTCATAATTATTTGCAAAATATTAAATACTATAAATAAATAACTTATACAGATTAGAAAAATTATTGATATAAAGTAGGGTTAAAAATCGAAACCATTTTCATCAATCTTAAACAAACCAATATTTAAAACCAAAACAAAAATTAAACTGAGATACAAATAATTAACCATTTGATACAAATGTTTAATAAATTTTATTGTTGATTATTAATAATATTACAATAATATGTATTATGATTTTATCAAACTTGTTGTTTACTATATTGTATTTTTAAAGTGCTTTTTAGTATACTATTTAATAATGTTTAAGTAAATTTGAATAAAATAATAAATATAATTTTATAAATAAATAAATCGCATTAAATACTTTAAAAATAAAAACAACTCTTTTGCAACTATTTTAATAGAATAAACCCGAACCGAAAAACTAAATTCAAACCGAAACCGTTTTTTATGGTTTAAACTATTTAAAAGCAAACATCATATATCCTATCGATTGTTTATATTATTATTTTAATTTTAATATAAGAAATAAAAATATTTAACTACATTTCTACCAATTACACTTTAACTATAAAATTTACTATTTTATTATAGAATATTTTTAGTTTACTATAATTGCAATACAAAATACATATTATTATTATGAATCTATGACAATATTATTGCAATATTTTTAAATATTACATGTCATTTAAGTTGTATTATTAGACTACAGTACTTTATATTCAAATGTAAATATAATACAATATAATACTTTATACAATTTAGACTCTATATTATAGAGTATATCAAATAGATTTTTAAATAGAAGTAATGATATATTAATGGATTGCATTGAAAGCATATGACATTTAAATAATAGATAGATTTACTATATTTTTATTTTAATCAATAAAAATATTTATTATCATTGTAATATTAAAAATGGATTAAGAAATTTTTAAATAAATTTATAATTATAATGTTTTATAAATTTTTTTAAATAATTAATTGTCTTTTGTGTGACAATTTTAGTAATTTATAATTATAATGTGATAATTTATTTTATTACTTGAATGTTATAATTTACCTTCGGATAATTTGGGAATTCCCGATTATATATGAATTTTTTAATTGTTTTGAATTTAAAATTAGTAATAATATTCAAAATATTATAGATTTAATAGAAATTGTTTTCTCTATTTTATGATTAAATAACAAATAATTATAATTTTTATAAACATGTTTTACGATCAATAAAATACAAATCTTATTTTTTATCCATATATTTTAATATTAAACTTTTTTATTAAAGAAAAACTAAAATACAGACAAAATATTTAGTGTGATTATTAACTTATTTGGATTAATTTATTTAAGGCATATTTGTAGTTATAAATTTTGATAAATTAACAAAAAATAAGTTATTCATTTTTATATTGTAGTTGTATTTTTTTTATTGTAATTTACTTTAAATACTATACTTTATTTTTATTAAAATTTTGCTTTATTAATATGGAGATTAGTATATTAAGAAATTAATATAAATTAATTAAATTATAATTATAATAGGTATTACAGCGGTCGTGGGAAGTGGTAGATGGTGTCAATGTGTCATTGAGATTATGGGACACATTTGGTGATCACGACAAAGATAGACGTTTTGCTTACGGGAGGTATGATTTGTTGTCATGACTTGTTATATATGTTTATTAAATTGTATGTTATTTTAGGTCAGATGTAGTGTTATTATGCTTTTCAGTTGCAAATCCCATATCTTTACGAAATTGTAAAGTTATTTGGTATCCGGAAATCCGTCGCTTTTGTCCGAATACACCCATTGTTTTGGTCGGATGTAAGAATGATTTGCGTTATATGTTTAGAGACGAAAAGTTTCTAACACTTTGTCGCGAAAGAAGTCCATTCTTCAGGTATGATATTATTATTATTATTATTATTAAATATTTTATTACTATTTAATTAATGCTTAGTTAATATTATTTTGCATTGTTTTTGATTTTGTTTGGAAAGTTGTGTTTAGAGTGTCGGATAAATTATTAAATATTTAATGTAAAATTTTTTTTTAATTGAAACCAAAATAAGTAAACATTTGATTTTTTTGAAACTCCTTTTGATTTATATATTGTAATATAAAATATTATATTTATATATATTGTATATATAAGTATCAGTACTTATGAAACAAATGTCTTACTCGAAGTTATCATTTTAGGGCAAACCATCTTTGCAGCAGATTTCCTGAGATCGGAAGGTACTGATCATACGTGAGATCAAATCTAATTGTGCTTTCATTTATATTAAACAATGCATTTATTTATTGCATCTATAGATTATTTATTCATATTTAAGCATAAAAATTATTATTATTATTGTTTATTTATATTATATTTGTTACTAAATTTTATTCAAATATTTCTCAATATAACATTTGATTGATTAAAAACTAAGACACGAAATGAAACACTGAATAATATGAAATAATTATGACATATAAATATCAATATTTATTATTATTTATTATTATTGCATTAGTATATAAATAAAAGTGATACAAAAGCTAAATAAATGCTATTATAAATTTATTGCACGAATTGATAGCTTTAATGCATTTTGTATTATAGTTTAATAATCGCTTGCTTTATAATCAACTATTAAATATTGTTTAGTAATTTATGCCATTGTGTGTTGATTTTAGACCTCTTAAAGAGACAGATATATTGACACCAGAACAAGGAAGAATGGTTGCCAAAGACATTGATGCGCCATATTATGAGGCGAGTGTCTTCACCCACTTCGGCGTCAATGAAGTGTTTGAAAATGTCATTAGAATGGCATTAATAGCCAGAAGACAACAAAGGTTTTGGATGACAAACTTAAAACACGTACAGAAATCCTTAATTCAGGAACCATTTTGTCCGCCCCAACCACTATCACCTAAAATAGTTGTTCCCAATTCACAATTCGAACAACACTTGTCTTTATTACTTGAAACCCAGGCCTACACTGATATTATAGTATCAATTGGCAAGTCTGGTATCTGTGCCCATAAGGTTATACTCGCTGCTGCTTCTCAAGAGTTTTATAAGTTATTAACAATGGATATAACAAATACTTATGGAAATGAATTCTCAAGTAATAGTAGTCCCGGATTTTGGGGTCGAAGTGCAAGTGACTCGAGTATTACCAGTTCTGCTACCGATGTTTCTGTCGGTAATTTCAATACAGATACGGAACAACTATTAAGTACTTCACCCGCTGGAGGACCTGTCGATAGCGGTCACACCAATAAACTTTACACATTTCGTGCCTCACAGGGCTCTACATCCCCTTCAGGAAGCGATTCAATGACAGCAAATTTAAATGTCACTAAAAAGAGGTCCAATTTTCGCAATCAGTCATCGGATTTATCTTTATATAGAACAGGTGTCCATAAAAGTTTAAATCATTCACTATTTCAATCAATTAGTGTAGAATTGGGAGAAAATGTAATCGACTGCAGCGGTAGACTCGCCTCAAACGTCCAAACAGTCGTTGCAATGACTAATGCCATTACTATGGGTGCTATCCATAGCTATATTCGTTTTATTTATTCAACAAAACTAAGTGTTGTAAATGAGACACCAGTTTCGGAGTTATATGACATCGCAGAACTGTTAGGACTGCAGGAGTTGCAGGTTTTCCTCAGAAATCTTGAAGATCTTAAAGAGTCTGACATATACTTCAATCAAACGTTTATTAATGAATTTTCACAGAAATTGAAAAGAAATTTGAAAACCATTTGTTTAGATGAAGGATTGTTTGCAGGTTTGACACATATTAACAATATTATATTATTATTGATTATTGATTATATTAACTTAATTTTTTATTATAATAGATGTTATCTTCAAGTTAGAAGATGGAACCTGTTGTGGACATAAAGCTATTCTTATGTCTAGATGTGATGTAATGGATGCCATGTTTAGAGGAGACTTTAAAGAAAGTTTGGCTAAAGTGGTAAATAATTATATTTATAGAAAAATTATATATATTTTATTTTTATTAGAAAATAATATTTAAATATTAAATTAATTAAAACAGATTCCATTTCCCGGAGTCGTTAGAGAGACTTTCCGTCAAATGCTTTATTATTTATATACAGATGGTTTGGACACTAGTATCACACATACCAATTGTCTACCTGTCCTCGAATTGGCCAATAGATTATGTTTATCTCGTTTAGTCGCTCTAATAGAGAATCATATAATAAACGAATTAACTCGAATCAGTGAAAGTGGTGACATAACAGAGATAGTGTTGAGACTGTTAGAGCCGAGTCAGATACACAATGCCGACCAACTGTCTGAGTACTGTCTCCACCAAATAGCCATTCATTACAATGAAATTTGTCACAAAAATACAAAACTCTTGCGTTCACTTCATCCCGAAAACCAGGCGTACCTCAATCGCAACCGATGGCCACCCGTTTGGTATCTTAAAGAGTTTGATTACTTTGAGCGCTGTGTCCGTGAAAGACAATGGCAAGAGAAGCCTAAAGGACTGAAAAGACATCGACTTAATAGTGGATGTCTTTGTTTTTCGGTTAAAAACCGACGAAATGATTCGAAACAAGACATGACTTGATTTTAATTTATTATATATTATATTAATTATATTATTATATTACCGATAATTTTAAAATAACTCAAAAAAATATTACTCTTTTTGGACCAATTAATTGGATTAAGGCTTAAGTTATTTGTTTGAATTTATTTATTTTATAAATGTCTTTCATTTGAATTTAATGTTCTAATGTCCACAAAATATCACATTAATGTTAATCTCATTTAGTCATAATTAGTCGCTTTTCATCAATATATTCATATTGTGATAAAATCATTGTTTTATACTTTGATTACTTGTTTAATGTATGCTTTCAAGCCTTTTATCTTTTGCTCAACTCGTCTCAGTCCGTCTCATGATTTTCATCCCATTTATTACTATTAATATAATGTTTTTCATAAGTCGTGTTCAACTGAAAACAAAAATACATTACAAATTAGTTATATATTTAAATAATACATTCATTGATTAAATAAAATGCAACCAATCATACTATACAATCATTGATGCTATTGTATTGGCCACAATATACTAAATATTTAATTATATATTTATTAATCAATTTGTTTATTTTTAAGTTAGTCACTATAAAAATAGCTAAAATGAAAATTATAATATCGTCGTTATTTTAAATATGAAATGAAAAAATAATATATTTACATTGATAATGATAAATATTTGATTATTAGTATTTTTTGTTGTTGAAAAATCCAGTTTCATTAATACTTTTAAATCAATATACATAAGAAATTTGTTATAAATACAATCCTACTATTTGAACAAATTTTAGATTAATAAAAAAAACTTATAAGAAACTATTTTTAGTTATTAATTCGTTAAAAAATCAAAACATAATTTAATAGATTTTAAGAAATATATTTTCTGAAAAATTTTAATGGAAATTATTTAATAAATAATACATTATATATAACTTTATAATTTTCTAATATAATTTTAATAAATAATATATGACATTAAGAAATTTATAATAATTTGATTTGTCTTATTTAGCAAATAGATTTGTGATAATAACTAATTTAATTAATTAATTTTTATATTAAAAAATAATTCAATATGTTTATTCCGATAGTATATTTTGATGTCAATATATTTGCTTACAATAAGATATTAAAATTAACCACAAATTTATTTATAGATTTTAATTAAAGAATCAATAGTTGAATTCGACTTTTGTGAGACATTGTATTACTCTATGTTTTAATGCAATTAATTATACTGTATTTCATTATTATTTATTATTTATTTATTAATGTTTGCATATGTTTTGAATCAAATAAGTGATGTGAGATTATATGGTAAATAATTGTTGTAAATATTAATAGCTATTTAATTTTAAATCATATTCCAAATGATATAACACATCAAAAAAAACTAATTAATAAATATTTTTAAACCCTTTTATAAACTATAACAACAAAACTAAAGCATTTGCGACCAATTACTCAAACTTTTTATGTGTTTATACACTTATTAATAAATAACTGTATCTTATATTTATTATACTGTATAATACCTTGGTATAAATATATATATATATATATATATATATATAACTTAATATACTCTAAAACTTCATTAAATTTTATTTATTAAGATTAATCACAAAATGTATATTTAATTTTTATTACAACTAAATAATAATAATAATAATTGCGGTAATATTTTTAAAAAGATTTGTTATTCAATAGAATTAACGGGTAATAGATATTAAATATTATAATAATGTGAATATAATTACTACAGTATGAAGAAGTGATTTAATTATCATTTTTGTATTCATATAATGTGTTGATATAACTGGTGGACACACTATTCCTACCCAACGGAACAAAAGCAAAGTTATGTCTTTTATGGTACGGTTCGTATGGGTCGTCACCAGTCGGTCCACTTAAATATGTTGGCCGCTTGTAATATGAATCAACCATTTGATCCAACATTTTGTTGTGTTCATCAGAACAAAACACGTGTTGTTTAGCCCACCATTTGATCCAATAAGGCTTTTGCCATAAGTGTTTATGTCTTCCGGCTCGTGGTCTGATCCAAGCGCCCCAATTTAACCGATAAAATCGTTGTGTGACCGCTCTATTGGTCCGAAAATTTCCCGTCGCCCGGTTGTAGTAAATAACTGTCCTCTTCGGTACTAATTGTTCCGATGTGACTACTTTACGACCGATCAATCGTTGGCCAGTTTCGGCACCGAAGACACAAAATTCTGCGTTAAAATGTAAAACTATTAATAATTTTATAATCTATATATTTAAGCATTAATTTACCTCTTAATCTGGATGGCAATGATAACAAAGTAGCCATCGATGTCAACCAATTGGATGTCAAACCAGTGAATCAATCAATTAGTTTTCAAATGAAGACAACAATCAATGAATCAAACATTCAATGCATTCAATAGTTTGTATCAATGTTTGTGTTATGTAATACAGTGTACTCTCGTTATAATTATCAATGAATTAACTACTTTATACAATCACTATTAGAGTCAATAACTATATGTATGACTAAATAATAAATTTTATTTTAAATGATATGATTAATAAATAAATTTATTTTTAATTATTTGATAATTAAAAAGATATGATATATAATACAAAAAACATTAATCATAATAATTGGTTAAATTGTATTCATTTTGAAAACACGTGATGTTATGTGCGATAAAATTGTGTTTATTTTATTAATATTAAGTTGTCTTCAGTACTGACCATCACTTCATTAACTATTGCTATGTCTTCATTGATATCTTCAAATGTCAACAATTGGTTGCATTTGTTGATCACTCAGACATCACCCATCAGTTCATCCGATGTCCACAATGTGTGCCAACGTATGAATTAATTGATAATATTTTTATGATATATAACATAATAATTGTTTTATTTTTTTGCATTTCTTTTAAAGTGATTCAAACAAATGAGTTAACTCTTGAAAAAGTAGTCATAGATTTGGGGTAATTATCATAAAAATTAATTATAAAAATTATATACTAATAAAAATTGAATTTTAATTAACTAAATATAACTCATAATTAATTGCAGACCACTTATAACGGACAGTGATATCAATGAACGGTTAAAGGGTTTAAATATATTGTCAGTGATTATTAAATCCCTTCCCAAAGACTTGTTGTCACAAAATGAAAGTCTGTATAATTGATAACTTAGAGAACAATTGGTTTTAATAAAGAAATTAATTTTTATTTATTTAACTTTAGTTCAACATTTGATACAATTTTATTGTCATCGACTTCAAGACAGTGAGCCATCGATTGCTACAATCTTTTCGGGACTTTTAGCTCTCGTTTGTATTCATAGATTAATTATAATTAAAGAAAATTATATAAATTAATAAATTATTTTATTATAAATTTACTATTAGATTGAATGTCTTAATTTTGACGAAAGTTTGAATCAAATGGTCGTCAATGGTTTAACCAAAAAAATGTTTGAAAGTGACAGACAGTATACTGAATCAGAAAAATCTCTTCTTTTCCAAATTTTAGGCCAACTTTTTAAAAATAATTCAAATGGTTTGATATAATTTTAATAATTTTTATCAATTTAATTATTATTTCTTCAGTTTTTTTATAAAATTGTTTTTATAATCTAAAAAACAGATGTTGTTTTAAATGCAATGCTAACAAATGAAGTGAACGGTCAAACACTTTTGCCTATAATATTGGAGGCAATAAGTGAAGAAAAAAGTAATAGTAATTCATCTGAATTGAGTCATTTGGCAGCTCTTGATGTCATTTTGCAAATATTAGTTGAGGGAAATCAAGATATATTAGGACCGAGTCTTAAATCAACTGTAAATAATTGTATCAATTTATCAATCAATAGTTCATACCTTAAAGTGAGACGCTCTGCACTCAACTGTTTGGCACTAATTGCCAACAATTTTAATGATTCAGATTTAAATAGTTTAAGAGATGAAGTTATCAGGAGATTGAAGATAACATTGAATGATAAGAAACGACTCGTTCGTAAAAGTGCTGTCAGAGCCCGATGTCAGTGGATTTTTGTCGGACAACCCGGCAGATGATAACAAAGATAACATCATTTTTAATATTATTAATACCATTACTAATAAATATAAATAACTTTATAATAACAATAATTTTATATATTTAACACAAAGACAACAAATTGATAAAATATTTTATATTCAATATTAAAAACTATTAATTTCCGTTGAATGCGTTTAAAGTGAGTCTACGAGACATTGGTTGACCACTTCAAGCAAATGTTGGTTTTCGAGAGCGGCGGCGACTCGCTCTTTGTCGGCCAACTGTTTGTTAACTGCGTCTTCGGTTGCGTGCGTTCCCGGAGTTATGGACACATCGATCTTGAAGTGTTCGGGAAGCGATCGGATCAGTTTGACTTGTATTGAAAGACCAATAAGTGTAGCCATTGAACAATGACTGATAGTCGGTGTAAACCAAACGCGACACTCATTGGTGTTGATGTCGACCTCACACTTGTCTTCTGACACTACATTCAACTCTTCCAAAGTCAACGGATGTTCCGGATCTTTGATACCACGGATTAAATCAAACACTTCTCGCGCATCTATTTCATCGACAATGTGATCATCTTCTTCTTGAGCGGTAATGTGTCTCTCCTGTGATGGCAAATGAATGATTGGATTTGAATTATCCAATGGTTTTGATGTCATTGTTATTATCAACAAAACAATCAATTATTGCATTAAATGTTTACAATCTATTCATTCAATAGTAAATCGCAACTCAATATTGTACTACAGTTATGATCATATATTTTCTACAGTTGCATATTGTGAGCAAATTTCAAATAAGTTTATTCTATTATACAGTACAATGTATTATACAGTATAATGTACTGTACTTACAATACAGTTGTACATCAATACTCAAAACTATAACATTAATCGAATGTACATTTAGTGTGATTTTGATTCATAACAAACCATTGTTTTTATAGCTTTTTTAGTATTGAATTTACATTTGATATCAAAATAACACTTTTGATGACAATTTAAATGATTATTAACACAATTATTATGTTATTTATTATTAAATGACATAAAGTTATGCTTTATATTGTTTGTGAACTCATTTAATGGTTATTATTAGTCGGTAAAGATGTCGAAGAATGATATCAAAGAAATGGTAAATAATTTATCAATTGAATGGTTTAATCAGATTATAATATATTGGTTTGTATTATATTATGTCTTCAAAGAAATGTCTTAATTCGGACCAAACAAAAATCAGTTCACCGAATGTCCGCAAAGTATTCATTCAAAGAGATTATGGCGAAGGAACTGATGTCAGGTTTCAGAAGAAATTTCCGCAAGAATTAGAGGAATACGTAAGATATTAGAGACAGTGATGTGATTAAAGACATTGATTGTTGATTTGATTGAACAGATTGATAGACAATCGTTTGAATACCTGATCGACACATTGAACAGCATTTATGCCGACGCGGAGACAATGAGTGGCCGCATATGTCTTGAGAGTTGTTTTGCCTGTTTTACCGCTTATTTAACGTACATTTGTTGCGATACTTATTACGATAAGGTATTTAAATAATTGATTTAAGGCTTTCAACTAATCATTTCTTTTATTTTTAGTGTTTGCGAAAGATCTCAGCGTTTATTGCCGAACAAAACGATACGGTTTGGAAACCAAGAAATCTTTACGTAACCGATCCCATCGAAAGAGGTCTTAGAGTGATAGAGATTGCTATTATTGAACCAAACGGTGAACAGATGCACACAAACACCGGAAACACTAACTATAATTCAGTGACTAATAACAGAAACCCATAAATCGCTTCTAATTTATACTAATTTTAAATTTTTTTTAAATATTTGATTTTTTGTTAATTTCTCATTTAAAGTCAAACAACTCTCAATGAACTCATTATAATTCATACTTTAAATGTATTTGTTTAGTCTTATACTTTATATTATTTATTTTCTAAATTTTACATTATTTTTAAATTTTTCGTATACATATATATATCATATATATGGTATGATTTATAAAAAAAAGTGGCAATTATTATTTAATTATTTAAATATTAATAATACTAACTAATACAATTAAAATTAAGTATTTTATTTTTATGAGTTAATTTAATTTATTTAATTATCGTTACTTTAATATTAAGTGTATATACTGTATAAGTTAGTTGTATATTCTTATAACTAAAACAGTTAAAAAAACAAAAAACATGTTAATTATATATTACAGTAAACAGTTTTTTACCTAATAATACAATTATAGTATATACCGGTGATCTATGGGTACATACGGTACTAATATTGGAAATTTTGATTACCGTTAATTGTCATTTATTATATATACATATCTACAATGTAAGGTATATACATGTATATGATTACCATTAATAATGGGACAAACAGTATGATCATTGTGTTATTGATCGTTAATTTTGTATTTAAATTTTAAGTTTAGAAATTTCATAAATTTAAAGTAGCATGGTAATATGTTGGTTTGAAAATAATTATAATAAATTATAATGTATTTAACATAAAGTTAGAAAACAAAACTCCATTCAAATTCCTTAAAAGGCTTCAAAAACCCATCAGTTTACATAACTTGTGATACTTTTAATTGAATATTGTATCTGTAAATAACAATTAAATAAATTAAAACAATAAATAAATAATATATTATTATCTTCTCCCGAATTTACTAATTAATTATTCAGTAACTAATTAACTAAATACTAACTAAATACAGTAATAAAATACAGTAACTAAAAAWATATATTTTAATTAATGATAGTTTTTTATTTTCAATATTATTTTGGCTAAATTTGATCAATTAATATTAATTATAAACTACAAAACTACTGCAATACAATAGTGTATAAATAATGAATATTCAATTAAATTATTTAAAGTATAAATTAATTACTAACTAATGCATAATTATCGGTAATATACTGTACTATTTGTGTTAACAAATTAATGGGTTTTTAAAAATGCATGAAAAACTTGTAACGAAATCAATGAAAAGTGCAAATCATTTGTTATTTTGTTGAGTATTTGTAATCATTTTATTATAATATTAAACATAAGTTATATAATAATAATAATAATATAATATTATTATTAATAATAAGTATTTAAATAACATTTTGTTATCAATTAATTATGAAAAGCATTTTATGATATTTTATGAAAATAGTAATTAATGTATATTTTATGACAAATAAATCAATTTATAGTTAAAACTGGATTTAAAAGCAATTAATTTTCGTTATTTGTCGTCAAAGGACTTGGATTTCGCTGAAAAAGTTATCGAAGAAATTCAATCATTTGAACGAAGAGGAAGTGTCCAAAGGTTTGGTTGATTAAGACAAATGACAAAATGATTACCATTTAATGATAATTGTTATCTATTGTCGACAGTGTTCTTGTATTTCCACCAATTGAACGACGATATCGTTATTTGTTTCATGAGTTGACACAAACATATTTCGGTCAAACACTCGGAACCGTTTCCATCGGATTTGAAGGACAACGACAACCTCTTCTTTACTTTAATGCAGTCATTGAGTTTGGGCACCAAATGGACACAATTGAAGACAAATCGATGACCAAATCATCTAATAGTGGTAAACATAAACAAACAAAAGCACACAAACCTGTCAAACAATCGCAAAGATATAATGACCGAAAGTCTCGGCGACCGGATATGAAATTTTATGTCCCACCGAAAGCCAAGACTGATAATAGTAGTGGCGATGACAAGACTGTTGACAGGGATGAGTCATCTGAAGAAATGATGTGCCAAAACATCAACTCATTAATTGATCTGCAAATATCTGACTCTAGTCTTGAGTCTAATGTCACGCACACAACACATCCATTATTAGTTAATAACACTCAAAATGAATCATTTGATACCAAAGAGTCCAATGAAAACAATACAACGAAAAAAGAAGAAGAAGAAGAAGATAATTCTTGGGATACAATGTTTGACGATAACGGCGATTGTGTTGACCAACAATTTGCTGATAAAGTTAGTGATTTGATTTGTAATAAAAAAGTAGACTTAAAACTTGAGAAATCACGAATCGATTACTTAAATTTTGAGTCTAAAGAGCCTGAAATCGGTGACACAGAACTGCCGCACGTTCTCGAAGTATATGACTTTGCTTCTGAAGTGAAGACACAGGACATTATAACCTCAATCTCTATATTTAAGTGAGTTTTTTGTAAAAATTATTTTCACAAATACTTAATAATTGCTTTTCTATATACTATTAGTTCTCGTGATTTTGATATTAAATGGGTTGACGACACTCACGCCTTAGCTGTGTTTTCTAATGGCAGGACAGCCACTGAAGCCCTTAAATTTAGTTATCCTAATATTAAATTACGACCTCTTTCTCAAGCTATTAAAGAATCAAAACTTAAAGCACGCAATAGTTCCGGTAGTTATTTAGTTATTTACATTTAAATTACAGTTAAAACTAAACTAATCTGTTATTTGTAGAATTTTTACAGCCATATAAACAAAGGCCTCAAACAAGTGCTTCATTAGCCCGAAGGCTAGTAACACAATCACTAGGACTCAGGGATAGAATAACACCCGAACAACGGGCCAGAGAAAGAAAACAGTTGGCCGACGCTAAAGGTCTGTATATTCATCCCATAAGTAGTAGTAATTTATATATTATTGAAATTAGAAAAGAAAAAGTTAGCCGTAAAACAAAATATCGATGTCTGGGAAGGAAATGTCTTATAAACATAACATTTAAATAATCAATAGTAATGTAATATATATTTAAACTTATTAAAAGTACATTTATTAAATATTTGTTATAAAGTGGTTTAATTAAAAAAAGTTAATAAAATTAGTAAATGAAAAAACTAGTTAATAGTTATAATTTTTGACAAAATAAAAGTATTTTAAAGAAGATTATAATCAAACTCTTTGTTGTCGAGCAATTCATCTCCGAAATCGCTATCAAATTGCATCTCAAAAATCTCTTTATCGTCGATGGCATACAAGTCAGTAGTGAGCGGATCATTGATATCTAACATTAGCTCCTCTTTCATGGGATGCATCTCTTCGATGTCATCCAAATACTTGGAATCAATTGGTTCAGAGTAAGTGTGTTCAACATTGTCTTGTTTTTGATGACCGCCGACATCACTCATCTCATTGTTGGCCTGTTTTGTGTTGTCTTTCTTTACTGTCTTCGAGTGATTTTTGTTTTCATTAAGTCCGCCAACGGATGGTTTTATTTCTGAACGCAAGACATTACTAACATTTCCGAAAGCTTTTCGCGACGATTTCAAAGCCGATGTTTTGGTAAATGTAAGGCCTTTGCCTTTGATTGCCGGTGTCTTCAGTGCTTTGAGGTCTGTGTTGAATACAAATGATATAAAATAATTATTTCATGTCTTAAGGCATATCATTGACAACTGACCTGAACTTTGCGTCTGTGATTGAAGCGATGCCTTAAGCGGCTGTCCACTGGTCGACACCATCGACAACATGTCATTCTCTTGTCCGAGAGTCAAGTGATCCATTTGGTGATAATCTTGTAATAATAATAATAATAAAATTTTTAATAAAATGTTGTCATTTAGTTGAAATCAATTTAAATAAAATGACTTTAATATTGAATGCAATAATAATTATTGAATGAATGAGATATCAATTCAAACCAAATATTTATTAAAAGCGCCAAACATTACGTCTAATGACTTAACCGTCAAATCAATTGCAATGCAATCGATAGAGACATCTGTCGAGTCGTAAATGCTTTAAATAAATGAAACTTTCAGTTAAATTGCAATACATTTACAATTGATTTTGTTATTGATTTTAAATATATAATCAAATTTTATGTTAAATTTAATGCATTTGTATAAAAATGTATTAATAATATTAGTTATTAATTAAAAAAGTTATTACCATTTATTACAGTACAGTATATTAATACTAATAATGAATATATTTCTCATTAGATGTCATTATAGACAACGTTTAGATCATGTGTTTGAATATGAATTAACAACAAGTGATGTAATGTTTTGATTATTCAATCAATTGATGACATGAATGACACTTTAGGTGACAATTGTGACCACAAGAGTGTCACTTTAGAGACACTTCCCTCTGATATCTTATATGTTATATTCAGTTATTGTGATATCAAGTGTTTATTATCATTGAGTTGTTGTTCACTTAAGTTATATCGTTTGGTTATAACTGATCCCTATGTTTGGCTGCACAAGAGTTTGCGATCTTTGGTTACAAACCAATTGTCACCACAAATAATATGTCGGTCTTCATGTGTATTATCAACACTCGAGAAGTGCAGAGTATCTCATAATTGGATTAATGGTGTCTATAAAGAAAAAGTCATTATTAGACACAAAACAAGGTTTTTATACATTTGTTTTAACATTTTTATTAAATATCTATAAATATATATCTTTGGATCAAATGTTTAGTTTATGGCCAATATATTGTTGTTTATTATTAATAAATATTTTGATAATAACATAAAACATACAAATAATCTAATTTTATATAATATACTCAATAGATATTTGTAAATTAATTTTAAGACCAATTAATATTTTGTCAAAAATATAATTGATTTATACATATAATGCAAATTAAAAGTTTAAATTTGAGTTATATTGTGTTGATTTAACTTTACGTTAATTAAGGTAACTTAGGATACATTTACCTTATATTATGTAATTTATATAAATAACGGCTAAATCATTACATAATTACTAAAATTTAAACTTTTAATTGACATAAACTGTACGTTTGATTGCATACACGATAACAATGTATGAACTGTTTGTCCATAAATTAGATTTAATACTCATTTTATGACTCATTTCATAGATATCTTCCGTGGATTTGCTTAGAGAAAGACTTCTTGTGGTTGACTAAAGGAAACATAATATTGCGATACAAAAGAAAGTCAAATAACTATTGTGTTTATAAACGGTTTGTCCAAAAGCTGATGTCTGCCACTCAAGATATTTGCCGTTTCGTTGTTACCAATGATTTAGTTATATCTGGTGGTCGTAGGGGTTGTATTGCTATTTGGGATAAATATAGCGGAAAATCTATTTATTATGAAAATAATCTTCATTTAAATGATATTAATTCAGTTGACTCTTATAAAAACAGATTAATTATAAGCGGATCTAAAGATAAACATATTAAGCTGTGGTCTATAATTGACAACAATTTTAGATCTGATGTATATTTAAATTACGAAAATACTATTTTAGTTAACGATAGGATTTGGACAGTAGCTACCAATGAGTTAAGTGATAGCTTTATAGTTGGTTCAGCCGGTTGTGGACCAATGCAACCTTTAATACAATATGATATACAAAGCGGACAATTGTTGAATCAATTCGGAACAACTCATCAAAGAGGAGCCGGAGTTTTACACGCTTTCTGGGAGTCAAACACTCAAGTGTTAAGCTGTGGTTACGATAGTTTTGTACGTTTATGGGATACAAGAGCAACAAATCGATGGTAATAATAATAGTGTCATAATTTTGAATATGTATAAGTAATACTGTATTTGTATAATAAATTTTTAAAATTTTAATCATCACTTTTTTATAGTGTTAACAACTTTGAAGATCCACACGATTCAGTTGTTTATTGCATGTCATCCGATCACTTATATACAATAATGACGGGAACAGCTAGATATGGTCTGACCAGACTTTGGGATAAACGTTATCCAAATAAATGCATTCAAATGTATTATGTCGGCAATAATAACAGTCCTGTATATTCATTATCGTTTGATCCGTTATGTGCTTATGTAGCTTTGGAGTCATCAATTAATAAATTATCATTTATATAAAAAATTATTAAATTATTATAATAATATACACTTTTATATTACCCTAATTTAAAAATCTAATAAATTATAATAAACTAACATTTGATTTTTTACATTATATTTATAATTTGATGAATACAGTTGTCTTTCAATCATTATACCAGTCGAGGAAAAGTATTGTAAAGGCGAGTGTCGTTATGAAGAAGAGTATCCAAACCCGAAAACCTGCGTTTTTCTTCATAGCTTCGCGTAATTGTTGATTACCTTCTCTTATGTTTTCGGTCGACGAAATGGTTACATCACTGACTTTGTTTAAATCAACTTCTTGTTTAAGAACATTATCAGTGAATATCTCTTGAAGACGTGCTATTTCCACGACTTTCATCTCAATGTCTTTCACTTCAGAACTCAAACTATTCATATCTTCATATAAATGTTGATTCTCTTCTTCAAACACCTGAAGTTCGTGTTTACTTAGTTCTAACTGTTGATATGTATCTTCATTATTGTTCAATTGATTGGATTCAATAGGTATTTCACTTTTAATTTCAATATCATTTAAACTATCATTTATTACTTCATTTGGAGTAAAATTTTCTTTATTATCGGAAGAATTCAAATCCTGTTTAACAATATTTTCTGTCGACTTATTAGTGATTATATAACCTAATCGTAAGAGTCTTTGTTTTTCGACGGCTCTCTTAATTCTTATAGCCTTTTGTTGGCTATGAATATCACAAACACTTTTAAGATATTTTTCAATCAAATCTATGACAATGTTTTGGTGATTACTTAATTGATTTTTCACTCCTCTCTTCACTAAAATATTGAATAAAATAATTATAATTTAATAAATTTCTTATCGTTTAAATTGATAGCAAATGCTAAGAAACAAACCATCATTTCTGAGACATTTGATTGCCTTTTCGTTACATATTTTGATGAACTGTTCCACATCTTCGTCGATCTCATCGCGCTCTTTGTCGGTCATCATTGAAGCCAATGATAGCAATGGACTACTGTTTTAATTAAGACGATAAATACAAATCTTATTAATTGTTATAAAAGTTATAAAACTTACTAAATATTGATGTAATCGTTGCGATTGTCGAGTAAATACTTCTTCATATCAGTAATAGATTTGACCAAATCTTTGGCATTTTTACTGAAGATGTTATTAGAATTTAAACTCGACTTCAATTTCTTCACATTATTGGTCACATTGTCGTTGGATGTCATCTCATGAATGGCTTTATTGGTAGATATAATAGATTGCAGACAATCACTGAAAGTCTTGGTTATGTCCATAATGTTGTCTTTAAAATCAATTAATATATCATTTAATGATTAATCAATATTTTTATTACATATGTATTATGAGTTTAATTACAAATAACTTTATGATATTATTTCAATAATGTATTATAAAAGACAGTGAAATACAATATAAGTCAATCACTGATGAGTTGTTGTTATTGTTGACAATCACCACATCTGGTGTGAAATTTTCATAATATTATTAATTTATAAAAACAGTAATACCTTTACATTGAATATAAAATATTGAATTGCATTGCATTTACTGTATATTTAATAATAACGACTATTAATAACTGCAAGCAATGGTCAATATATTTAAATTGTAAGTAAAGTATTGACTAATCATTAAAAAGTGATAAACCATTGGTTTTTATAGACATGACGTGTAGTCAAGTGTTACACACTTTGCATTCAACTGTAATTCAATGATATTTTTGAATGCATTCAGTGATCGGTTGACTGCCGAAGACATGTGTTGTTTGTTTTGCTTAACTTTTAAGCACTTCTAACCTAACCTATAGTTATCCGATGATAGCTATTATGCCATTAAATACCCGATTAATGGTGTGTTTGAGTGTCAGTTCTGGCCATTAACTCGGTGTCCGACATAAGTAACTGATACTAACATTCAACACATGTCTTCACCGATCACTTGCCTAACACGTGAAGCATAACTTAAAACCATTAGTTAAAAGATTTTAACAAATATTTCGCGTACAATAAATTGGCTTTAATTACATTATATATAGTCATTATAAGACATTTAATGACTATTATGTATTAAAGCTTACAAAACCATTTGATAATTGATTTAATTTTTTAAAAATTTTATATCATATTTGCAAACTATTAATAATTTTATTTTTAGTATTGATTTCAAGTATTTTTGACTCGTTTGGTAAATAATGAAGTTGTTGTGGTTGTCATCAATTTATACCATAATTGGTTTGATTGAGTGTCACCTAAACACAAGTGAAGAGTCGTGTTCTTCGGATGGTTTTTGTCCGGATGTTAACTATGGTCCACACTCTCCATACATTCCCTGCAGTTATTTGTTAGTATTTTTTATCTTACAATATATTGGTTACAAATTAACTTATTTTTGTGATATTTTTTATTTAATTAATGAAAGACCTATGGATTTCTTGGAATGTGATCCACTATATGATCATAAGGGCAACGAAACTGCCAAAGAGGTGATGGGTTATGGATGTACTAAAGTAATGTATAATTGATATAATATACTATGTGTTGTATATTAATAATGATATTATCGGTAATATAGTTTGGGGCCCAAAAATACGAAGACATGCAGTTTACGTCCCGAAACTGTACTGTTTTAGATGGTATTGACTGCTTTGGATCTAAAAATTTTATGAAACCCAACTTTCCTTGTGTTAAGTAAGTTAGCGATAAAAATAACTGATATTTTTTCTATGGTTATCTCATACCTGTAATTGATTTGTATTGCAATTTTGATCTCAGATATACCGGTCATTATTTTGTGACCACTTTATTATACTCATTATTATTGGGTTTCCTGGGAATGGATCGCTTCTGTTTGGGTCATACGGGCACAGCTGTGGGTAAACTATTGACATTGGGTGGGGTTGGCATTTGGTGGATTGTCGACATTGTACTACTTGTTACCGGACATCTAGTCCCTGAAGATGCCAGCAATTGGATGCCAACCGCTTAGATATCAATACATTTAAAACAGTTGTATATAATTGTAAATAATATATAATATTATGTAATTTATACACTTTTTCATTAAATATTAAATGTTTTTTTAAATAATATATTTATTGACTAATTTATATATTAGTTAAATATTATGATTAAAGAGACGTAATTAGTGTATAAAATAAAGTGGTATTCAATCGGATATTGTAATGAATGAAATGGCAGTCAATGTATAGTCAATGTAGGAGTGAATCAGTCATTCAATTAGTGTTTGTTTTAATGTTTTTGATGTTAAATACCATTTGATATGTTATTTACAAAACTGTTTAATGTTTAATCAAATTATTATTATTACATATAATTAGTGTATTATTATTGTTATGCATAATGAATGACGGATAGTGTTGTTGATGTTGATTATGATATCAGTTATAAGTGATAAAGTCTTGAGATTGACATCAATGATGATATGATATGTAATATCATATAAAATATATGAAGAAATGAGTGATTGATTTAAAGATATATAATATTATATATAATGATTGAACCGATAGTGCAATCAATCAAATGAGAGCTCAATTGTTATATGAAATGACTGTTATTTTTATTGAGTTTTAAATGCCTTTAAATGTGATTTGTTTTATCACACATTCATTAATGACTTCATTAGATAATTGAATACAAATTCTTACAAAACATCTATTTTACGAAATATTATTAATATAATACTAATGTAATAATAATAATAATAATAATAATAATAATAATAATAAAATCATACATAAAATAAAGCAATAGTTTGAATAAAGTGATTAATCCATTGGATTTGACATATCTATTGTGGACACAATGGCCGCACTTTTGGACAAAATCGGCAAAATATTCAAAGGAAGTAATGGCTCTTCAGATGTCAAACGTAAGAAAGTCTATCACAACATCAGATTCAATGAAAATCCCGAAGACTTTTGGAGAATCATTGGAGAAGTAGGTGACGGAGCTTTCGGTAAAGTCTTTAAGGTTTGTATCAATGTTTTTCATAATATCATATAATGTCTGATATTTCATCTTTTATTAGTTATTATGAAATATCTAAATAATTGCATTAAATATTATGGTTTATTAATTAATAAATAAATTAAATAAATGCTAAATTTTTAATTAAATTGATTATCTGTTAACGTATTAACTTAAAAAATACTATTTTTATTTGTTTTATCGTCAAAATAGTTATTATTTATCGATAAATAATAAGTTATATGATATACGGAAATATTAATCCTTTTTTCTATAAATTTTAGCTTTTTATCATAAATACAGTATAAATAACAATAAACATTATGATAACTAAAGTATTACTTATCAATTAAATAATTTTTATATTACCGTAAATTAGCTATTATTTATTAAATAATATACTAATATTAAAATGTTTATTTTTAAAATATAAAATGTAAAACAAACCACATAATAATAATATTATTAATAATAGTATAAAAACAAATTAGCTAAATATAAACTTTTTTAAAAGTTTATTTTAATAGCTTTAAGCAATTATATAGATTTTAAGCGTTAATTTATGATAGCGTGTAAATAGTTATTATTAATAAATTATGTAATAGTTTATAGAATAAATAAGTTGTAATTAATAGATATAATTTATATTAATGGATATAATAAAACAAATAGTTTGCATATTTATTAAACAACTTTAAGTAATATATATGTTATATAATGATAGGCTGAGAACCGGGAGACCGGCAAACTAGCGGCCGCTAAGATCTGTGAGTTGAAAGGCGAGGACGAGTTGGACGACTTCACCGTTGAAATTGATATACTCTCTGAATGTAAACATCAAAATGTTGTCCAATTACTTGAAGCCTTCTTTTTTGAAGAAAAACTATGGGTTTGTATTAAATATTTTTTTTTTAACAAATATTAACATTTGAATGCATTTCAAAATTATTTAATACAGTTATATAGCACTTGACCTCTTTATACAGTATATATATATAGTAATTTAAACTTGTTTATATTTTTTTAAAAAAAACTTTCATAAATTATTTTATTATATCATTAAAATTATTACGGCAACCCTTTAGTGTTTCAAATTATTAATTTAGTCATTTTTTTTTTTATCAAACATACATATGTTTATTTTTACAAAAATATAAAATTTGATAAATGTTTGGTAATTTGTAATTATTATATTTAAATGATAATATTAGATGTTAATAGAGTTTTGTGAAGGCGGTGCCATTGATTCAATTATGATTGATTTGGAGAAACCATTAACTGAAAATCAAATTAGATATGTTTGCCATCATATGTGTAAAGGACTGGACTTTTTGCACAAACAAAAGATAATTCATAGAGATTTAAAAGCCGGTAATGTTTTGTTAACTCTTGATGGAGAAGTTAAGTTGGGTGAGTGTCGTCTCAATTTAAATATAAATTTTTGTCATAATTTATTTTATTAATCTAATTGTTATGTATTTTATATCTTATTTTAGCCGATTTTGGTGTATCGGCTAAAAATAAGGAAACACTTCAAAAACGAGATTCATTTATAGGAACTCCTTATTGGTAAGATTTAGACACTTGTTTGTATGACACATGAAATTTAATAAATAATTTTATTGTGCTTATCATAGGATGGCTCCTGAAGTAGTAATGTGTGAGACATTTCGTGATAATCCATACGACTATAAGGCAGATATATGGTCTTTGGGTAATAATTTATAATTTAATAAAATGATTGAAATGATAACAAATTGCAATATTTGAAAATTATCTTCAGGAGTCACATTAATAGAATTCGCTCAAATGGAGCCACCAAATCATCAAATGGCACCAATGAGAGTATTGCTCAAAGTGCAAAAAGCAGATCCACCCAAACTAGACAACCCATCGCTTTGGAGTAAAGAATTCAGCGATTTTTTAGCCCATTGTCTCATTAAAGATCCCACACAACGATCAACTGCTTCTGAACTTCTTAATCATGCATTTATTAGAGACGTTTCCGATAAGAAATCAATTTTAGCACTAATTAGTGAATTTAAAGCCGAAGTTTTTGAAGAAGTTGTTACCGAAGAAAACGATGACGAAATTATTGAGGTATTTGTTTGTTTTGTTTGTTTATAGTATTGTCTTAATTTTTAGTCTTACTTTCTAAATCTGTCAAACTTTTAACTCTATTGCTTATCATAGAAGAGGACGGGTAGGCAAAAAAATCTACTTTTAATTTATAATAGTTTTAGTTATTAAAATAAAGTGTTTTGTAAACTAAATTATTTTATAAATGTTTTATTATTAGGAAACGAGTTCTGTTCGTCAAAGTGTTATTACAGAGTCTCAGATGAGTGTCGAAGAAAATGAAAAACCAAATGATTTGGTTATTTCGTCTTCAATGACACCTAAAGAAGAGAAAAAGATTGACTCTAAGAACGAAGAATTAGTCAAAAGTAATGATTTGACTAAAGAGGAAATGAATAAGAAATCAAATGAAACTTTAACTCCCGTTGTAAGCCATAGTCATCATCATAAACGACAGGCACCAAAACCGCCGCAGATTGTTAATGACACTAAAAATATCAGCGATAAAATTAATTCAAATGATAATAATATTGAAACAATACAACAATTAGACACAACTAATGAAATCAAAAATGAAAATAAAGAAATAAAAAAAGATAATAATATTGAAGATAATAATGAAAATATAGAACCAATTGCTAAAGGTTTGCAAATACAAAACGAAGAGAATTCAATTGGCAATTATGAAGTTACTGTAACTCCAATTCACAGCACAATAATTAAAACTGAAGAATCTATTGCTGACACATCTCATGTTTCGATTGTTACCATTGATAACAATGGAAAAGATGTAACCATTCAAACTGCCAGCGATGAAGAAAATTCGTTGAAGACAAGTAACTCATTGAGTGGTTATTTGAATAATACATTTAAAGATGAAGTAGTAGTCGTTGGCAATGATTTGTTTTCGGATAAGATTGTTGTCAATACAGAGTATATGCCTTCAAATGATGAAAATGAGACCAAAATTGTAGGCACAGAGTCAGAGAGTGCTGACCAGATTTCAAGTCAGAGCTCATCGCATATTGACGCCGATGATAGTCTCTCTATACACACATCATCTTCAGACAACAGTGCAAATAATTCAGATAAACCAAGAATTAAAGTTAACTTAAATTTAGTTTCCGAGTCAGAACACGAGCCTTATTCACATCAAAAAGATACCAACGAGACACCGAAAACACGTGTAGATCAGGTGCCAGTTGTTAACGATAATATGACACCTAAACATACCGGTAATTCATTTACTAAATCAAACGTTACAAACGGTGTCAACTCTCCGAAATCAAAAGTCAAAACAAATGTTTCTGCTCTTAAACGAGAGCTTTCAGATTCCGGTAGTTTTCTCAGTGTTAACAGTGATAAAGAAAATAGTATTTCAAATGACAATCAAAATAACACTCAAAATCCTATAGTTTTAAGGAAAAGACGCGAAAAGGTTTGTTTTTATTGCATCCGTAATCTTAAAATTATTTTATATATCGTCTAATTTTTTTATTGATTAGGAATATCAAATGAAAAAGAGTGGTACAACTCATCAAAGTTCAGCACAAAAGAAGACATTGACCAGAACTCGCAAGTTTCTCATCGATGGTGTAGTCGTTACCACAACTACTAGTAAAGTGATTTATGGAGATTCAGATAAATTACGCGAAGACCATGTTTTGAGGTATTTCAACGATAAAATATCTTTAGATAATAGTTACCAATATTTATAATTTTATGTTTATTTAATTACCGGTAATAGAAAACAAGAGTTGCGTGAATTAAAAATGCTTCAAAAGCAAGAAAATAAACAATTTCAGGATTTGTCGTTCAAAGCACAGTTCAGTATTGAACAACAAGAGAAACGATTTGAAGTCGAAATGATTGGTTTGAAACGCAATTATGATAACGATTTGGATGCACTTAATAGACAGCAAAAACAATTGGTCGAAAAAGCCGAACAACAACAGGAAATGGATTTAAAGTTTGCCTCAAAAAAGATTAGAGCGGAACAGGAAAGGGATTTAAAGCAATTTCGTGAATCTATTAAAAATGAGCTAAAACTGCTTAAACAAGAAGTAGATCTAATGCCTAAAGATAAGCGTAAGGATATGTTTCGTGTGAGAAGAGAAAAGTTAGATTTCGAGCACAACGAAAGGGAACGACATTTTATTGAAAGTCTTAATGATAGTCACGATATGTCTCTCAAAAGATTAAGTGAGAGTCATCGCGACAAACTCGCTCTTCTTGAGAGACAATTTCTTCAACAGAAACAACAACTCCAAAGAGCCAGAGAAGCTGCCATTTGGGAGCTCGAAGAACGACATCTTCATGAAAAACATCAACTTTCAAAACGACAACTTAAAGACTCATTTTTTCTTCAAAGGCATCAAATGCTTGTTAGACACGAAAAGGTAAAACAGAATTAGGATAACGAGTGAGACAATTGATTAATGTATTAATGTTTTGACAGGAATTAGAACAAGTGAAACGAATGAATGCTTTACAAGAAGATGAACTTCTTAAAAGACAAGCCATTGAAAGAAGACATTTACCAAAGAGAATTCGTTCAGAAATGAAGACAAGAGAATTAATGTTTAGGGAAAGCTTACGCATAAGTATGGCTAACCTTCCAGCGGCCTCTTCTTCAGATGAAGAAAGAGATAAACTAAAGAGATTTCAAGAAAGTGAGAAAAAACGATACAAAGCGGAACAGTTAAGACAAGAACACAAACATAATAAACAATTAGAAGATTTGAGACTATTTTGTGAATCAACAATAAGAGATTTGGAGCAAATCCAGAATGAAAAGCGAAAGGCTCTGATGGAACACGAGACCGTCAAACTTAAACTTCTTGAGGAACAACATAGCAATGAGTTCCGAGAATGGAAGGCACATCTTAAGCCTAGAAAACAGGTTTTGTTTTCTTTCAATTGATAATTAAATGTTAATTTTAAATATAATTTGTGGTAATTTACTGTATATTTATATAGAGATTAGAGGAAGAGTTTATGCGTCAGCGCGAAGAACAGGAGCGCTTCTATGGCTCTAATATGCCGTTTCTCAATGAACTGACATTGGCCTCAACAGCTGATCATTTATCACATATTTGCCATCAAAGTGCCAGCGGTTCGAGCACTTGTTCAGTGCCCAGTACTCCGGGTTCGCCTAATAATGACATGTCATCGAAACAAGCATTTCATTGATTGAGTCATAATTTAAATGAATGAATGAATTGTTGTCTAACATTCATTGGTTTTCATCTATTTATTTGTTATATAACTAGTCTTATCATTGATTATAATAATCATTTCCAAAAAAAAAACAAATGATTCCAATGTTAATGCAAAAACTACTTATGCATTCATTGTATATTTAATTTTTATATTTTTTAAAATGAATTATTGCCAAAACATTTGTACAGAATATATAAGCCAATTGTAAGTTATTTATGAAAAGGGGTTTTAATTGATTTCTTAATATTTGACCAAATGATTACTTTTTATTATTTTTTCTCCCATTTAGAGGTCTTATATGGTATTGCAATAAAGTGCCTAAAATTAATTTATTTTCTATAAATTAAAATAAATATTTAAATTATTTGCATAGTTTATTGAAAAATATTTATTTTTTACTCATTTTTAAATTATGTTGAGGTATAAAATATATAAATATTTTTACATATTAAAATTTTATTAAATTATATATTTTCACTTAAATCCTCATTAAATATAATTAAGATATAATTTTGAATCAAAATATACTGTAATTGAAATTTCATTTCAAATGTATTATTGTGTCCTCAGAGGTCAGATTGATTCACGTATGTGTCGGACAACATTAATATTACAATTACTGTTATTCACTAATTATTGTTAATATGATTTTAATTATATGAGAAATAAAATTTTGACAACAAATAAATATATATTTTGGATTATAATTACCTTGATTACGTCTTACTAAATTTTGATAGGACCAATCAATTGCTAAAAAATAGCCAGCACACTTTAAATAATCGTATATTTTTGGTAAATATTATTAATAGATAATATTTTTAAAATATGACTTTACTATAAATTTATTGGTGCTATTAAAATGTCATTTGAATATTACAGTCAAATGATTGAATCCTATTAAAGTTTTTTAAAAATTATGATTCAATTGAGTTTTTAATAAAAATTTATAGAAATAAAATCTCATAATTGATATATGAGTAAAACCAATGTTATAAACTACTGTAGTTAACTACAGTATTATAAATTTACTGTAAATTTATATTGATAATTATCAATTCATTAATGCTGTCTCACTTTACAATAATTATTGTTATAAGTGTCACAAAATAACCAAATAATTAATATTACATTAAATAATATCAATACTTTTGGAGATAACAGTAAAATAATTAGTGACTGATTTACAAATGTTGAGTTAAGAGTGAGTGATTGACTTTGTTTGTCGACATTGAAAATTAAAAGAAGATATATATGAAAGTCATTTCAATTGATTAAAATGATAAGTAAATTATTATATTTGGTTTTAATATGTAATTTGAAATAATATATTTTGAGTACCATTTTGTCAATTTAATAATGGAGAGGCATATTATTGTTTAATATTTTTTAAAATACAATTATTATAACCGTACATTTACTATACTATTAAATGAATGATTTACGGTAATAATAAATTTATAAAATATATATTTATTCATCAATTTGGTTCAATAGTATGTTTAAATAACTATATAGTTTACAATCACATTTAATTATACTTTTTTATTTATAAAATATATTGTAAATAATAATTAAGCAAAAAGAGCATAAACTGAAAACAAATGAAAGACGGATTGATGTATTACAGTGTGTTTACTGCAAGTGTCACATCCATCGAGCTCTCTGTGCGAGAATCTGTCCCTGAAGGGATCGGGCTAAAAACATGGCCAACAATTGGATGAGTGCCGATCCCAAACAAACAGCGGCCACTAAATTCATATTTCGCTCAATTATCTCAGTTATGGCTTCCACACAACCTCTTGTAAATATATATTTATTAACTTCAACTACTGAACTGATATTCTGTACATTATATCCACACATGATATTTATGAGACCACTCTATGAAAATCAATAAAATATATCATTTAAAATTACAACAATTGTTTTTAAAAATAACAATAATACTGTTATATATTACATCAAAATTTCTAGGATTTCGACAACAAGAGAAAGGCACTGCACATCGCTCCGGACTCGGGTTGGTTTGGTTGCACTCAAAGTATATGTTGCGGTTCCTAAACAATGGCAATGTTTAGACAATCATATATTAAAATGTGGTTTTATATTATATTTACCAATCTTTATATCCTTTATCTGAAATACCACAACATTTGAACTCAGTTTGGATGACATCAATGAGATTCTGGAGATTTGTGTCGTCTCTATATTTAATTATGGGATCCTTTGAAAGACTTTCCTTTATGTAAAATGAGAAGGAATTGGGAAAAACAAATGCAACGGTTGACAGAACCACTTCTCCGACAAACAGCAATAAAAGCATTAATGAATACTATAATCATTAAAAAAAAATTAATATTAAATTTATATTTAAATTAATACCAAACTGTTGAGTAAATACCAGTTTAAGTAAAAATAGGTTCTCTCGGAGTGCACCCAAACATCCGGCAAAACTCATACTGAATATAATAGTGCCGACAGTCATGAGTGCAACAGAGATATGTAATATAATATCCAATATATTCTGCACTTTAATAAATGTATGGTTATATTCCTCGAGGAATGACCACAAACCCAGACCTATGAGCACACCTCCTATTAACTGATATATAAAATCAAATATTTATTATATTAATATCTAAAAACTCATATCAAATGCCATCAAATATATACCCAAAACAAGAGGTTGAAAAAGAAGAGCGAATATTTAAGACACGGAGAGATAAACGAGAAGTTTTCATCAAATGTATGCAAAATGGCATTTTGTCCGCAAGAATGACCCGATCGATGACCAGAACGATGAGATCGTTGCCAATTGTGACCACCGGATGAACGACTTCTAGAGCGTTGGCCGCCATCTCTTGAAGGCATTGCTTCGGCAGTTCAACGTCTGGTCAGTAAATGAGATGAGAGTCAACCAAATGATATCAACACAACAGCTGATCAATCAATGATAACAATAGTCAACAATGCATTGGTTGGCAAAACAAACAACAATTTATAGATTGATTGTGAGATATATTATCAATATATATGACAACAAAAACTATTCAATTTAGTGATCGACTAATCAATTGATAACATATTTATTGTAATAACAGATAAACAAAAACACAAAACATATCATAAAATGATTTCAATTTCAAGTTATCAACTATTTGTCACTTTTATGACTATTGAATATTTCATTATTAATTAACAAATATTGAAAATTAGTCAAAAAATTATTGAATTTGATTTAATAAATTTGAAAATCAAATAACTTTTAAATTGATTTATTTGTTTCAATTGATTCAATATTAGTGACCAAAAAATTTACAGTAATTTTGATGAAAACATAAAATGAACGACACTTTAGTTGAGTCAGTGATTGACACTAACAGCGCATGTCTTCAAACATAAACTTTTGACAATTGATTTAATACTTATTCAATGTATTATTGTTTTGATTGTTGTGTTGACAATACATAGTGTATTACAAACTGTATTACAAACTGTATTACAAACTGTATTACAAACACTCAATTTAATCACATTTTCTTTTATCTAATAATATACAGTATATATGATATATATATATATATAATTTTAATATTTTATTCATATTAATACTATATAATAATAAACCTATAATACTATAAATATTTATAAAGTATATATAATTTACAATGAATTAGATTTAGATATACATTGAAATATTATACACACAATTAATATACTAATAGTTAGTTTTTGAAATTATATATTAGTTAATATACATATATTTTATTAACACAATAAATGATTTGAGTTAAGATAATTTATATATTAATATACTGTAGTAATTTATACACTATATTTATGTATATTATTTTATAATAAGTGTTACAAAAAAAAAATTATAAAATTTATTACTGTCATTGAATTGTTTTTTTTAAATAATTTTATTTATGACAAAAGTATTTCATTTATTTTTGTTATTTATAAAAATCTCAATTAAATAAGTTATTTATAAAATTTTAATACAGTATATAAAATTATAAAAAATATTATTGCAATTCAAAATTATATAAAATACATAATTGATTTAAACCTAAATAAGTTAATTTAATTATAATAAAAACAAATTTAATATTTATAAAACAAAATAGTTATATTAAATGCTTTAAAAATTGAATTTTATTTTTTTAAAATTAATAAATTAGTTCACAAGTTATGTTACAATACTTGTAATTTATATATCAATACAATGTATAATATGTGCAAAAACCAGTCATAACTGGTATTGACTGCAATTCAACATAACTTACATCAATATATACGGTGTTTATTATAATTGTAATTATTTTGATTAATATAAATATATTTAAATAATTACTATTTAAATACAAATAAAATACAATTTTTAAATAAAATGTTTTATTTGGTTAATCACAAGTCAATGACTAAATGACTAAATGAATGTCCAATTGATGTGTTGATTGCAAACTCATAACCACTCCCTCAATGGTTGCGTCAAATTGACTGATATATTGAAACACAAGTTTGCTATCATTTTATCGGATTGTAATCACAATCGGATCAATCAGTCATTTATTATATTGTCATTATAATTGTCATAATATTAGTATCAACTGGTGATCGACAATAATAATAATAATTAGTGATAATGTCAAAGATGACTGAAGAATGTGTGGCAACAATGGACGTAAAGTCTGACATCAAAGCCGACACTAAAGATATCAACGATCACTTCATTTGTGGTGTCGTTGAAGGTATTTATTGATAATTAATATAATCTTCTTTGATTTAATTGATTCATTTCATAGGTTTTTATGGCCGTCCGTGGACTGCAAGTCAACGAAAAGATCTGTTTATTAAGTAGTGATTAATGAGTTAATTGTTATATTAAATGAATTAATTTTTTGTGTCTTTTTATAAAGACTTAAGCGATTTGGTCTCAACACATACATGTATGCCCCCAAAGATGACCTCAAACATCGGGCCTATTGGAGGGAACTCTATACAGTCGAGTCAGTTGTCTTTAGTTTAATTATTGTTGTCGTTTCTTATGTTAACAATTATTATTATTATTTGATGGACAGAGAGGCGGATCAATTAAGTGTATTGATTAATGCGGCCAAAGAGAGCTCTATTGAGTTCATATATGCGTTATCTCCCGGTCTCGACATATCATATTCAAGTGCTAAAGACATGTTATGTCTTAAACGAAAGTTAGAACAGGTCTCACAATTTGGATGCAATGCTTTTGCTCTACTTTTTGACGATATTGAACCCGAAATAAGTGAATCCGATAAAGAAGTGTTTCAGTCATTTGCCAGCGCACAGGTCTCAGTCTCTAATGAGATCTACCAAAGCCTGGGTCAGCCAAGGTTTCTGTTTTGTCCGACTGAGTACTGCAACTCACGAGCCGTTCCTAATGTTCAAAACTCGGAATATCTTAATACAATCGGTCGGACATTAATGTCAGGAATTGATGTTATGTGGACCGGGAGTAAAGTTATAACTCACACATTAACTGTCCAATCAATACAAGAATTATCAGAAGTTCTAAGACGACCGCCAGTCATATGGGATAATCTTCACGCCAATGATTACGATCAGAAGCGTATATTTCTTGGCCCTTATAGCGGCCGATCTACGGATTTGATCCCTCATTTAAGAGGTGTGCTTACAAATCCTAATTGTGAATATGAGCCCAACTTTATTCCTATACATACTTTGGCGCAATGGTCTAAATGCAAGTCTGACGCCAAATGTCAAACGAGTTCTATCAGTTCGGACATCAAACTTGAGGCTGAAAGTGATAATGGATTAATTGAAGACATACCAATGCATTTGAGCCCTACTGCATATCATCCAAAGAAAGCATTGAGATTATCTATTACTGAATGGTTGTCTGAGTTTAATAAACAAAAGACAGCTTACGGTCGATCTAATTCTTTCCTTAATTTATCTTTGCCACCGATTCTTCCAATAGTCAATCCACTGCCTCTCGAGGAAAATGCATCTAATGATGATAAACCATTAGATATGAACACTGCTTCATCTTTATCTTCGTCGTCATCACCAACTACTAGCTCTAATGACTCAAATGCTGATAAAACTACTGAACCTAACGATGCAAATGAATTAATTGAAAGTGCAATACAATCACCAAAAGACACAAATCAAATACTTGAACCAATGGACTGCAATACGAGTCCTAATTTGTCACCAAAGCATACATTTGATGCACAAATGGAAGAAACAAATGTAAAAAATGATGATTTAGACACATCTCCACAATTAACACCTAAACGAGGGGCTAATAGTGTCGATTCCGGCGAAGAGATGCAGACAGAGTGTTGTTCAGAAATAGATGATGAAACTCGTTGTCATCAATTAACATATGAAGACATTTCACTTTTAATTGATTTATTTTACTTACCCTTTGAACACGGAGGACAAGGCTTACAATTTCTCAATGAATTTCATTGGCTTAAAGCTAATGGATTTCTTGTATCTGAATTCCGACGTAAAATAACTACAGAATCGGAGGGACCAGAAGTGTCTGAATGGTATGCGAGGGCAGCAAAGTTTGATGACATGACTGCATCTGTTGGCCGATTGCTTACAAAATTAACTTTTTGTAAAAACCGATCGCTTTTATATGATTTATATCCATATGTTTGGGATATTAAAGGAGTCATCTCTCTATTGAATTCATATGTTAAATGGCTCGGTATGTCAAATGTCTTATTATTTAATTATATTGTTTTAATTTTTGTCGACAACTGTACAATAAATACTTTTTTGATTATAATTTTAAATATAAAAAGTCTAAATATAATATAATTTAGTAGTTATTTACGAGTCATATTTGATGCACATTTCGGTTTGAAGTTATTAAAGAAATTTAGTTTAAAATAATGAGACTTTTAAATTTGGTGAACCGTTTCATTGCAAATATTATTATTTTTTTGGACAAATTTTGTCTGATTTTGAATACAACCAGTGTTTCAAAAATATATATAATAATGGGTTGTTTTCTTGTTTGGAATAGCCTTAGGAAGAGTGCCGACATCTACTCTGACACAACCAAATGGGTTCATCCCTCCAACCTTTACCTGTATGACTCAGTTTTAATGATGATTTAGCAAATTATTTATTTAACTATTAATTAAAATAGTTATATTATTAACAATTAAATTAATGTAAAATACTTTTTTGTTATTTTCAAAGGGTTTTCAAAAGGCTATAGAGAAGCGTTTCAGAGCGGAGATCAAGAACCATGGGTTTTCAGAGGAGGACTCACTGCTGAACTTCAGGTATTTTACTGAAACAATAAAAATAATATGTATTTTACGTATTTAAAAAAATCTAATAATTAACTATTTCGATGACAGAGATTACTACCGGTAGAGACGGTCAGTGATTTGTTTTTATACAAAGCACCCGAATCTCCTTCGAGTCAAATCTACACTATTAGACCATACCTTCCAAACGATGAATCGCATGTTTATGACATTTGTCGCAAAACATTTGCTTTGGAGAGAGAAAACATAACTTTAGAAGATATAACTGATTTTGTTGGCGACAGACTTGTCGGCGGATTTTTATCACTCACTCCTGAATATTGTTTTATAGTTGAGGACGAAATGGGGATCTGTGGCTATGCTTTGGCTGCTATCGACGCACAACAGTTCAATAAAAAACTTGAAATTTCGTGGACACCCGAACTCAGCCGCAAATATCCGGCGCCGACCGAAAAATTAAGTTCCGGTCAAAAATTATCTCCAGTCGAGCAAATGATTCATGATATGCACTCAACAAGTGCTGTCTATCCAATACCTGATGTCATTTTAAAGAGTCATCCGTCTGTACTGAAGATGTCTGTTTTGCCACATATTATGGACTTAAGTGTTCCCAAGAGAATACTCGCCTGTATTATAGCAGCTCTTAAAGCCAATGGTTTGTTATTCAATATATTACTTAATAGTATTTTTCATTGTTTTATAACTGAAATTAAAAGTTTTATTTATGATTTTCAATATAGAGACTAATATTTTATAATTTACTAATAAAAACATTTTTTATTTGATTATAGGATCTGTGGGTGTCTTCAGTGAGATTTCATCAACTGATAAGAAGTTATTTGACTTTTATTCTAAATTAGGGTTTTTACAGATCCAGGTGTCCAGTGATTGCACTAATGAAATGTCTATTTTCATGGGTCGAGTCATTTGATTGCAATCATTAATTTATTATTTAAATTAAATTTTGTATCTTTTTTTAAAACGACGACTAAATTAGAATTTTTGTTAATACTATTTTGATTAATGATTTTTAAGTAAAATTTTTGAATTGTATTATTGTCTTAAACAATATTTTAAATAAAATTATGATTTGACTTAAATTAATTTCGGCTAATTTTTGTACTGATCTCGAAATAGTTAATTGTATTAAAATCGTATTACTATTGAATATATTTTAATTTGTTTTTTAAATACAAAATTTCTAAGATAATTGAATTATTTATTAGTTTGTATTATATAATTCAAAACGAAAAGGTATACAAATCTGTATGTATTTTTAAATTTAATAATAATAATAATATTTATTAGGAATCTCTTTCAACAAAAGTGTATTTTAAAAGAAATCCTTTGATGCATAAACTATACATAAATTAATTAAAAAAATATTTTAAAAATCTTATACATAATCAAAAACAAGTATACAGATACTGTATAAACAAATACTATAAAAAATAATTTAAATTAAAAGTATTAAAATTTAATGTTTTTAATTTTTCTTTAAAGCTTTTTATTGTTGATTTTGATCTGACATCAAGTGGTAATTGATTCCATATTTTTACTCTATTTATTCAAAATAATTCAAAATTTTATTTTAGATATACAGTACTGAATTTGACAGACAATTATTAAGATAACAATATTGAAATTTGATTGCAATAATTATATCGTTAATAAAAATATAATTATTGTAACATATTTTGAACAATACATTGGTTTGTATAGTTTAGTAACGTTTGTATTGACTTTATATCTTATAATACATTTATTAAGTGTTAGACTAAATAATTTCAGGAAAATTACAGAATCCTTGAACTCAAAGAAAAAATTATAACAAAGTTTGCAATATATAGCAGTATATGCAGTGTTTGTACATTGATCTGTACTCTCCATACAGTATAGTAATACAACTTTTTAAAATTTAATTTTTTTTTATTATAGTTGTTTAATATTTCCATTTATTCGGTAATTTAATATATTATAATTTAATTAAATCAAAATATTTATCATTTGAATTATATAACTTAGAGTATTTTCATTTACATAGACATGAAATTAAGACAGTAAATAAAATTTTGAATAAAAATTAATATTATAAATTATAATAAATGTAAAATACATTTTCAATTATTTGTTTTAAGTTACTATTAGACAATATTTCTGAATTATATTAATTCATCATTTTTAACAATTAGTAGAAATATTTAACAAAAAGATTTTATATTTATTAATAGTTTTTACTTAATTTACTTTTTATATAAGTTTATCAATTAATGTTAATATATATTTAAAAAATAGATTATATTGACATAAACTTTATGATATATCGATAAACTTAATACTAATTAATATTAATAATCAAAGCATTGATATTATTAACTATTTGACGGCATATAGAGGTCTCACTATATTCTGTTTGAATGCAAACTAAAAACCAGAATATTATAGAAACATAAGTAATAAGTAGTGTATTGATTAATAATTTTTTATACTCTATTAAATAGTTGTTATAATAGTTGCTAAAAAAGTCAAATAGTTATTGAAATAGTTATTTATTTTCTTATAAATATTTCAACTGATATATAATTCACTTGTTTTCAGCACATTTACAAAAATGATTTATATAAATAAACTAATTATTTCTATTGTTAAAAAAGTAATATTAGTTAATAACAGTTTACACATTTTATATAATTTATATAACTATTACTTTTTGTTTTTAAATATTTTGTGCAATATTTTACAATTTAATGCTTATATTTTTCAAAATCAATGAAATAATTATTTATAAGTTTTTATAGTTTCTAACCCAACAAATAGTTATTTATAGTTATAATAAAATTTCGGAAATAGCGTCCACTGGTCAACTTCGGTGGACATACTAAGTCCCAGTTATAAGCGTTGAACCGACAAAATAATTTTTTTAGTTGGAAATCAAGACACTAGTAATAAGTATTGCTATAAATAGTGAGACAATCGATGCTATGATTACATTGAATGTCACACAAGTGTCGCATCCATTGAATACTTGTTTCAAACGATAAGTCAATTGAATTGTCATTTTTTTGAAGATCTGATCCCTAATTGAAAACAATGTCTCGTTTTGATTGTGTTGAGAGCGCGCCGGCCATCGAAATATTCGCGTTAAGTAAGGCTTATAAAGAGGATACAAACCCACAAAAGGTTGATCTCGGCATCGGTGGTAAGTTTGCATAATTTATAGATACTATTAAAGATATCAATGGTGACAATATCATCAACTGATCCAATGAATAGCTTACCGAACAAACGAAGCAAAGCCATGGGTTTTGCCGGTCGTGCGAAAGGCAGAGCACGAGATCGCAAACGACGACTCATTAAATCACGAATACTTAAGTCAATTGGGAGACGATTTGTTCGCACAGTTGGCCACTAAAATGCTTTTGGGAGACAATAACAAAGCCATTGAAGACAAACGGGTTTGCATTCAGACAATACCTTTGATTAACAAATTAGATAACAAATTGAATTTAAAATTAAGGCGTTTGGTGTGCAGTGTCTGTCCGGAACCGGTGCCCTAAGAGTCGGAGCTGACTTTCTTCGCCGAAACGCTGGTTTTAAAACAGTTTATGTTTCAGATCCGTCGTGGCGTAAGATTAATGCGAAAGTAATTTTAACGTAATATTTATTAAAATTAATTACATTTGCAGCCAATCATAAGCTTCTCTTCAATCACGCGGGCTTTGAATCGGTGCGGACTTATCGGTATTGGGACGCAGCTAATAGACAACTAGACTTTGATGGTCTGATTGAGGACCTGCGTAATGCACCCGAAGACTCAGTGATAGTACTACATGCTTGTGCTCACAATCCGACGGGAATTGATCCGACTGTAGATCAGTGGAAAGCAATCGCTGATGTGATTGAAGAGAAAAAACTGTTTCCGTTCTTTGATTGCGCGTATCAGGGATTTGCTTCGGGAGATCTCGATAAGGATGCCAATAGTGTCCGCTATTTTGTTGATCGAGGATTTGAAATACTGTGCGCCCAATCATTTGCTAAAAATTTTGGACTTTACAGTAATATTGACACAAAATAATTATAATTGTTTCATTAGTTAAACTAATTTTTAATTTATATTTATATTATAATATATTAGATGAACGCATCGGTAATTTGACAGTTGTATTGAAAAACACGACTCCAATTGTGAATTCAAAGGCACAGATAACTCTATTAATTAGAGGAAACTATAGGTAGTTATTAAATATTTGCATAAAATATTAATATATTCCGGTATAATGTTATTAACAAAATAAAAATATAATTATATGATAGTAACCCTCCTGTTCATGGATCACGTATTGTGGCCAAAGTACTCAATGATCCTCAGCTCTATCAGGAATGGTATGCATAATTGAAACACACTTTTGTTAACATATTCTTATATTATAATAATTTTATATACAATATGTATATTTCTAAAGGAGAGAATGCATTAAATCAATGGCCGGTCGTATTCAAGATATGAGGAATCAATTGCGACAAAACATAGAAAAATTGGGAACTTCTGGAAAATGGAGTCATATTACGGATCAGATCGGAATGTTTTCATATACGGGTCTTAATAAACAACAAATACAACATTTGGTCGACAATTATCACATATATTTGCCAAAAGACGGTCGCATTAGTTTAAGCGGAATCAACACTCAAAATGTTGAATATGTGGCCAAAGCTATCAACGACGCCGTCAATCAATTTCCTTAAATTGTTATAATCTTATAGTTATCAATCAATTATCAGAAACTACAGTATATTTTAGTGAATTAAATAATAAAAGTATGGTTAATAGGGTTTGAAAATTTTATTTTTGTTTTTACCAATTAATGTAAATTGAAGTTAAATTAGGTAATTGTTTTAATATATAGTATATAATGTTTAATCTAAAATAAAATATGTTTTTAATATCATAATACTGTTTGAATATTATTTTATTTGATTACAATTAAGTAGTGGTGTATTGAAAGAGTTTAAATGATTTGGTATTTAATGGTATGAAAAGTATACAAACAGTCTGTATGTTGTGTTGTCTTCACTGTTTGTCCATCACTTACATTGCTATACACAGTGATTGTAAAACTAGTATAATATGTAGATGTAGTACACGTATAGCAATGTAAGTGATGGACAAACAGTCAACACATTATTGACATAATAATGACAATCATTGATTGGTTGACAACTCAACACATGTTTACTGTATATAATAAACTCATAATATTTGTATACATTTGTGTTGATATTATTAATCAATTGTATATTAATATCATATGAATTGTTGTAAAAGTGATTTTTAATCATTTAGTGTATGAATTGAATCAATAAAATGGTTTGTTTTTTATATTTATATTCATATGTTATTAAATAAAAAATAAATAAATGTATTATTTATTGAAAAGCGGTTCAGATTTTGCGGTAACAATGACTGTCAGGACTGGCTTTTGGCACAAATATCTTTGTTGTCTAAACTGGTTATTGTCTATATTGTCGTCTATATTGTCCATCAATTATCACTTATTATTGTTATGTTTTGTTATAGACATCAATCAAAATGAAAGTCTTATGCAATGAATGTCTCAATGATATCGTCGACAATAACTTAAATGTATTTACAATTTATTTGCTATTTATTTGTTTATTATTGATTTAATTGAATGTAATGTCCAACAGATGCAGACAATCACTAAAATAGGTTCGGAGGCAAAGCTGGACAGCCATCACATTAGAGGCATAGTATCTGCCATTCAATTCATTTTTATGAGTTCCTCGAAATACAGCACAGATTGTGACACTCTTTCCAATGAATTACAACAATTAGGTCTTCCCAAGGGTTAGACAATCTTTCTATTCATTTATTTTTGTCACTAATTTTGTGTCCAATCAGAGCATAGTTCAGCTCTTTGTAAAGTATATTCAGAAAATGAAGAACGACTCCAACAAGTTCTCAAACATCAGAGTCTTAGATGTAATTTAAGATATAATTGTAGTTTAATTAAAACTTTAATATTTATCTATTAATTCAATATTGTATTTACCATTTAAGTGAATCGTTTGAATCAAATTGATTACAAAATCGACACACAATTCAATGGCTTGTCTTTTAAAGTGAAAGCACCGGCACTTGAAATAAGTGTTGATATAAGAAATAACATGAAGAATGATAAGACATCATTTCATGTGAGCCATCAAAAGCTATCGGCACTCATATACGGTATGATCTCATTGTTTGTCTCACATTTCAATCACTTTATATAACAAAATAACAATCACAACAAAGTATTACCAATTTCTCTAAAGTCTTATAAGAGATGAGATGTCTGCAAGACTTTGATGACGTTTTTATTTTGTACGATAGACTCATTTATTAATTTCTTAATTTATTGTTATTTAATCCTCAGAATTAAAACAATCGCTTCAATTAATGGATGACATTAACGTAAATTAACATAAGTTTTACGTAATATATAATTCTCTCTATTATTATATTTATTAATTTTCTTAAAATATAAATTTGACAAAAAATAACAATAAATTAGAATTTATACTAAAATTATTGAAATATTTGTTAATTAATAATAATTTGTATATAATTTTATTAAAATTGTCATTTGAAAGTTTAAATTACACTATTAACAGTACAATATTTTAATTAAATCTTTATGTTACATTTAATGTTCAATTATGTAGTAATTAATTGTAAATTTTGTTTTATATTTGAATAAAATTATATCAAAAAAGTATTAACCATAATTGACCAAAAAATAAATAAATAAATAAACAGTTAGTCATAAATTGATATTTTTATTATTTATTTTACTAATAATTATTCAATAGTTACATATATTGATGAGTATGTCTTTAATATCATTAAACAAATTGTGATTATAAGCCAAAAACAATGGCAGGAAATAAAATAAAATTTATAAGAAATGAATAAATGAACGAAAAACCAGATATAAGGCATCAAATATTACACAAAACTAAACAATGTTTTGAGCTTTTTATGTATATTTCATATATTGATTCACTCGTTTACATCATATATCATATCTATAATAATCTGTATGAATACCATTGTGTGACAATCGTAACAAAATTGTCACAAATATGATATATACTTGTATTTATTTATTTATATATATATATATAATTAATGTTAATATATAATTACATTAAATGAGCCGTTAATACAAAATCTATTTCAAGTCAAACAACCGAACGCTTGTGAGGCCAATGAGTCAAAAATAGGACTTAAATGTCAAATCAAGTCATCAGATGATTAAATTGACACCAAATGACTGACTAGTATTGAATCTTTATATCATTGCGAGTCATTGGGAGGGCACTGATGGTTCCGGAGCACAGAGAGGGCATCTTTGACGGCATGATATATAATGTTTTTGATCTGTAGTTTGTCCTCATGATTGGTATGAGTGTCAGACAATTGTCTGAATTCTTGTGTCAAATTGAAACAATGCGATACATTTTCTGGTGACACGAAATCTCCGGCAACTTTGATACAACTGTTCAAATTGCGGACCTGATGGGGAGCACCGGCAGGAATAAAGATAGCATCGCCCAAACATTGTGCTATAGCATAGCCTTCAACGCCGTACTCCTTTGAAAGTCTATTTCTTAAATTTTCATCCAAATACCAGCTTTGGTCGTGAATGGGGTCGTGATGTGGTTCCAGTGTTTCTCCCCTTTCAATGGCCACTTTGTTAAGTAAATCGCGTATTTTGTCGGCATCTCTGGCACTATAGATATGCCAAAGAGCTCCTAATTTGACTCCCTTTTCGCGAACCCTTTTCTTCATGTGTTCGTCACAACCGGCACTATCAACAGCTTCTTGTACTTCTTGAAGATAATCTTTTTCAGTTTTATAGCTCTCTTTAGGAATGCCTACAAAAATCATGACATTAACGGCATCACTGATGTCTAAATGAAGATTAGTTGTTCCTTTATCCGAGTACTGACACGATCCGTATGCGCTGTACATCTTTGGTCCCAAATCTGGTCGAACAAAACAATCTGGAAGACGACCGGCGAGATTAAGGACACCATTTCTACTCGTATATTCCGGAAGTGGAAGAGAAGACATCAGATCTTTATAACGAGTGGGTAATAGTTCACTAAATTCTTCATCTGGTGGCCAGTCTTTTAGCTTTAAGAGCATATATTCTCCTGATTTGTCTTTCATTCTAATCTGCAAATTCTCAAATCCGTCCCAAAACTTCCTCATCGGTTGCTTTTGTAGAATATCTCCATTGAGACAATTTATTAAATCATTTTTAATATCACCAAAATCTTTACTAAACGAATCCGGGTGCCAGAGTTGACTATTCAAGTTCTTGTGATTGTTTTTTACCAAAACCGGCTGTTCAATCAAATATATTATTATTGATTAGAAACAAATTTTCAATTAATGGTAATATATTAACATACCTGTCCTCGAATCCATTGTTCCTGAAATAATGCAATGTTTTCGGGATTCTTAGGTTCGAGTAATACAAGAAGTTTTCCGTCGCTAAACCAGTCGTGTGGTATTTGCGGATATTGTTTCTTAGTTTCTTCGATTATCCGACAAATTATAGGCAACGGATCAGTTTCTTTGCGAAGCGGAAAATATCTTCTCGTAAAGTGTTGTAACTCTTTTTGTGGCTCTTTTTTCGCACAATTTTCATCTTTTGTCTCAACATCTGATGACTCTAATTCAGTCTTCTTAATATTTTGTGATTCATTAAGTGATGATCCATTGGATTTATTATCTTTAGTCGTTAATTTAGATGTGGGACCCATTAGAAGTTCCCTTAATGTTGAATGTTTAGTATCGTCGTCACCATCGCTGTTAATTTCACTTTCCTTTTCAGCTTTGATCGCTAACTTCTTTTTACATTTGATTTCATTGTCATCTTTAGAAATCAACTTTTCAGAAGTGAGTGCGACGTCAACGAAAAAACTGAGCGGAGAGTTACCACTCTCTGAACTATAGCCCGTTAACGTACTGTCCGTTTCCTGTTTAATCATAGCTACCGAACCATTAATTGATTTCCAGTTTTTGCTATTTGTGTCGTTAATGCCATTCACTTGTTTATTGTCCAATTTGACGACACTTAGCACTTGTTTGGTAAATCCATTGGGTTTCTTGTGATTGTTATCTTTGAGAGCACTAACACACGTACAGTTGGCACTGATATTCCATTTGGTCCGCAAATTATGAAGCATTCGGCCGACACTGGAGAGGGCAGAAGCGGCTATGATTTGAGTCACTTCGAGTCTCTGAGGTTCGTGTTGTTGACGATTATTGCAAAGAAGCCATTGGAAGCCATCTCTGTCTTTCGCTGGACACATATCCTCTTTAATTGATCCAACTTTTCTAGCTTTATAACAGTCAATACAAACAACAAATCCACATTTATCACAAACCCAATGAATATTAAAAAGAGTGGTTTCACAGACGTCACACATTTCTCTAACTCCCTGTACCACTCTTTTCCATGTGATATTCTTATTAGTTGATCCCATATGTAATAATTGTGCCTCTTTTTCTTGTTTAACTAAATCACAGAACTGGTCGCCCACGTGTGCGATAACAAACTTAGCTGTCTCTAAGTCAAGATCTGCTGGCATCTCATCATTTGGAAGCCATAATTTGAGATCCTCTTCACTGGCGTCCTGTGGTTGAGAGAAGCCGGCGATTGTTAATATATTACTCTTAAACACCAGTTTTCTGTAGTCATAAAAGCGACAAAATATAGTTGGCTTTCGATTTCTCTGAGTTGGAGTCATTCGACATTCTCGACATTTCGGGAGTTTGGGCGCCACCTCAACACAAGAGCCGCCCTGAAGAAAGTGTTTACCAGTTTTCTTAAGCTCTGCGATTGCCATTCTGTCAGATTTTCCTTTTTTCTTCATCAGTGAACCACTCGCTTCTTTGGATGACTTATCCTTTTCGTCATTTTTCAATGCTTTAGGTTTGCGACCTCTTCTGGTTGTTGTTGTCGACCGCAAGTCATTAGACTCTTTGTCATTATTTTTATTTTTGTCTTTCTTTTTCTTTTCTTCGTTTTCTTTACCAATTTTTTCATCACTTTTATTGCTTTCAGATTTCCGCTTCTTTAGGTCTTTATCTTTATTTTGATTGTGGACTCTCTTTCTTGTTTTAATTGAGCGCGTATTTGAAGTACGTTTACTACTTTTCGATGAATTACTTAATTCAGTTTCAGAAGTAGATGTGGTATCGTCATCATCACCACTAATATCCTCATCTTTGACTTCTTTTTTATTAATTACACCATTAATTGTAACATCACTTACTTTAGAGTCATTAGTGTTGTCACTGTTTGAATTAGATATATCATTATGAATGACAACATTAGTGGTCGTTGTCGTTGTGGTAGTAGAAACACCCGTCTTATCTTCAGAATGTCTCTGAAGCCACGCTTTCTTAAGTTTTGGATGAAATGAACTGGTGGTCGATGGAGTAATTGTAGCGCTTGAAGTACTGGCCATCACTTTGATATCATCTTTTGTCTGAGATGTTGAAGAGTTGCTATTTGTTGGCGAACTAATAATAGTTTCATTTGAAGTGTTGGATGAGATTTGTGGCTTAATATCTGCAACAATTTTTTCAGATGTTGTATCATTTGAATCAATTATTGCATTAGATTTTTGAATTGGCACTTCACTCAATGGTTCAAATTGATCACTGGATGTGCTTTGAATAATGCCAGTAGTATTAACCACATTATCATTAGATGGTATCTGCAATGTATGTATAATATCTGAGTTCTCTTCATGTTTTGGCTTTTTATTGTTATTTAGAGGATTGACTATTGGTTCCAAAGATTTTCGTTTAACATTACTCATATTATACGGATTAATCCCCGAATGAGCGGCTGGAGGTGTCACCTGAGTTGGTATATTAGAACCGACGGAAACCATTCCTGGTGGCGGTCCATAAGGTGATTGCGGTATCGGACCACTGGATATTCGAGGCGAATGTGGAGAAGAAACTCTATGAAAGACATTACGGTCTTGAGTTTGAATATATGGCTGATGTGTTGGTTTGGCGCTTCTGTTAGCCTCTGAATGTATGTTTGAATCGGTTTTGTTGAGAGAAAGACTTTGTGGATATTTTTGCGAATTTGACACATTTGTTCGGTTAGGTTCATAATAAGGAATACTGTTTGGACGGCATACGGGAATACCACTCATTATTCCTGGTCCGGGCTTATTGAACATTGCAGATGATTGTGACTGACTTGAAGTAGGGGTAGTACTCGGTATTGGTTTTGCTGAATGTGGTCGTGTTATCACTGATGGCGTTGTATTTGTCAATTGTGTTGTAGGCATACCTTTATATGAAGGATTGGGAACCAATCCCTGTTGTATTAAATTAAATGACTGATAATTAGTTGATAAATTGGGAGATTTTTGATGTAAATTCATGTTTGGAGAACATCTTTTTCTATCGATTTGTGTTTTCATTATGTCATTAAAACTCTTTGATTTTGAATCAGTTTTTACAAGATTTTGCGGTTGTTCTTGATTTTGTGAGGAATGGGCAGTTGGTATTTGACTTTGTATTTGAAAAGATATGGGCGATGCACTGCTTAAGTGAGGTGTTGTCGATCGGGAAGTGCTTCCCTGATGAGCAGGTGGTGCACTGGTCATTGGATAATCGTATTGTTTGATTATTTGATTTTGACTTCTGTGATATAAAGGGCTAACTCTTTCTTGAGTCATAAGTTTAGGTGATTTTTGTTTTGGCGACAATGACGGAGGTCTTCCAAGAGGTGTACTATTTCTACTATTAGGTGTAATCGATCGGTCAATTTTTGGAGATTCCCTTTTGTCGAGACTGTGTGCCGATGGTGTTCCTACTTTTGAGTGATCAGTTCGAGCTGTCATTAATGGTGCCGTTGAAACAGCTGATGATATATTCAAACGATTATTATCTTTAAGTTGTGCAGCAGTTGCTGCTGTTATATATCCGATGTTCTGGTTATTTGGTTTATATCCATATATGTCAAGACTGGGTTCGTTTTTGGCACGAAATGACATTTGATTATGTTTTGATATATCCATCACTGGACTAGAAGTTGCCCCTTTCCTGGCCAGTTCACTCATTAAATGATGTGTTGGTTGTGATTGCAACTGCCGAGCACTTGATAAATGCTGCTTAGAAATAGCCTCAACTCGAGATCCCTGTGCTGTATGAGAGCTATGTTGATGATTGGATGGTTGCATATACGTGAGCCACGTCTCCGAATCATTTCTATGTTCTTTAGAAAAGACATCTCTTTCTCTCACATATTCTCGAGATTTTTGTGAAGAATGCTGTGAAACATGTGATGCCGAGTGTGGCAATTGATGTTGAGGTAAACCATGACTTTGATGGGACAGATTTGTAGGTGTTTTAGACAATTGCAGGTTTGGACTCCACCCGGGATTCTAAACAATTAATAACCAATTGATTAATAATGTATAATAAAATTGAAATCATTTATTCAAATTTTAACTAACCTTTTGTCTCATTAGACGTAATGACTCTTCAAAGTGTTGGTCCACCGCTTCCTTTGCATTTTCTTCCCTATTCTTAGAGTGCACTTCATGTCGTATCCTTTCATTATAATCTTTGCTCTCTTTTTCATTCTTTAATAGTTTTTCCTTTTCATCTCGTCTTTCCCTAAAATAATTAATGAAAATAATATAGTTTTGGAAAATATGAGTGTATTTCTATAATAATGCAAAACCTATCAATTCTTTGATGTTTATCTTGAAGTACTTGTGCCCTAATCTGTTCATTATATAGATTCCAAGCGCCGGGAATTGAAGAGAGATGCTGATAGTTTTTTTGCTGCCAATACAAATTGTCACTAATTGCTTGAGCATTCAACCCGGGAACCATTGGATGCGTTGTTTGCATCAAATGGTGATATATTGGGTCCACTGGACTTGTAAGTCGATGTGATGGATGAGATGAACTGACCGGTAATATATGTGATGACTGTGAAGGTGATTGTGAATGAATTGTTGGCTGCGTTTTAAGCTTATATTGTGTTGGAATTGAAGACATCGATGACATTGAAGGCGGAAGAATCGATGGATGACTACTTCTCACTTGTGATGTTGTCGACGACATGTGACCCAAGTCAGGGCTTCGGGTCAATGTCGTAGACGATGTCGTGTTCACGGAATGCATGAGTCCGTGCCTTATATGTTGCACTGAATCAATATGTCTTATAATTTGTTTGTCCACTAAATTTGGATCTCTATAAACAGTTACCGACTCGTGTCGATTTAAGGCCAATGAAGCTTTTGAATTATTGGTTTCATTCAAACTTTTATCCAAATTATTATTATTATTACACTTAATGTCTAAATTGACACAAACACTATTAGCACCTGAGGTCGTCAAGTGTTGGAAATCAGTTTTATTGTCATTACTTCGGTTATCTTCACTAATAATATTAGATCGCTTCGGGAATGTTTCACATTTCATTTGATTGGTTGCCAATGTGTTCAATGGTTCACTAATTGAACACATTATAGGCACCGTTGGAGACACATCACAATTAGGTGTTTCCGAGATTGGCGTTTGATTTGATTGACTGATATCTTTGCGAATAACAGAAACTGAATTTGAACTATCTTTTGTAGTGTTAATTAATACATTAATTGAATTTTGTGATAATTGTGAAACACATTTAACACTTGTTATATCATTAGCTTTTTGATCAGTCCTTGATTTCAATTCATTTCTTTTATTACAACTTTCCTTCAATTTTTCATTTTTTGAAACTTCACAACAAATAGTTTGTAAATCCTTGACATCTTTTAAAACATTTAAATCATTGCAATTATCACTATTAGTGTTAGCAATGCTATTATCTGATGATATCACTTGTGGTTCACTGTCTTCTTCAAAAAAGTTAATATTGAGATCACTTTCTGATATTTGTTGACATTTCTTGCGATTCCCTTTATTGCGAAGAGTCTTCTTGTGTTCATCTGATATCTTCAATGAATCTTCAATTTCGGTATCACTACTATCACTGGTGTCCAACAACTCCTTAGCTTTTTGTGCTTTTATTTCACAACTTTTCGATGTCTGTCGACAAGAATTTCGAGGTTTTACTGAATTAATTGTTTCTATTTTTTTTATATCCGATTTAGTCTTTTGATTGTTTGACTTCTTTGGCTTATTCTGGAGCACCTGTTGATCGCTACTGTCTATGGAATCCTTAATGTCTTTATTTTCTTTAGTAATATGTCTCTTATGACTCTCACTAACGTTTTTAACATTAACTGAACTCTTGTTTTCAGAAGTTATTACTCGACCTAATCATTGATATAAAAAAATATATAATTTTTTGTTAATTATTTTATAATTGACCAAAATTAATACGTATAAAATACTAAATTTATTATTGATCACAAAATATAGTATATTATTATTATGTTATTCATCACTATATACTGCATCTCTCTCTCTCGACACCCACTCATATCTGACAACTCTCTGTTTAGTTATAATATAAAAGCAATGGAGTTATGGCTCATGAGTTGTTGACTATTAGACTAATATCATTGATATATCAATACTATGGTCTATATAATAGTGTTGACAAACTGTGGCCTAAAATGAGAGTACATCACACTATTTGTCCATAAATTGTATTCACATGTTTAATAATCTCAACCAATTTATCTGAGTTTAACATTAAATTCACTATTTATTATAACAACTAAAAGGTTTAACATACTATATAAAAGCAATTAAAATATTTAAAAATTCATTATAATTCAAATATTAATTTAATAAATACAAATTATAAATCACATAATACTACTATATATGTGTCTATCGAAAATATAATGTCCAAGGTTATACAATTATTTTAAAATTAAAGCAAACAATACATACATTAATAAAAATAATAATAAGTAATGTTTTGAATTATCACTTGGTATTAAACTTGCAATTTGTTGACAGTGTATAAAATAATTAAAATATTATATTAATGTAATTGTATTCATTTCACTCAAATATTTTTATTATTTGCTATCAAATGCTTTTGTAAGCAAATAATCAAATGTTTAACGGATAAAGCATTTGCACCTACACTTACAGCTATAAATAGAAATCATGATTATACCTATAAATTGCTTATTCATTATAAAATATAAATTCAACTAAATTTTATAGTAGTTAATGTGCAAATCAAATAAAAATGCAGTTCAAGTCAATGAAATGTATGTTTTAGAAAACAAACAAAATAGTGGACAAACATTAAGAAACAAATTTACAGATGTTTGACATATGGTTCTTACTTAAGAAATTATATTACAGTGCATTCAATTGCAGCAAAAGTCTACTTCAAATTACACAATCTTTTTAGTAAATAACAAATAATACAATTTAAAGGATATCATATAATATATATATAGTATAATATATACTAACACAAAATTCAGATTAAAGTCTACCATTTGATTATACATCAATATGTTATCGTTTTTTATTGTATCCATTATATTCATTATTTAAAGAGTACTTTTAAGATAAGATTATAATATATTATTTGAGTGAACAGTAAATGTTTTCATTGCAACTCATAAATAGTTGCTATATCTTAAACTCAAAGCTTTTTTGATTATACAAACATTTTTGATAATTTATACATTAATAAAATGTAAGCGAATAAATCACTTCACATAACCTTATATTGTATTAATTTATTACATATGATACTAATAATACAAGTTTTTATTAACTATTGCAATTATAACTTTACTTATATGGTAATATCAAACATAATCATTCAGTAATTGATCTAATTATATATATATATATAAAGAAAAAATTAATAACAAATTTTTAAGAAAAATAAAACAAACATAAATATAATTTATTAAATGAAATTTATAAAATTATCTGAGATTTGTAGACATACAGTAATGCTTATTAATTAATAAGGCGTTTACTTATAGAAAATACAAAAACAAGACAAATGAATTGATAGACTGTGAAATAATTGCAAAAATTACTATCGATGACTATATGATATACATATGTAATTAAGAGTTAAAAATAACACAATTACTGGTAAAGAAAGACTGATAATTTATTCAACATTAATTTGGTTTATAAAAATCAATAATTTAATTAATCAAAACATTAAATTAATTGATTTGTAAAAATAAAATGTTTAAATAATTTAATGATTATATGGTTTATAGTAATTGTATGGCAGAAATGCCATCAATTATATGCAAAGGCATTAACAACTCTATGACCTTGAGTTTAGTCGACAATAATGTTGAGACTATTTTTACATTATTTGGTTTTAAATAATTTCAATAATAGTTTGCTATTAATTTCATTCATTTATAATGAATTACATCAGTTTTAATAATTATTCATTTAAATAGTTGATTCACTTTTATATATAATAATAAATATTAATTAATTCAAACTTATATATTCAATAAAGATTGTTGAAATAAATTTCAGTATAATTCAAATATATTTTTAAATAATTAATTTTAAAAGGCTTACCATTGTTAAGTATACAATCAATAGCATTATATCAACAAAATGATAAACAAAATAAAACAAAAATTATATAAAATATCACATAATGATGGCCTGGTTAGCACTGGTAAGACACTAGTTGTATACATTTAGTATTATTATTAATATATAAATTGATAAAAAAAATTATTATTAAAAGCAAATATCATTTGATAAACAACAGTGTTTAGCAACAAATCTAAAATATGATATCAATTGATATAATAATTACAATGACTTTAATTAGTAATGAATTTAGTCAGTAATGGTACAAATGGTACACCATTTTAGTGTAAGTCTTCAATAGTAGTGGTGAACAACTCATACATTTGAAACATTCATATAATTTCAGTGTTGAAGTCCTTGAAGTGTTGGACAGAAAATTGCAATAATAATTAGTTGATCGGCGATACACTCAATACTGTACTGTAATATAACTTATAAACAACAACAACAACGGCTCTACTCTATTGATGGCACAGACAAAGAATTGTGTGAAGAAATCATGAACTCATCTATTGGTTCAGACACTCACTCAACATACCAGAGCCATAGAGAAAGCACAGGACTGGTAACTAACAACTAACTAAATATTTTGTTAGCTCTGTCTCTGTCTTAGAGACTTTGAGGCCGGGATGAGGCACACAACACAACTACTAAAACGACCAGAGCTTGTATGGCATGTATTTGGGCTGAGAATGAAAGCAGACCAACACTGGCACTGGCTGTGGCTCTCGACACCAGCAATACATTGCCCCCGGCAAACCTTCAAATGGTTTGGTACTGGTTCTCACTTTATTATCAATAATACAACATACAAGTGCACCAACTTTTGCCTCTTCAAAAAATATTGTATACAAAAATAACTATACATACCATACAAAGTAGTTAGTGGTTCACTGCCAGTACTAATCGCACACAAGTGTCATATAAATAAATTATTTTTATATACAAATATACATTTCATTTCAATATATGCCATCTTATACTTAATATAATATAATACCAAATCATTTTTAAACATTTATTGATATTTTGCCAATAATTATCAGCATTAAAGTTATTATTGGAAACTATAACATAAATTTTAAATTTAAAAAATTAGGTGTTTTTCACTTACATTTCAAAAGACTTAGGGCTTGATTTTGATTACAGGTTCGTCTTCTTGGAGTTATACCAATGTCTTCACCTTTCAATATAGACTCGACCACTAATTCAGTAATAAAAACATTTTATTAATAAATGATTGGATCAAATTGTATGCAATATGTTTAGTAGTCTATCACTGGGAATATAATTTAATAATAAATATAAAATTATATGAACACTGAACTCAAACATATTTGCCATTTATTTCATTTTGTGATAAAACTAATCATTTATGCGATAATTACAACAAACAATCTTTTTTTACATGTAAGTTACATGTATTCAATGTTATTAAAAATATATCAATTTATAACAATTGACTTTTAAATAAATATAAATCAATAATTTATTGAATCGGAATTTAATTACTAATGGATGACAAGTAAGTTTTAATAAAGAAAATTTTCATTGACCCAAATCATAGGGAAGGGAACCACTAAATAAATAATTATTATGACCTCATTTCACACAAAAATCACTATTTTATAATAAAACTGAAAGCATTACAAAATGTTGTTACATAATGTTTTGGATCAGATATTTATAATAATAAAAAATTAATTTAATGATAATTTGTTTGATAAGTTTTACTTGTTATTTAACACTAATAGTTTATACTTCTCTAGTTTTTATCAATAAATAAATTATTAAAGCCTACATAACGTCAAACAAACAAAAATAAAAATAAATCAATTATATTAAAAAATAGTAAACTAAGCATAGATTTAGCAAACATGACAACTAATCAATAGTAATGCAAGTCTTTTCCTAGCAATTAACAATTGAAATATTTTTTTTTGCTTAATATCTTAATTAACAATAATAGACAAATAAATAATATTTCACATTATATGATATAAAAAATATAATAAAAGGATATTATAAATTGCATGTACACTAAAATATCTAATTGCTTATATTTATTAATAATATAAAATAAATAATATGTTACAAGTTTTATGATATATTATATAAGTTATATGAATAAAACAAAATGTATGACACAAACACTGACCTCCGTCTCCAATCAGTTTCATCTGCACAAGACTGGGATCTTCATTGTGCTCTTCTAGTACTGTATCGTCGGTTAGCGTTAATTCCTAATTCAATCATTTAAATTAATATTTATTTTCTTATTATTAAATTTAAATAATTAATATAAAGTATGATATGTGATGACAAAAAAGTATAAGTCATTACTTTCAAGGACTTAAACATTTTTGTATACCAGTAGTATTTAGTACTATAATGAATCGTTTCATTACTTTGAATTAAGATAAATAACTTAAATATAAATATATATATAAATATAAATATTTCCCGCATTTTCATGATAAAAATATAGACTACATTAAAAATAATGTAAACTTAGATTAGGATTGAATCCAAAGTCAAATAAACAATACTATTATTTAAACTAATAATTTAAGATTAATGTACAGAATGGCAAATGTTTATATCAATATCACTAGAAAAATACAGTAAATGCATGTATAGTATGATTACTAATTAATATTTTATGAAAATAGTAGATTTTTTCTAATAAAAACATGCCATTAATTTGTATTATAAAAAAATCAACACTGTTTCTTATTCAAAATTTTAATACAAATTTTAGATTCAATTGTTTAGGTAAATCATATTTTTATATTTTTATGGCATTATCTAAAATTGCAAAATTTGAATATATATTTAATAATATATATATATATATATATATACCCGGGTATTATCGTTGTATGAGACGATGACAGCAGTGTACCACTGAGTGGTTCCTTCACTTCTATAGACTTTAACGCGATATCCGACTAAAACTGAAGGTGTAGTCAATAATATTTTTTGTGAGTCTTGAAATTCAGTCCACTTTCTCAATGCTTTTTTAACTTCAGGCGCTTCAATGTCTGCCTTTTGGTTCTCCAAATCTTTCTCGTCCTTCAAAACATATTAAAACACAAAACATATTAAAACACATTAAATATAAAAACAAAAAATTTCTATTAAAAGCTGTGAAACGAGTCATAGATTCAGTGTATGTATTGTATGCAATATCTTATGTTAACCATTGCTATGATAAGCACATTGTTGTGAACGTGAACTCACATTGATTTCTCACTCATTCACTACTATATAACATCTATTGTGTAATTATAATAAACGTCTCTCACATCACATCCCCTCTCCGGTACCGGCAATGGGTCTCTCCTTCGCACAGACGGAAGGCTCACATATTTCTCTGGTATTATTAACAAACACTTTGATCGCCATCCCTGTGCTCACTATTCATAGCAAATTCAATGCTTTAGATTTGTGAAGCACTGGCTGGCCATCTAAAGCACATCAAGTCTCCCCTAATAAAGACCAGCTGTTTCTAAACTATGTCATTTACAGCACTAGTATTATTTAAAAAAGGTTACAGTAGTAGTCAACTCAATAATGAGCTATTTTTTAAAATACCAATATAGAGAAAAAACATAACAACAAGTCATATATGTTTAATCTAAATGTTATTTTAATAAAAACACAAAACTTGTATAATAAATTTCTAATAAACTTTCAATATATTATATAATGTATAATTTATATACATTTGATGGTAATCTAATTAAATGATTTTTTACTCAATAACCTCATCAATATTCATACCCTTATCAATATCTGGTTAAATAAAATCTAATAATATTCTCTCATATATTATAATTTATAAATCAATAATATTGAATATATCAAGTTATCGTCCGTTTAAAATTAAATGTTTTAAATAAATAAAAATATATAATCGGGTATATTATTTTAATAATTTTGATTATTGTATATATTTAACAAATTTATATCATATGCATGACTCAATTTTGGTTGATTACAACAATGTTTTTATAGTTACAAATAACTAGTAATTTATTAAATTTAATAAACATAATTCTCAGTAAAAACATTATATCATTTATATTTTTATATAACAAAAATGTAAATTATTGTAATAAAAAGATACAATTTTATGTAAATTAGATCCATTGTATTTATTCTATTTATTACATATAAATAATATAACTATCTTTATTATTATATCAATCAATACATTTTTATATCATATATTTTTTAATTAAATATTAATTAATAATATTACTCATAAATTTATAAACATTTATAGAAAACACTAGAGATTTTCAAATAACTCATTTGTCTCTCAGTTGAATAGTATAGTATGGCAACAAAAAATCAATATATTGATGACAATGACTTAAGAAAAAATAGACAAAACATAAAGGATATGCATTTAAGTGAATGACTGGCAATAATTAGAGCATTAAATTGTTGTCTCACTCGTTGTTGTCTTTTGTTTGTTAAAAATGTCATTTTTATCAATATTGTAATAAAACTTCAATTCACTATTAAAACGATAACGATTTGATCAATAAAATATTATTTACAAGATATATACAATACTGTATGTAATAGTAATAGTAATAATAATGAATAATAATAAGTTATTATTGGTTTTTATATTTTGATTTTTAAAATTCAGGTTTATATATAAAGTCAGATAAAAACAGATGAATCATCTCATTTGATAGCAAATTGTTTTTTGTTAAGTTTGTGTTATTCATAGGCAGTGGTAGGAGTGGTAGGCGTTATACATATTACGGCCAAATCTTCCAGTACTTGTGTGACTACTAACTAATCTCACGCTTTTAAAGTTATATTTGTTTGTAATGCAAACTTTGTATTTATATTATGTATATAATTGTATACGGGTATAGACTACACTTAAATATGTTTCTTAATTTAAAAATAACTTAATTTACTTATTAAATATAACTCAACATTTTGCACTATCATATTAACTTAATACCTAATATTATCCATTATTAATGTAAAATAATTTAACAATAAAAGCGTTTAATATTTTAAAACACATCTATTGAACATTTTATTAAATTTTGATGAGATTATAAACATTATAAACTTGACCGACATTTCATTATTTTGTTAACAAAAATATATTTTTTAAATAAAACAACTGTTTATTCATTATATGAATAAGTAATGTAATTAATGGTAAAATCAAAAGGGAATTGAATTAATAACGACATAAATAGCGCACAAAACAGGTTTTAAATATGAAATTACAATTAAACGTTTGATAGTCAAAGGGGAAGGAAATAATAGAAATAATAAAAACACAAAAAAGACGATAAATATGTTTGATATATAATCATAATTCATGTGTTCATCACTCAAACATAACAAATAAATATCTTAATAATTATAATAATAAATACAATACTGTTTTTTCTCTTCACATAAACTCAATGTGAGCTCAAAATTAGTGGTTTTCGAGGAAAGCTTTAAAATGAATACTCATTTAAGCGATCAATGCTCTGAATATACGGTTTACTAACTGGTTGTTGGGCTCAATGTCCCAAACCATCAACTATTTTACTGGTTCTCCAATAACAGACCCTTAGTAGGGACTATGGCTTATATAAGTTATATCATTTGTGTCATTAATAATTTGTTATAAAAAGTATAAATACATTATATAAATACAGTGTATATATAAAGCTATGGCGTGACTGACTCTCAAATTGAGTCTCAATTTATAAAATGTTTTATATATGTTTGACATAATAGTGAAATTGATGGCAAATACAGGCAAAAATTATATTAACTCATGGCTAACACTAAACTAGACAACTCCCTATTTTCCCTAATACAACACATTTAAATTATAATTAAAAAATTAACAACATCAATCTATAAATATTTTTATCTAATAATAATAATAATAAACAAAAAAAGTCAATAATAATAATAAAACATAAAATATACACTGAATTTATTGATTATCTAAATAATATTATTGAATTTACATAAAAAGGTTATATATTTACAATGTATTTGTGATTTGACAACAATGTCATTGAACTAATGATTAAAACAAATTTATTCACAATAATGTCATTTAATTATTAAGAATATTTATACAACTTTGTTGTTAATCTAATCAAAATAGTAATATAGATATTTACTAATAAATTTAGTAACCAATATCAAAATTATCTACATTTTACAATTCACCACATTATAGATATTGTACATAATTTTTTGTCTATTCATTAAATAATAAATCTTTAAAATTATAAAATATGTAACATAAAACATATGCAAATATTACATTGTATTGAAGTTAAATGTCATATAAAATCAATAAATTACAAGCCATTATAAAAGTATGAAATGATAAAAATAATTTAAAGTAAATAAATCCATGAATTTATTCATAAGTCATTATATAGTATGACAAGTGATATATTGATTATAAAATAGACAGTGAAATCACTTCAATGAGTTTGTTGATCAAATTATAAATAATTTTCTAATATTATTATTTTAATAATTTAACTTTTTAAGGTTATGATTGTTGTATAACTATTGATTAGAATCTTTAACTATAATAAATTAAGTAATTATATTAAATCATATGTATTAATAAATATGTTAATAAATATTATATATTCTTACCCTTAATATCTAATGAATAACCGATAATATGGACACAATATTTTAAACATTGATTAAATATATCACAAATTAATTAGTATATTATTATAAACATTTGGTTAAAATGGGTAGCAATATGTGTATAAATGTTATTCAATAATAATGAGATCAAAACAAGAGTAAGGACTAACTGGTCTCTGGATTGGTTTGGTTGGCAACCATTCATGTCATGCACTGAACATCAAGTCATACAAACAGTGTCTGAAACCTCCATAACAGCCTCAGAGCTGACTGACTGACTCTGGTTTATGTGTTGTCTTGTGTTGCAGTATTTCAAGACTATAAATGCTATCATTTCCAGGAAATGTGAGTTTAAGAAAACCTAATATTTAATACAATATAGCATTTGACTAAACAATCACCAATTGATGCCATTTTCAACATAAAAACATTAAATATAAACTGTTGCGAGAAATTATCGCTTTCAACAACATGTTTATCATTTATTGTCATTTTATTAAAGCATATGATATACGGTTATAAAGTATATTATTATCATTATTTTCAACAAACTTATGGCTTTATGTAAACATCGAGAAAATGAAAAAAATAAATAAAATTATTTTTATAATTATTTTACAAATATTTTCAAAAATATCGCTTCATTTATATAATAAAAATACTTTAACTATTATATAAACAATGACATACAATACTGTATGAATAATGAATATATATTTAATAACACGAGTATCAGTGCTGATATAATAATAATAATAAATATAATTATAAATTAATAACTAAGTTAGACCATAAACTCCCACATATGACACAAATAAATGATTTATTTGAAAAATGCTACCATAAGTAATCGGTATTAACAGTTAAAAAAGTATGGTTAGACTATAAAATATGGGGTCAAATGGGGTAACTTTTTTTTAATAAAACCAATATTTTCTGGTTCGCCTAAATGTTGCAAAAAATACTACTTTTATACACAAAGCTCATAAATAATTTTTAAATTAATAAAAATACATTAAACAGTATCTAAATTAATTTGTAATCTTAAGACTCTATTGGATATATTGTCCTCATTTTTCAATGCAACATAAAATAAGTTCGCAATCATTATTAATGATAAACAATTTTTGTGTTTAGTTATCAACAAACAAAAAACCAATTGATTTTTAAGCAACTTATGAAACAGATGTCATTTTATAAAATAAAAATTGTTTGATAATTACCTGATATATAGTAAGGTCTTTACAATCAACAAACTCTAGTTGTTTGTCAATTAACAATTCAATTGGTTTTAATTTATTTTCTTCAAAACCAATTTTATCGACCAATGGCTTGAAATTCTAAAAGTTAAATAAAAATAATAATTTTTTTAATTTAATTAATAATTATATAAGTAATAACTAAATATATATAATTAAATATATAATTAAGATAATAAAAATCATACAAATATGCACTCTTTTGGTTATATTATAAATTATTATAGCATATAATGTTTTTAATAAGTTATCAGTTATTTCTAACATAAATACCATGAAATCTAATCTAATAGTCGCAGATGTAATGAAAGTAATATTATATCGACTCTAAGGATTGGCCTACAGTTATGTCAGCTCTTTGAGACTGTTTTTGAAAAACAGCAAAAAATCAATAAAATGTGGCAAATATATAGTGGTTTATAATTTTAGTGACACATCCATTCACTTTAGTAATATATATATATATATATATATACAGTATATATACAACATTTTTGCTAACTATTTTATAAACGGACAACTATTGACAATTAATGTACTATAAATACCCCGCTATTAATTGATTCACTTTTTCTATGCTATCTAATATATAATCAAATTTTACGCTATTTACACTACCATTATAACCATGTTTATAATTGTTTATAAACATAATACAAAATGCTTTTAATATAAAAATTGCTTAATTCAAAATCAATTTTTTTTATAAATAATAAATAAATTATAGATAAAATAAAATGAATCATATGAGTGAATGTATTACTTATATTATTTATTTTTATATCATTTAACATAAATTTATTATGTTTTTAGTGAAAGCAGTGTTTGCAATGCAGTGTTAGTATTGAAGGACAAATGAAGGTCATAATACTGGCAATACTATACAATACCTTAAAGCCTATAACTTTGTACTCAATTTTGTTGCCTTTTCATTGCAACCTATGGATCAACTTATTTATAATTAACATTAGTTGCATAATATCCAGATTGTTGTCTTAATATTCAACTAATTTTAGACTATATTTAGATAATGACTAAATTATTAATTATAACTCAAAATCTCAAATACCTTTATAATATTATAAAATACACTTACAATATATATTAATAAATATTTATTATGTCTTTTAAATACTCGTTAAATTTAAAAATAGTATTTCGTTATAATTAAATATATTTTTAAATAATAGTTAGTCTAAATGATTTGGAAAATTTTGGCAAAAAAATCAAATTTATTTTTAAATCTCAAAGATTTATCCACAGTTTTTATGTTAATTCATTGCTTATAATAATATGGTATAAATATTATATATAATTTATTTTTATAAATTTGAGGTTCATGGTTACATAAATTGTTTAATGATATTTATATTAATACTCTACTGTTTTAATAAGATTTATAGTTAAATTCAATATTAAAAAAAAACTTATTTTCAGTAATAAAATTTAATAAATAAAAATATTATTAATTAACATGTTTATTTTTACTCGTTATAAACTAATTATTATTTATCCATAAATCATTCAATAAAATTTAAAAAATATTAAGATAAATTATGTAATACTATTTAGTACTTATTAGTTCAATAGTGAATTAATATATATTACCATTAAAAATAAATTATTTTTTAAAAATTAAAACTAATTATAAAATAAAGACATTTTGAAACAACAATTATTAAAATAATTAAGATATTAATTGTAAATATTAAAAGAATTCATTGAACTCTAAGTTAATTAGTTCACAACTATTAGCTATTTGTATAAACGTTTAGGACATTAATTCACTAAAAATCGTTATATATATATATATAATGCAAATTCATGTCACTATCAGTCTATTTTATATACCGTATTTTAATATATATAAACAAGTATTTTTGTATATACAGTGTGTTAAAAATATAAATAGTAAAATCATTGAAACAAAAAAAATGAAAAGCAAACAAACAAGTTATTCATATTAAATAATTGTAAAACAAATATATTATAAATATGTTTATATTTTTCAAAATATAAATAAAACTATTTATTCACAAAATAAGGAATCAGTTAAAGAGTTTGATTATTGTATTATCGTTTCCATAGAAACTAATTGATAAAATCTCTTATTATAATATAAATATATTACAATATAATAAAAATTTATTGACTATTTCATAATATTAAGTTTATTAACATTATTTATTGACTTTAATAGCAAATTAACAATTTATATAATATTTGCATAAAAAAAGAAATGCAAAATATATTTCAATATTAAAAATTAAATCATATATTTTCTCTCAAATATTATATCAAGAAAATAAATAAAAGTCAGTCCATTAAAAAGTTTTTTTTCTTTTTCATTTAAAAACAAAGAAAATATTATAAATATAGTATTTTTAGTAATGTAATGAATATATTTATAAATTCAATGACAAAACCGATATAAACAAAAAAACATATATTTTTAAACATATTTCTGCATAATAAATGCTAACAAATTAAATAACATGTTGTGTAAAACACATTTTCATTAATGTAGTTAATATAGTACTACTAATAAAATAACGTAAAATTTAATAATAATAAAGTTATTAAATAAGTTAAGTAATACATTAAATTTATGATATTAAAATAAATTAATTTAAAACCATTCATAGCTTAAGGGAAATTTGTTACTCATATAAAATGCAATTTTTCCAACAAAATGTGTGTTTCAATAAATAAAATGTCTAATATTTAAATAACCCAAATAATCATAATTACACTAATTATTATTATAGTCACCGAATCGTATGTCAAATAATTTTTCCTCATTTCTAAGCTATTTAATAATCAAATTATTATTTTAATAAAACAATAGCTCATTGTCTTTCTAGACATTATACTTAAAATTCAAGTAATAAAATTAATATATAAAAAGTAAATAAAATGGCAGTTTTTGGATTTAATTATTTTTTCTTAATTTTTATAATAAATAAATATTAATTTAAAATTTGTAAATTTTAAATTAATATAATTTTTATAGAATAATTAATAAATATAAATATAAACAATTTATAAAATTATAATATAAATATGATATACCTTGAAAATGAGGAAAATAACAAATATGAATGAATAAAACAAATACAAAGTTAATCACAAAGTTAGTCATAAGTTAATCACAAATAAATACAAATAATTTAATTTTAAGTCAATTTTTGGTTAACAATAAACTAATTAAATAATATCAATTAAAAAACAAAACAAATTATGTATTGATAAAAATGCAAACAAAGGTGTGCTTATAGTATAAATATGTGGCAATTGTTTGGTTTGATATATCAATGGAGTAAATGGTTGTTCAAAGTTGGGAAACATTGAGAAAGGATTGTATGAAAAAAACGGTTTACAACAGTGTTTGGCTGTGTTTGAGACCAATACGTAAACTGAAGGACAAAAAAAGGTTAATAGTTTGTGTACCTCTTAATCATAAGATAGCAAAATAATGGGAGAGCAGTGATTGCACACAAGGACACAAACATTACACTATAGTATACCGTCATCTCTATACTTAACTACCAGTCCTCTCACTATATTAAAATTGCAATGCAAGAGATAATTAAAAATTCATTCCCTTTTTATGGCTAAACATATCAATTATTATATTTATCGTAACATTCAATGACAGACTTACGACTTTCAGAATTCATATTAAAAACATTTTTGCAAATAAAAACTTAAAATATTTTCATAGATTACATATACGTAAATATAAAATAAATTAAAAAACTTTCAAAACATACCAATGATGGAGATAATGAAGTTTGTTGTTTGTTGTCATACCATACGAGTGTTTTCTCAATAAGAAATAACTGAAAACTGTTGCCATCGTAGACACGAATCCATTCTCTCTTATTCCAGTCCTGACCATCAAATTCTACTAATATCTGTCAATACAATCATAAATATTCAATTAATATGTTATTTGATAATAAAGAAAACAAATCTATTTCAGCAAAACTCATGTTTGTGTTAAATATATATTTTCAACAAATTATCAAATATAAACATATAATATAAATACTTGAAATATATTTTGCAAATAACTCACAAAACTAATCGTTAAATTTTCAAATAAACAATTCGTTAACTTTGAACCAAATACTAAAATAACTTTAAAAATCTATCTATTTTTACAAACATTTTAGCGTTTAGTTTGAGAGATAATATTAATAATAATAAATTTCAAATAATTTCAAAACTATTATAATTTATTTAATATATTTTTGTTAATCTGTTTAAGAAAACAAAAATAAACTGAGATAATGGCAACATTTTTGCTAAATGTTTGTAATCAAGTTTGCATTTTTGTTTATTATCATTAAGTTTATTTCAATAATTGTTTCTCTATTCAACTTTTAATATATATATATATATACTTAAATGTTATAAACATTTAGAAAAATGAAAATAAAAATTTAATTTAAATATTGTTTATAATAAATATAAAACTCTTAATTCATAAAACAAGTTATTTAATAAAGAAAAATAAAATATAGATTGTATTATCATATTTTAAATCAATTATATTACTCTAATACAAAATAAATATAATGATTTAATATTAATATATGTATTTAGAAATAGTATTGTATTATATAAATACAGAATAATAAAATGACTACTCATTCAAGATTCATATGAATGATATAAACAAAATAAATAGGAAATTATAAGTTTACAAACATTATACTGCATTATATATAGTACTACAGTATATACAGTATTATATAGCATTTTGAGAAATAGTCTAAAAATATTAACCAATAAACTAATTTAAGTTTTTATCATTTCAATTTAATGGCTTTTTGTTCAATAACACAAGTTATTTAAATGAATTACAGTATAATTATATCTAAATGAATAACTAAAACAATAAATTATAGAGATTTTTAAATTACCGAAAACAATGAATACAATCATTACAGTGATCAACACATTAAAATTATAAGTTAGTATAAAAATGTGTTTTATTAATAAAAACAATAAAAATGAAATTTGCTATTGTATAATATGTTTTGTAAAATTACAATAATTTAATATTATTTTCTAAAGCAAAAAAATAAACCCAAAAAAACTGTCGCCAAATGCTGTTTCAATGGTTTATGATTTGTAAATAACACAAATTTCTCTTAACGTGAGATCAGACTATACACTATATACAGTATTATGCGGTCCCACTCACAGCCTATGGTTCATTGTAGTCACTCATATAATATATTGTACTTCAAGTAAAGGTTTTCAAAAAAAAGTAATGGCCTTCATAAATATATACCTGTATATATAATATATGGCATATATGTATATTTATAACAACAATAGACATTTCATGTATTGGTCCCTAATGTAATACAATAGTCAATAATATAGGCTTAAAATGGGTGCAAAACACATAGCAGTGTACAGTTATTATACAATATATTGTGTAATGAAATTATTGACTAAATAATAATAATAAGAAATGAAGCATAACTTGGATGAAGAAAGCAATGCAAACAAATAGTAAAGATTGATATCAAGGACGATAACACCTGCATCACTACATCACTGCATTACTCGCTGTTATTTGATATTTTCAATAACATTTCAAAACATTATTAAATCATATGTTTTTAGTCTCTTTAGTTAACATTTAGTTTTTTTGTTATACCATTTCTATATAATATTTTTTCATTAAAATAACTAAAAAATAATATTCAAAAAATGTTGTAATCAGCAAATTTCGTAATATACTGCTTACATCTAAATATACTAACATTTATAAAAATATTAACCTCATTAGTTTGCTATGTATGTGGTATAAATGATTTATATTATACAGTGTATTATCTAATTTTATTCAAAAATTTATTTTTTAAATATATTTTTAACAAATAAAAATAATATCTATGTAATAAAAATGTTAATTGGTTACAATAGATATAATACAATATATTTAGTGGGAAAATATTTACAGAAAATACGCTTGTTTGTATTTACTAATTTGTTAAATTAAACATATATAAAAGCAAACAAAATAAATTTAAAAAAACAACATTACATTTATAATAAATTTGATAATAGAAATTCAACCCATTCTATAAGCTAGTATAATAGCATAATAGCTAATATAATCTTCAAAAACAAATGTTTTTAATTTTGTACATTTTATTCATATAATTATTTTTTTAAATATTTTTAAATGTAATTTAATGAATAATCAAAAATGTATTATAAAAATAAAAAATGAGAACAAAACATGAGATTAATTTTGTTAAATATTTAATCGTAAGTAATGTCATTCAATAAAAGCAATGAGTTTAGAGTTAAGTAATAAATAAGCAAAACAAAGGAAATGCCTGAGGCTTTCCCTTAACATTAAATGCCATCATTTGAATGAAAAATCATTATATAAGGGATGTAATGATAACAAAGACTACATTTCATAGTCTTTATTAGTTGTCGACCAAAACGGAAATACCAATGACTTAAATATATATAAAATTATAAAATCGTTAACTAATTTTGGCTGTCATTAAATATTCAAATAACTCTTTATATATAACTATTTCATTTTAGTATTCATATAGTATTCAACATATACTCAATATTAATACCAATAGTTCACTTAAAGCTATAAATATTACATATTTTAAAATACAGTATTTTATATTTCTTAAATATTGATCAACTTATTGATTGTGATATTAACTTCTAATGTAATAAATTATAAAATTGTTATAAAGTTGAAATTTATTTGATTTAAATGTCAAATGTGAATATCACTTATATAGTAAAAGTATAAAAATATAATTATTAATTAATAGTAAAATTAAAATATGTTAAGTGATATACAAGGAATAAATCAATTACAATTAAATCTCAATCAATTTTGTATAAGTTTGCAATTTAATGTCAAGTTTAAAATGAACATGGGAAAATTATGTTGATTTACTCGACAATTATTTGTCACATAAAATATATCTCATGAAAAAATAATTAAATAAAATGTTTATTATGTATTTTGAAAATAAAAATGAAAAATAAGCCTCAATTTTATAGTTCAAGAGACTCTAAAGTGGGTTAAATGTGCGCTCAATATATAAGATATAATGAATAAGACATGAGTGCTGTGAGTGCTATAAGAAAATGCCTTTTAGTATAAATGCATTTTTACACAACACTTACTGTATATTGCATTTCCATTACTTATAAAAACAGTGTTTTTTTTATATACAAGTTTTTCATTTCTTAAAATAAAAATAATGTTTCGGGCATTTCCTCGTTTTTAGTTCTTCACTTATTTTCGTTTTTTTGGCTCAAAAAACTATTTTCACATAATTTTAATTTTCAAAGATAATTCACATTTAAATAAAACAACAATAACAATAAAATATGACAATATTATTATACATTTTATAATTTAATACAATACCCACAGTACATGTGTATAAATAATTTTAATAAGATATGATTTATAAGGAAAAATAATATAATGCCATGAAAATTGTGAGTTAATAATTAATAAAAATAATTTAATAAAAATAATATAAAATTATTATTATTAAAATAATAATAAAACAGTTTATATTATAAGGAAAAGAGATCAACGAAAGAGAATTAAAGGTTGTGTTCATTGAAATGATGCCATAAATAGCACAAACACTAACACATAGTATTAGTAATACTATAGTAACATATAATAAGTTATAAATGATTTTTTTGGTTGCAAATTAACTAACACTAACTAAACGGTACAATGAATTCAGAAATGAGTCCAAAGTCCTTAAAGTGAGTTTTCAAACGTTAAATATGTTTAACTATTTTTAAGAGGTTTAGCCATTAAATGGCGTTATGTTATCGGCAATTATGATGCACTGCTTGTATCACAATTCAAGTGATGCCCAATTTATAGCCTGTCCTCAATTCATCCCAAACCTGACTCACTAACTAACAGTCCGGTTATGTCAGTGACTCAACACAAGAAAATATATTTAGTTCACAGCTATTTGTACCAAATATTGACATTTTTTTCATCAATATTTCTAACATACATTACTTACATTTTGTATGTGTAATAAGTAATACAACAATACATATAGTTTTTATCGATTTTATGTTAGTCCTATTTAAAAAAATATTTTACAACTTTGCAATTTTTTACAATATTACACAAAATCTAAATATCATCAATTTAATGTTGCAAATATAAATATTAATAAACTATTAATCAAATTAATTGTTTAATAATTTTGATAAACGCAAAACATTAATTATAATTTAATAGAAAACTATTTTTACATAAACAAAATGTAAAAACAACATAAATAATCTATATTACAAAATATATTAATTATATTATACTCTAATATGATTATGCGATTTAATATCAATTAATTGCTATAAAATCATATACAACAAATATTTTTATTTAAAAATATAAATTTCAATGTAAATAACATTTAGGATAATAAACCTCTGATAATAAACAATTGAATATAACATTTAAATAATGCAAATATAATTATTGCTACAATTAAACTAACTATTGATAACATAATGATTTTCAAGCTATGAATATATTGCTAATGTATGTATATATTTGGTGTTATTTACAAATATTTGATTAAATGTAAGCTAACGTCAAAACATATGATTTGCTTAATTTGGTGTTATTTTGAAAATTTATTTATTGGTTTATCGTATATATATATATATATATATATATATATATATTTATAATCAATAATAAATCAATTGTTATTTATATGAAAATAATAGTAAAAATAATAATAATTTGTAAAATAGTGGTAAATAGTGATAAAAAATAGTGTTATTCAAGACATACAGTTAGGTCGTGATGGTGTGGGTCGTGATGAGAGGCAGCCCTAACGGTACCTCTTTTACAGATGATATCACTGGATTGGTTAAGATGATGGTTATTAATGGCATTGATAGCACTTAATGGTGATAATTTGGTCCTCTTTGATACTTTATGTGAACCCGATGTCTGTAAATATATGAACCGTTTGCCAACAATCTCTTCTCTTTCCCTATACTTGTGAGCCATTGAATGCAACAATCATTGACTTCACCATCACTTAAGACATTGATCACTATATCACACATCAGATCAATGTATTCCACACAAGATATCACTTAATTACTTCCAATTTTCTTCAAATGGTCAGTCCATACAATACATGCTGAGGTGATGTTAAGACAAACACAAATATACAAACAAATTGGTGGCAAAACAGCATAACATACATAACATACCAGTGCTTAACATTTACACACATATACTGGATATACAACTCAATTCATTTGAAGCTATAGTCATACCAGACATAGTATGACCAGAAACACCAGTTCCGCCTACAAACACCATTACCAACATTACAGTACTTCTACATTATTTCCAATACTACCAGTGCTTAATACCAGTGCTATAGTACCAGTGCTGCACTACTTACAGGCCAATCACCCAACACTACACCCAATCACCATAAATACAGTAATTACGTCAAACACTACAATATTATTCAATTAATTGTTGCGATAGTTGTCTCAAATTAACAATTAATTTAAACATTATTTTTACTAAAAACCCAATACTATTAATATACATATTATATACATAATTATAATATAATGATTACATATTTGTTTTTTACTAAAATATTTGTATTTTGCAAAATGTATTGCTAATCAATAAATTTAATTTTGATACAATTTGATTTGAGAGGATATTATTATTTAGTTAGTAATAAATAAAGTAATGTTAAATTAGTAAATATATGTCAAATAGTTGCCAGGGTCATTCAATTATTGATTCAATTATTCATTCAATATTTTTTATACATGTATGTAATCCCTATAAGTAATGTACAGTTTAGTACTTTATTGTATAAAATGATTATTTACTAATACCTATGATATTAATAACAATTGGTTAAAAATTGACAATATATTAGTGATTGTATTGCATGTGTTTGTTAATTAAATTGGAGGAAAAGTTCAAATGAAAGTCATAAAAAACAATAGCCCGGAGTCAAGGGTGTGGTTCCTAACACTTAATGTACAGTAAAAATAAAGGCAGCGATTGATTGCAAATGATATGCTATTTGAGGACTGCCTTACAGTGTCGGCACATAATCTCCGATCCAATCATTATTATGTATTTTATACCATACATACAATTGTATGGCAACTTTGATGATCAACTGTAATCGTTGTCATAATTTTCATTAAATTTAATATAATATCAAATACAACACAAATTGACAATCCGTTTGATTTAATAAACCCATAATATTGTCACTAAAGTTAATATAATTAAGTTTTTTCATTATTTAATTGGTTTTTACTGTATATACAAATGACATGCAATGCAGTATTGAATGCCATCTGTTGTGTGTTTAATACATTAATATTCAAATGACAGCTGACTTTGAGTCCATTGAACAGTCAATTGAATGCATAGTTTGACAACAATTGTAAACAAAGACTGCAATCATATGAATGACACAAACGTTAAGTGCTTTGAATGCGACGCTAACTATGAGTTGATCTCTTGAGTATAATTTATGTCCATTTGGTTGAATCCATCACCCAATTGATCCATTGATTGATTTATTGTTTTTAGTTAATTTTATTACTAATTTCATTTCATTGATTATTTTATTGCTGTCATTGACCTCTTGACCAATGATTGGCCACTATTTGTCGCGACTAACGATGTAAGTGATGACAACTTTTTTATTCATTTATTTTATCATAACTTTTAATTAAATTAAATTTAATTAATTAATTAATTTCCTAAAAATGCGTTTTATTTAAGTTATAAAAATCTAATACCTTTTATGGTAATTATTTTTTAATTATTTTAATTATTGTATTGTCTTATATGAAAATATGTGTCAAAATAGCATTATTTGTGACATTTTGTTGTTGTTATTATATAACTATACATATAATTAAATATTATATTTATTACATTATATAACTTATTACAAACTGTTATAACTTATTAAGTTATATAACCGTTTTTATTAGACAATGCAATCATTGAATTTAAAATATAGTAACTTTCAAATACACTGCCATTGGATAACATGATTACTATTATAAAAAAAAAGTTATATAATGTTTATGTTATTTAAATCACTTGACTGTTAATACTCTTAAATATAATGTCTGTCTTGTAATATGAAATTCAATGCAAACGAACCGTTTCTCTCGGATTAATCTATTTATAGTATTTAAACAAAACTATAATTAATTTATGTTAGTTTTGACTTTAGTATAGTGTATATGATATATAATTTTTAGTCTCCAGTTTGAGAATAATGCGAGTTTACAAAAGTTTACAATGAATTTGCAATAAATTAAATGCAATTCATTTCCTTAATTTAATTTATTAGAGAATATTATTGAATGAATTTATTAATGAAAATTATTATTTTAAAAAATAAATTGATTAAAAAGTTGATGTGATGTTAGCAACAAGTGATGGTAGAAACCAATATACGAGTGACGATAACGGCTGCCAATACAGCCTTAGTGTTGCTCTTCTGGAGCTCTTGTTTTCATTCATTATCCAAATATTTGTATTTCATTTATAGATTATTCTTCGGCACTCTATTTCCTGCTTATTCTTCATATAAAGCCGTCAAGAATAGGGATATCAAAGAATACGTAAGTCTTGAATAATAAGTTATGATTGAATTGATATTACAATTATTATAAATATTTGTCATATAATTGTCAGTCACGATGGATGATGTATTGGATTGTTTTCGCAATTTTCTCTTTTATTGAAGTATTCTCTGATATATTCATTGGTTTTTGGTATAACTATTTGAATTGACTTATTATGAATGGCTTTATTTATATTATTTATTATATAACTGTTTTAAGGCTTCCTTTCTATTATGAGTTAAAAATTGTGTTTATCCTATGGCTTATGTCTCCTTATGGTAACGGATCCAAAATACTATACTTGCATTTAGTTCATCCACAGTTAACAACCCATGAACAGGTTTTGTATGACATTTTAATAATTTCTATAATAATGTAATTTATTTTAAATTCAGACAATAGATTTGTATATTGATTCTGCAAAACGAATGGGCATTACTTCCGTATGGAATTTGTGGACAAAAGTTACAGAATTTGCCAACAGATCTTTGATATACTTTTTTCAAATTGTAAGTAAAATTTTGATATAAATTTAGTTATTTAATTATTCATATTATAGGCGCAAACAATTGTTATAAATCAAATACAACGAACCAATACCAGTGCTGTCGACGGTCCGGCAATTCATTCCGTCCAAACTCAACAATTGTTAAGTCAATCCAATTTCTTACCACAATTTCTATTTATGAGATCTCCAACTACCAAACCTATTGAAACTCAGTCTGCAAACAATAGTCCACAATCAGACAATACTAGTTCACATGAAAGTATGGCTCTTAAATCAAATGCAATGTCTCAGAGATGGTTCTCTGCCGAAGCTTTACATTTATTCGATATTAACGAAGACATTAAACCAGTTCCCAATTTGATGTCACTACGAATGCGTTCAGAATCTGAATCCAATCTCGACGATTGGGAACAAATGGATATCACAGAAGTTGATGGCAAACCACCCGTCCAGCCGTCAAAAGGTAGGAAAAAGGCTAAAACACCTAAGAATACAACAAATACAGAGAAACCGGTAAGAAGAACAACACGTGTAGCTGCTGTTAAGGCACGCGCCAAATGCAAACAGGATAACAACTTACCTGAAGATATCGAAGAATTTGTTTGAAATATTAATTTAACTTTTGATGCATTTTCGAGTCGTTTTTGTGCTTATTTTATATACAAATATATCAGAATTTATTCATCTATTCTTGTTATATATCAGTATAAATCTGTGATATTATTCACTAATAATTTCTGCAATAATTAATTGCCTGCACTTACTTATCAATTTATACACTTTTATAGGATTAAATTTTTGCATTAAATGAATTGTATTTCACTTTAAATAAACAAAAATTATTTGTAATATTTTGAATGATTACTGTAAATGTCTAATATATGTACAGTATATCATACAAAATTATATTTTAATTTTCACAATTATTATTGTATACAAGTATTAAATATATATTAAGTATATATATTTAATTTGAGATTTTATTAATAAATTTTACTTTAAAATATAATGATTATCTAATTTATTTAATAAATTTATATAAACATTAAGCACATCATTAGCTGTGGGTCTTAAATTTGGATCAATACTTTTACATTGACTGTGAATATCTTTTAAATGGCTTAAAACCCAAAGCAACTTTGATTGATAATCGAGATGTGTTGATGTCTTGAGGAACCACTGACAGACATCTGGTATTTTCCAGATATCAGTTCTGTGATCGTATTCACGCATTTTATCGTTACTAAAAAGTTGATCACTTCTATTCCATAGCTGTTCCGGTGCTACAAATGTGCCAAACAGTTGTCTCGGTCCACACTTAACACCTTTATGTCGACTAATCACTTGTGGCAAAGCATCCAAATCATTCAATACAAGTGTTAATTCATCCGTTAATAAGTATTGAGAAAGTGTTTTCTGAAGTGTATTTGAATCACACATAACTCGAGTACCAATTGGGCTATTGTGCAGATAATCTAAAATTTTCACATAATTTACACACAAATTGAGAGTAATTGATGTCATGTTATGGTGTATACTATTTTTGACGATAATATGCGGCAAATTGTTTGCGTCACCGTTTGGGTGATATTCAGTAAACAACATATCATTATTACACCAACCAATCAATTGCACAATCAATGCATTTTGTGATAACTGTTTCAACATTTGCAGATTATGGTGAAAATCACTTAAATATTGTTTATCACTAACATTGGACACAACAAGATAATTGTCGTTCCACTTAACTAAGTGTATATTCTTCACTAAACCTCTGCTTAAGAACATAACTGGAGTCATGTCTTTATAATCACTACAATCAAGCATTTGGTGACAACTATGCATTGATCCGATTCGGAAAGTGCCGACGGGACAACTGGCCAACATTTGCTGCCGATTGTCATATATAAAGCATAGCAATATATCTAAGACAATCACATTAAATGATAACAATTTGACAAATAATAATATTTTATCCATTTCTCTCTTTCTCTCTCTTTATATCATTATTTTTAATTAATTTGAAACAAAAATATGTTTAAATAATGGTTAATATTTGAAGAAAAATTATAATAACAAAAAAATAGATGAATTAAAGAGTTTGTAATTAATTAAAGTGAAAACATATGTTGTTATATAATATCAAATTCGTTCCAAAGACTCGAGAAGAACGACGGCATTACCTCTGATGACAACCATTCCGATCGGTATTTTCTCTCCCTTTCGGTTCTCTTCGACCGCTTCGTCGACCACTAAATTCATGAACGGATCAAATCCACGCAAAATACCATTTATTGTTCGACTTCCGTTCAATTTGACTGTAAAGACAACATAACAATTTGGATCAAATGGTCATTCATTGATAATATCAAACAAAGAGTGGGTTAACACTCACGTGACAAACGTTTGTCCATATATTTCTTGAGTTCCGGTGGATGTGCTTTACTCATAGTTGTTAATATGTATTATATATAACTTAATGACAATTAGATTTAAACAATAATAGCTCTTTTTGTGTCCAATTCTTCTTCTACTTGAAAACAGATGAAAATCAATTGAAACAAACGCTTCACAAACACAATAGTCTTGTCTTTAATTTACTCAATAGTATTGTAATGTTGTATGACTTGAATGCAGTCAATGACTGACACCTATTGATGTATTAGACATACACTCAATGAATGACTGATTGTTGTCATCACTGATCGACACACGTGTTGGTGAGTATTGCAATCAAATTGATTTGTTTGATCACTTGTTGAGCGCATTTCCATCTATTAAACCATTGATTGCAAGTGTTGTACAATTAATTGATATATCAGTAGTCAGTTTTGATTAATAATTGTCACCAAAAATGTCAAAAGCAAAAGGAGTGTCAAAACGAAGAAAGGCAACAAAAAGGCCTAACTTTGTCCATAAAACGAAACTCAAGAGACAGAGGAATAAAATCCTTAAGAAGACCGTCAAAATTGAATGGTTTGTCTTTTAAATTGTAGTTATAATTAAATATGTTTACAATTATTATAATATTTTATACAAATTATAATATTATTTAGTAAATCAATTCGCGATTCAATCGATAAGAAGAAGAATTTGACCATAAATTTCACTGCAATGGGTCTCTCATTAAATCCAAACAAAACTTTGGCAAAAGTTGGTACTGAAGAGCAAAATGAAATTAAAAACAGTAAACGGAAAGAAGTGAAGAATAAATCTAAAGATAATTTGAAAAAGACTAAAGTTATTGAAGAGTTGGAGGCAGAGGCCAGTAAAGAGATCCCAAAGAAGTTTAAGTTCGGACCAATTAATGCTAAGTTTTGCGTTTATATGATTGAAAAATATGGCGATAATTATGAGGCAATGGCAAGGGATCCAATCAATTACTATCAAGAATCTGTTGGACAAATCAGACAAAAGATTAAAAAGTTTAAAGCGATTCCATCCAATTGGAACTCATATCTTGAGGCAAAAAAATTAATCGAAACTCAAGATACTAATGATATGTAAATCATTATAATAATTGATTTGTAAATTAATATTTAGCTTCAATTATAACAATATAAGCATTACTTTATTATTTCGTTAAAATTATTAGGAATATACAGTATTTATCGTATCATTAATTATAGTGTATATTAAAGGCCTATATTTTTATGTTCTATACCTTTATTGATGTTTAATGTAATTTAATTGTATAATAAATATTATCATAAATTTTAGGTGAAATGCGCTCAATTTGTTATCATTTATAATTATTGTCTAATAATTTAAGTTTTATTTATTGCTATATTTGTTAACAGTTATTATTTTACCCGTAATGAAGTGGCAAATATATTACATTTATAATGGAGATTGAAAGTGAATCGTCAAATAAATGTTAGTATAATAGCAATGATTATTACTTTGATTTATACTTTAATTAATTGAACCGATTGTCACCAATAGGTCAGAAAAAGATTCAGTTTACTGAAGACACATTTGATAGCCAACACGACTCTAAGATAGGAGTCAAATATATTAGCGATAATAGAGTTGACTTTCATTTGGGATTTTTACAGGTATTTCAATTTACCGATAATTAGTTAATAGACATTTTGGAAAAATATATCTATAAATTACTGTAATATACTATCTTTGGGTAGTATACTATACATATTTGGATTTATTGTTTTATTATTTATCATATTATAAATAATTAAAACTATTAACTCATTGTTTATTAGGTTCGACATCGATATGAAATCAGATGTACTTTCAAATGTCCGAAAGCTATTGAGGGCTCACTTGTTGAACGAAATACCGATCCATTGATTCCAAACCCAAACATTCGTTTAATTGATTTAAAACGTTTAGATAAGAGTTCGGAATCGAGTGATGATATCTATGACATATGTATTGAATATTTTGCTCACAAAGAAAAACTATTGAAAGAACAGATTAGTCTTCAATCGAGTGATTCTGTGTCACAAACTTTAAGTCTTGTATTCAATGCACGTGTCTTAGGCAAAGGCAAAGGAACGCCTTCGATAAGGAAAGGGATCAAACAAATTGCTATTGAAATGGATGAAGACGATGACGGAGAAGCCACTGATTGGACCGGATTTACTAATTAAATGTTAACTCAATTTTATAAAAATAATTTCTATCATATATATATATATATAACTAATTAATTACTTAAACATTATAAACGCAAATGATATTTTAGTATTATTGTATATGATTATCGATAAATCTTTAAATTTTTATATTAAAATTAAATAATTTCAATGTGTTAGAAGCTATTTATGGTTAATCGCATAACAATTAACATTGAGATACTGGCACCCCCTTGAATTATGTGTGGTATCAATTTTTAAAAATTAAAATGAACAAGTTAAAATTAAGATTTACTATTTTATAAGGTAATTAATTAAGATTATAAAGAGAGTTACAATATATTATTTATATTTTATATTGTTTTTCTGTAATTATTACTTATCTGTAAGAGTATTCTAGTAAATAATATTATTTAATTAAGATATCATTGAAAAAGAGCTAAAGTATAACATTTAAAAATTTTCATTTACAATAGTTATTACAATAATTGATATTATAGATACAAAAATTAGATGCACATATCACATGATACAAATCAACTTTTTTGCACTACTCCTAAACTACGTTATCATATATACTGTTTAAACTAAGAGCGCATTTTTCAAACAATAATTTCATTTTAAATAATAATTACAATAAGTTTTAATTATTTTAATGTATTTTCAGTATTAATATATAAAATACAATATATATAAACAAATATAATAAAACAAATATATTATAAAATAATTTAAACTGAAATTATTGTTTGAAAAATGCGCTCTTAGTTTAAACAGTATATATGATAACGTAGTTTAGGAGTAGTGCAAAAAAGTTGATTTGTATCATGTGATATGTGCATCTAATTTTTGTATCTATAATATCAATTGTCATCCAAAATTATTTTAAAACTAATATCGTCAAAACAATTTTACTGTAATAAACTAATTCACAATTTTTATAACTTTATATGATTATAAATTAATTGCAATGAATTTTTCTTATTGTTAAACTATTATTGTTTTTGTGAATTATAATTTCAAAATAAATGTTCATCAGTTAAACTATTGTAATAAAGCCAAAGACAAAGTCTGAAATTAAATAATATCAAACAAAATATTTATTATTTGATAAAAATTTATTTATTAACAATAATTATCACTAATGATTGCATTTCAATTATTTTTGATTATATTTTAGCTCATTTTTGATCTTAGAATAAAATTATTGTAATTTATTTTTAATTATAAGTTATAACTATTATAATTATAATATAATTAACTGTTATGACTTATAATTAAAAATAAATTACAATAATTTTATTTTAAGATCAATAATGAGCTAAACTATAATCAAAAATAATTGAAATTTATATGTAATAATTTTAGCTATTTTCACAAAATTATATCATTAGTTATTTGCTCTTTTATTTAGTATTTAATATATTTTCTAACTCAATATAGTTATGTTATAAAATTATTTTTAAGCAACTATTTGATTACTTTTTACTATTACTTTAATTAACAATTTAAGATAATTATTTTATATTTTGCTAAAAAACTATAAAATAATAAATTAAATGATTATTCTGTATTTTTTGTTTAATATAAACTCAATGTACTGATAAAAACTTAATTGTAATTTACATTTTTTATAAAAATATAAATATTGCTTTACTGATATTAAATTCTAAATTTTTAATATAATAATATAATTTATTAAGTTTCTTATATGTCATTTGCAACAAAATTGCTTATTAAATGGTGTGAATAACAATAATTTGAATCACATTATTAGTAAATTAATTGTAATACAAATGGCCTTCAATTTACTGATGATTTTTTAAAAATAACTAAAATGTTTTTAATTTATTCGTTACTAAGGAGTAAATTAGTGTTAAGATAGTACCATAAAGTTTATAGACTATACTATAAATATAAATAATATATAAGTTAACAGTAATTATTGAAAGGACGTAGTGATTGAAAGATATTTTCAAAATAAAAATAATAATCATATTTAATTAATTCAAAATTGACATTTTATTATTATAAATATCTAAACTTAACTATAAAATAATAATTTCAAAAATTTTTCAAATTTTAACAAAGATTACAAATTAGTGTTAACTGAATTTTATTTCATCGCTACTATCTTACAATAAAAATAAATATATTAAAACTATGACTATGACTATATTAAAAGTGAAAATGACAGTATAACTTTTGAATAACTATTTATGAATTTATTGATTTGATTGCTACTTATACAAAAAACTGTTAAGAAAGTTATATTTATTTCAATTAAATTTAAATACACAATTAACTATACAATAATACTAAAATACTTTTTGCCAATTAGTAACAATAATATAATAACATTTATATCATTAGTATTTATTCTTCAATTATTGATATACAGTATAGTAAATGTAATTTTATTTTTATTGAATATTTACTTTTATAAAAAAATCCTGTTATTATATCATTTCCTAATTGATAATTATTTCGTACAACTTAATTGATATTATATTATTATTTACAATATACCGCTATATACAGTATTTTATAAATTTATAAATTACTATAGTTAGATTATTGATATTGTTAATTAAATAAGTATAATTAAATATTATATTATATAAAACATACAGTATGTAATGTACTTTATTAATATTTTTTAAGTACTCTAAATTTATTATCAATTTTATAGTTAACTACAGATTTTTGTATTTTTGTACTCTTATTAGAATAAATAAAATCATAATTTTTGTAATAATATTATTGATAAACATTAAAGCGACTTTAAATATAATTATTTAATTATTTAATTTCTATCATTTATTTTATATAAAAAATTGATTTTGAATACTATATACCATTTGGTATCAAAGCATAATTTATTTAACACAATTACTTTTATAAAAGTATAATAGTGCAAATTTTGACTTTGAATTTTTAAATTTTTAATAGACAAAAATATAGTTTTAATCAAATGTTTGACTTATAGACTATAAGTTATATTAAAACTATTAGAAAATTTATTATACTAAATATATGCTCAAATTATGTAAAATGTAAATACAGTAAATATTAATATTATCGTAAATATTAAACATGTTAGACAATTAGGAAACTTTATGGAAAATTTGTGTGAGTTTTGTATATATTTTTAATGTTACTTTTATTATCGCATTTGTGTAACAAATCTAATCCAATGTACAGTATATGTAATTTTATACATTTACAGTACATTTCAAGTATAATTAAGATATTCTGTATATTTCAAGTTTTCAAAAGTATTTTAACTTATTAGAGCGTATACTAAATGCATATTTGCTTAGTTTTACTAAATTAATGGATATTAATTTCAAACATTGATATCGTATCTATAGAATCATATAAAAACAAAATAAAATATCTAACTTATTAATATATATTGACAATATGACCTGTATAAAATAATTTTAAATATTGAATAATAAAGTATTTTTTATTTATTTAGTTGATATTGTTAGCAAATAAAATTATGGTATTCAAAAATTTATATGATCAAATTAAGATATAAATTACATTTTTAAAAATAAGTAACTCTAAATTTATAAATATTTTTATATATTGTATATTTATAAAATACAAAAATTTATAATTAAAATTAAAAAAAATATATTCAGAATTATAAAATATTTTTTTGCATAAAATTATAGCATGTTTTGCGATAAATAGACAAAATTGTTGCCAAATACTGTATATATATATTCTTTATTATTATTTTTGTCGATTTTTTATTATAAGATAAACTGAGGGAATGTTTTCAATTATATGTACAAAGTTTTCCAATTTAAAAAAATATTTAGTTGTTTATGTATTTTATACAATTTATTAATTAATTAATCAATAAATTGATTTTGTTTACGACATAACTGTTTAATAATAACAAATATGTTAAGCAATAATCAGTTGATGTCATCAATCGTCAGAATAATAATAATTATATTATTGTTTAGTGTTTTCCAACTATTTTATAGACTTTTTGACTGCAGTTGTGATGTCAGTGCTGTTGAAACACACGATTACATTGAAGTTAAGTTTGAGAAGAGAAATGTATTACTATTTCATCATTATTTCTATTACTTACATATTGTTTAGCTTAAGATCACATTAAGTATAATATAAGTTCATTTAGTTTTAAATACTTTAGAATTTTGTTGACAACTATTTTATTAAAATATGTTAAATATTTAATATAACTATAGTTGTTATATTTAGTACACATTTATATATTTTATAGATTTTAAAAACATAATAGTAAAAAGCAGTGTTGATATTTTGATATATTTATTGGCATTCAAGATTAGCATAGTAAATTTACAACATTTTTATATAAAATATATTATATCATAATTTATATGGTTTTATTGGTTATTAAATCTTTTATATATAACTTATATAAATGGCTTATTATATGGTTTTAGTTAATTATTTGAAATATATTTTTTCTGATTTTTAAAACTTTAAGTTAAGTTTAAGTTAAGCTAAACAAAGTATTACAGTACTGTAGTTGTTCTAAACTATGCCATTGGGTTACATTAGATGTGTAGACAACACAATATTTCTAACATATAGGAAAATTCCCAATAAATTAAAATTAAAATTTCCATTAAAATAGATTTTTGTTATTATTAAAAATACAATTTAAAATATTGTTTAAGTTGTTTATATACATTGTGTTTATAAATTTTGAACATATTTATGTTATATTTGAATGTGATTTCTATATAATTTCAATAAAATATAAATATTTTTTAGCAATTTATGTGAAAATATAGGGAAAGAAAGTCTAAATATTATATATTAGTTGTGTTGTGTTGTCAATGCTATTATGCTATCATTGATTGCATTGAATGCCTGTATTTTTCGACATTTTGTTTCATTCATTGAGACTAACAATACATTTGTTTGTAATCTGTGTTTACAATAATTGCAATTAAGATCTGATTTATATAATAATAATAATTAATAAATTACAACAAAAATATGAATCAATTGGTTGAATGTGTGAACAGTGGTTCACAATTGTCAGCAATTGTATCGATGATTATATTTATTCACACTTTCTTATGAATTGATTGACACCTCATCTCTCTATTTCTGTCCAATTAATTAATTAATTAATTAATTTCTTCTGTATAACCATATAATCACATCATTTCATTTTTTTGTGTTTTTCTTCAATTGTGTGGATCTGATTGAAACAATTGGGTATTTGGTCTCTTTCTCTATATATTCTTCCGGTAAGTCATAGACACTATCGCATAGTTTTTATCAATTGATTGGCCAATATGTTTGAACATTGGATTCAATTATAATTAATAAAAAAAAATATTGATTTTGTTTGCTTGTAATCAGTCAGTTGTCACCAGAGCTAGAGTTATGGCACATGTAATCACTATATTAATGATATCAGAGTCAGACCATCAATATATCATTTATTAGTTAGTGCTTTGGTTTATAAGATAACAATTTAGACTATCAGTCAAAATGTGTTTATGAAATGACAATAAATATGTTTTGTTGCCAATACTTCCAACACTTGTTTTTTGTGTATATATTTCTTAAGATAAAAGGCTTCCCAATGAAAAACGGGATGTCTTCGTGACCTTCGCGCTAATCTTCCAGTTCTTCATCTGTAATATTATATAAAAAGAGTCCTTAAAACTAATTCATTTATTAGTCATAAAATTGTCTTAAAAATTGGTTATATTTTTTTTTAAGTAATTGTGATTTTAAAGCAATATTTTTTTATTTTAATATATTGATTATTTAAAGCTAAAAAAAAGATAATTATAAATATGTATTTGTCAGACACTGAGATCAGGTCTTTTGGTTGGCAATCAAATACTTTTCAACACTTGAATAGTCTTTACTTTTGGCAATACTATTGCAAACACTTAGACTTTTTGTATGCAATATTTTATTTATTTATTATATATTTAATAATATATAACTATCAATGTTTTTATAATATTATCATTTTTTTTGTCATTAAATAGTGAAATCAATTTTTTTGTCAAAATGGATGCATCAGAAAATAATCAGAAGAACAGCAATAATACTCTCAACGATTGGTTTAGCAATCCGTTTGAAAGAGTGAACCACTCGACCAACTTTGAGGACTATGCCTGTGCTCCGGATGATAACAACTATTTAAATACAAACAGTACTTCTTATGTCAAAAAAGCTACCATTCCTTCAATAAATAAAGGTAATAATAACCTCATAGTTTTCATTTAAAATAAAAATTAGATTATATCTGAGATTAGTTAATTAGTAGTTTACTTTAGAGTTAAACCAAGTATATTAAGGTCAAGAACTTTTATATTTGATATATTTTAACGCAAAATATCAAATGACATACATTTGAATATTTATTTATAATGACAATAATTTTTATTATAGAAATGGGCTCAACATCCTTAAAATTGACAAACAAAGCAAATGTTTGGAATTATTTGAGTGATCCGAGAGATCATAGTTCGTCAGCTGAAGTGACGCCATCGGGATCTCCTCAGAACTCTCCGTATTCTATAAGGAAATCAATGGAAGGCAAGAAAGTGTCGAAGAATGGCACAAATGAGTTGTCCTTAAATAACTCCAAGCGTTGGTTTTATTCGGGTTTCTTTAACACCGATCTAAAGGCAGGTCTAGAAGATAAACCAATGACCAAAACTTCAAGTTTCAAAAATCTTTGCGTTTCTAACTTTGACATCAATGCTGTCGGTCCCACTTCATGGTAGTCATCCCTCCCTATCCATACTATCACATACTAACTCAGCATTAATATCTCAAAAATTTCTAATTTAATTTAAATTATTTATACATCATATGAGAGCCAAACAAATTAGTTTTATATTACATATAATTATTTTGTTTGATTTATATGTGAATACATTCCAAAAGCAATCATTGGTTTACTTGAAATATCAAACTAACAATAATTTAATAGTAAAAAAATTCAATATTTATAATAATCTCAAATTTTGATTAACAAATCAGTATTTTATTAATAATATTCACACCTGTTATCAATAAAATCATATATTTTTAAAGTTTTTCATTTTTCACTTTTTAAAATTTATTTTCCTTTCAATGTTAAACTATTTAATAATTAATAAATATCTATTGTGCAAAATAGTCAAAAAAAAAAATAAATAAAAACACCCGTTATTTTATTAATAGTTACTTTTACTTTATTACTATTTTATTAATTGTGTATTAAATGTTTGTTTTATAGCAGTCAATATTATATACGGTAATGAGTTTTTACCACTTTGTTGACCAATACTGTAGTTATAATTATTTTTTGTTCACTATTTGAAACATAGAGTAGTTTTAAATCTTTAAGAAAAATGAAGTAAAAATACAACACATTTATGATTTGTAATCATATACTACAGTATATTATACGGTATATTCTATATATAATCTATAGTCTATAATATTATAGACTATATATTAGCGTTAATATACCTGTATTATGATTAAAGTAAAGGGTCTAATAATTACAGGTAATATTAAATATAATTAATTATTATATTATACTATTGAATGATTCATAAGCATAATATCACAATAGATGGCACAATATTAGTTTGAAAACTAGTGTTGTATTCATACAAGATTTATATTATATTAATAATACATTATAAATTATAATATTTAATTAAACCAATTATGATGTTAAATAAGTTATATCTAATTAAATTAAAATTGCATTTAATTAATATATAATTAAATAACAATAACTACTAAAAAGTTGTATTGATTTGTTGATGATTACAACACTAGTTATTTGTATATCATTTATATAACATTACGAAATGATGACTCAGTTTAGTATAAATTTGTAATAAAAATAATATGAATTGAAATGAATGGCAATTAAAATGCAATTGAAATGCAATAACAATGTTATGAATGAATGAATGTCTGAGAAATGTTTTCTTTGGCCGACATCTGTAACGCTATTGTCATCACTTTAATTGGTCTCTCAATTGGTTTAACATTAAATCAATGCATAGATTCGGATGATACCTATGAAGCAATAATTGATCACCAATTGGACAACTCGTTAGACAATTACTATCCATTGATCCATAAGTGCAGACATAAAGCAAATGATAAGTTAGTTTAGAAGTGAATTGTTTATTGATTTTATTGATTGATTTGACAAAACAATGCATTTGTTGATGATTTTAGAGACCTGTTAATTGTTAGTACATTAGATGGAAAGCTGTCAGCTGTTGATGTGTCGACTGGACATCTCGTTTGGTCCAAACAACTATCATCGCAACCGTTGTTTTCATCGACAATAAGTGGTTTTGAAATAACTAAAAGAGGACGTGTTGTACGAGTTGTACCATCACTTGATGGCAATTTGTATCTATTTAATGGTAAAACAATTGATGGCTTACCATTAAATGCAGACACACTGCTTAAAAGCTCTTATAAATTGGGCGATGATTTGGTCATAACTGGGGGTCAAGAAAGCCAACTCTCGGGTATTGATATATCTACGGGTCGTGTCTATTATGAATGCGGTATCAATGGTTGTCCTGAGGCACAGCTCAATGAAAATGAAACATTTGATGATTTAGTTTTACTTAAAAGGATTACACAAACAGTTCGAGCAATTGATCCGAAAACTGGACGACAAAAATGGTATTTCACTGTAAGTGAACCACAATTGTCTAAATACGATATCAATGAATGTGATTATGAAAGTGATTTAAGTACCAGTAGTTATGAATCAAACGTATACTCAACTGATAATTATTCACAAACTAGTGATCAAACACGTAAAGAGACTAAATTTAAAGTAATAGTTCCCAATGGCTTTATATCTGCTCATATTCATAGTGAAGACAATATTGTTAAAGAAACCAATTGGTCGCATCGTTTTGATTCACCAATAGTTTATGTTTGGCACTATCGTAATGGTCAGCTAAATGTATTTAATTTGTTTGATAAACAAAAATTGTATGGTTTAAGCGATAACTTTGACAACAAGTTATATGAGCCTTCAGTTTATATCGGTCTTTATCGAAGTCAATGGTATATTCAATTGGCCAATAAAATTAAAACTAAAATTTCTGGTAAAATGGCTTCAAATGATTTATTAACTGCAGAAACTACAGAAAACAAAGACTCTACTTCTAATATATTGCAAATTGAATGGAAACCCGAAGCTGTTTTGGGCGATAAAAATCATTTAGAAAGTGATTCAAACTTAATATCAAAGCCTCCTTTTTCATTCTCTATATCATCTGATGATAATTCTAGAGCTGGTTATTATATATTTAGTGCCATAGAAGATATTGAGACTAAATGTCTTATTAATTCCAGTGAATCTAATAATTGGGATTCTGATGAATGTGATGATGAAAATGATGGTTTGATTCAACAGATAGTAATCGCATCTCTTTGGTATTATTGGCGAGAAGTAACTGCTATTTCTGTTGTCTCAGCATTTCTTCTTAATATTATTTTTTCATTTCTTAAACGCAAATTTAAGAAAAATATAAAACTATTAGAAAATGAAATTTCTGAATATTGTGCCAAAAATGATAAGTCGAGCGCTAACACAACCCCAACAAACCTTTTATTTTCAGCGCCTTTTAATTCTTACAATTCATTAGAAAGTGGTTTTATTTCAAGATATGAATCTGATTTTGAAGAAATTAAAAGACTTGGAAAGGGAGGCTTTGGTGTAGTATTTGAGGCAAAACACTTGATAGATGAAAGTCATTACGCCGTCAAACGTATATATCTTCCCATTCGTAAAGAACAGAGAGAAAAAGTGATGCGAGAAGTGAGAGCATTGTCTAAATTAGATCACACGGGGATTGTTAGGTACTATAATGCTTGGGTTGAGTTACCACCTCATGGTTGGAAACAAAGTCAAGACAAACCAGATCTAAGCGATGATTATTTGTCAACTAATGATTTGCGTATTAAAGACAAACAAATTGTTAACAAATCTATTGCTAGTGATAAGTCATCATTTCATTTACAAAATAACGAAACTACTTATGAAAGTAGTCTTACTTATGATAAATCTGATGCTATTATAACACAAACGCAAAGCAATCAATCGATTGACATTGTTTTCGATGAAAATGTTTCATCAATTAAATTAATAAACACTAATATTCAACAAACTATAAGTAAATCAAAACAAGAGACTACTTACAAGTCAGACAATAACTTAAGTAACTCTCACTTAAAAGATAGAGAAGCCAACAAAAGTGCTAACCGTCCCAATACTATAAGTCCCCGGTGTTATCTATACATTCAAATGCAATTGTGTAGGAAAGACACACTGAAAGACTGGTTGTTAAATAATTCAATTAATCGCAACTCTCATACAGTTTTAGATATTTTTGATCAGATTGTTAGTGCTGTCCATTACGTGCATTCAACGGGTTTAATGCATCGCGATCTCAAAGTATGATATCATAACAATTATATCAATAATTATTAACAATTTTTCAATTAAACATTAATGACAATATTAATCTATTGATACTTTATATTGATATAGCCATCAAATATTTTTTTTTCAATGGATGGTAATATAAAAATTGGTGATTTTGGTTTAGTCACGGCTACTGCTGCTGACGAGGAGATACACACTCCAGATGTTAGCTCAGATGACAGCAATTGTTTTATTTTGAACCGAAGCTCCAGTTCACACACTAATTGTGTTGGAACTCAACTATATATGAGTCCGGAACAGGTATGGTATTAATCATTTAAATTACAGTAGTTTACAGTAATTTTATTAATGAATTAATATTTTACTTATAGATACGTAATCAGCCGTACAGTCATAAAGTGGACATCTTTTCGATGGGAATCATATTATTTGAACTATTAGTTCCATTTAATACTGAAATGGAAAGAACTATTACCTTAAATAACGCGAGAAAACAAATCTTTCCAAAAGATTTTATTCAGAAATATAAATCAGAGGTTTGTGTCAAATAAATTGTATTAAATGTACTATTTTTCAATGTATTGAATCAATTTTGTAATTTTATAAATAGTGTAATCTTTTAACTAAACTCTTGGATCACAATCCAGACGAAAGACCCTCAACGGCTGAGATTAAAGAACATGAAATTCTTGATAATTTTCAGTCAAACGGTCCGATTGTTAGACAGCGAACCCGAACCATATCTCTTAATAATGGCGACCATTTATAACCTCACATTTGATTTTGTTTTCAATAAATGTCACAAATATCTAAATAATACCTTAAATAATGCTTTAATTAACATTTTTATGAAGCAATTATTAATATTAATATTTTTTAATATTTTGTTGTAAGTAAAAATTATTTGTAAATTTTTTTAAGTTAAACTAAATAATATTAAATCCATAAAAATTTGTATATATTTATAAATTTTACTATATATGGTATTTCAAAGCAACAAATTATTCTGTTGTTTCAAACAATACAATTCAAATGAAATTCATATAAATATAAGCACAAAATCATTTACAAACAAACAAAAAAATAATACATTTTATTATACGATTGCTTTTATACTATTTATTATATGATGAAACAATCGTATAATAAAATGTATTAATTTTTTGTTTGTTTGTAAATGATTTTGTGCTTATATTAATATAATAGACAGCATTGCATTCAAAACTAAAGACTATTTTAAGTGATGGATAACTACTGTATTTAATGTACACTACAATAGAGAGAACAGAAATATATTGAAAAGATAGACAAAAGTACCGGTAATTGATATCTTTGATGATAATATGATACACAACATAATGATCGTTATAGTTATCATACAATAGATGATTAAAGTAATTAATATTTTTATAAATGAATTATATTATTATTAAATACAATTAAATTTACACATATCTATACCGTATGTTAATTTTGTACAAATTAAAATACTGTATAATAATTATATTGAAACAATACTAAGTTAGTTAAACCAGTTGTTTATTGCTATATTTATTTGGATTTAAAGTTCAAATACTTTCATCATAGAAATTATACATAAAAATAATTATAATAATATAGATTAATAATAATACGGATTAATTAACACATCAATTGACATAATTTTTGAAAAATCAGAAAATAATGATTTATAAAACAAATGATTACAAAGTATTAAAAGTCGTCAGCAATGGACTCGACGTGAGAGGAAAGTCCTCTTTCGTGAAGTGCTTTGAGTCTGATTTTGTCTTTGTTTTGTTTTTCCTCGATTTGGTTTTGTTGTAATTCAAGTATCTCTTCGACGGCCACTTTTACCAAATCTGGTGTTTCTTTTTTGGTGTCCTTTAAAAAAATGATTAAAGCAATCATTTATTAAAACAACAACAACAGTGTCACCAAAGATGACCTACAATTTCTCCGCAGAGAACCATATTCTCTCCCCTAATCAAGAATATCCCGCGAGGAATGTCTCCATATTTGTTGTCCACATATATTCGTTCAATGGTTTGGTGAAGAACTAGATTTGCTGTCATTTTAATTAAAAAGCAGATAATATATGAAATCAGAAAAATAAATAAATGTTGTGATAATTACCGAACTGATCGATACTTCTTAAGTAACCAATGAGTGTCCGTCCGTCGCGCAACAGAACCATCAACTTCTCTGTCAAACCAAACAAATGAAATATAATGAGACAATCAATTAAATGTATGACATCTTTGGTCATTACTGTCCAGTTCTTCGAGTAAACTGGTATTTCCCGGAAAGTTATTCATTACTGATATAATATTTAGCGACAAATCAAATGAAGGATCAGATGAAGAGATGCAATAATTTGGTCATATGTTTGACACGTGACTCAACACTACTCTAATGTATGTATTGTTGTGTTTGTTATCAATAATTGTATTGACTTTCAGTCTCTGTGTTTGACTCATACACTAATCGACGCAATCATTCATTCAATTAATTAATTTGTTATTTGTTTGACATTTAAAATGAATTCAATATTAAAATATGTAATCAAATGATTGATTGAAAACAATTGACACAAAAATCTAATGAAAATTATTTTTTATAACATTATTAGTCTCTTAGAGGCCTTCAAACAGTTGGCTTGACATCAACGGTATGTCGACAGCGATGTCTTCATACAACACGACCAGCACTGCAGGCATTTGTGTCCCGACCGGCGCCGGCATTCAAGGGAACGGCAGTCGTGGCCAAAGACTTCAAACAAATCCAATTAAGTGATTACAGCGGCAAATATCTGGTTGTCTTCTTCTATCCGCTGGATTTGTATGACTATAACTAATCAATACATCTTCATTAGTGATGATTATATATCATAATTGTTTGTCTTATTTATACCAAATCTACAGCACATTTGTCTGTCCGACAGAAATCATAGCATTCAGTGATCGGATCAATGAATTCAAAGCAATCAATACAGAAGTGGTGGCCGTTTCGGTTGATTCGCATTTCTCGCACTTGGCTTGGATTCAAACTCCTCGCAAAGTATGAATTATTTGATTATAATATTTATCTGATTATAATAATTATTTGCAAACAGAAAGGAGGCATTGAAGGCATTAATATTCCCGTTTTATCAGATCTATCGAAACAAATCTCAAAAGATTACGGAGTTTTGATTGAGGAATCAGGTCTTGCATTGCGTGGTCTCTTCATTATTGATCCCAAAGGCATTCTCAGACAAATTACAATCAATGACTTACCAATTGGTCGATCAGTTGACGAGACTCTGAGGTTTGTTTTAAATTGAATTTGTTTTAAAGTTATTGTAATATCGATAATAATAATAATAATAATATTTATAGGCTTATAAAAGCATTTCAATTTTATGAGAAACACGGAGAAGGTATGAATTTATTCATTTAAACAAATTTGTTTAATATTTATTGTTAACCTAACAGTATGTCCCGCCAATTGGAAACCCGACTCTCCAACTATTGACCCGAAAAACGCCGACAAATATTTTGAGGCAAACAACTAAGTCTTATATTGATTTGTAGAAAATTATTTCATTACTGATTATGTAAAATATTAGAAAATGTTTGCAAAAATTTGATTTTTTAAAATCATCGAATCTATGATAAAATAAAGCAATATTTTAGAAATAGTTTATTTGTGTTTTTATCGACCTGTATATTAAAATTTATATATACTATACTATATACGTCTTTAAATACAAAATAATGACTATTAATATATAAGAATTACAAAGATATTAATATTTATATAAAAGTATATACATTAAGATTGGTGTTTGAAATACAATCTTCAAAGTTATTAATATTAAAACAATTCAATGAAAACACTCCTCTTTTTAAAATTCAAAATAAGTGATTCAACTCTTCAATCAAATTTGAGCTCTAATTATATCAATTTATAAAGAATTTCATAACAAAACAAAACCAAACATTGTTTAAGACTCTTGACGATTGCCATTATTGGCCATTTCATTAACCGCAGCAACAATGGGAACAGCCTTAGACTTGGCCACAGCAGCGAACTCATGTGCTTTGAGTGCTTTTTCTTTTAGTTTTTCTTTGAGAAGCGGATGGATTTGGTTTAATCTATTGTCAAAAGTGGGAACTAATTGGTCGGCATTGAGATTGCCGTACAAAGTGTTCAAAACGAAGTTAAATCCCTGACATGTTTTCGATACATTTTTCTTGAATCTCTCCAAACCAAACCTTTGGACCGCAGCGGACAAACCGAAAACATTTGAGTCAATCCAAGCCTTACGTTCAGCAACTGTCCACTCTTTGTCGTCATCACTACTTTTATAGGTAACCTTTTCCTCGAGAGTCATCAAATGTTTGAGTCCTATATTACGTGTATAAGTGGTCAGTGTTTTGCATTTGGGGTCCAAAATGGACTCTTCAATAATGAACACCAATTTGGAGGACAAGAATCTTTCCGTCCATTTGGGCGCTGAATTGGTTTTACTTATTAGTCTTTTGGTCAATAGTTTGCCGCTTTCATCAACCTTTCGTTGGACTACATCTTCAGTCAATACATGAGAACTAATAACAAATGTATTTTTAAATCAATGGATCAGATGTTTGTTTGTTTGTTAGCAAACCTGAAAGGGTTAGGATATCGACACCAGAAAGCTTTGGACACCTGTTCCCAGTTGTATCTGAATGTATGTGAAGTCTCGTAGTAACGCATTGTTACCAATCAATCAAACATCTGATCCATTGATTACTTCAATGATTAGACTAACAAAATGTCTTCAAAATGAATACTTTGAACCAAATGTTAGACCAAAACAATGTCTAACTTTACACCACTTATTCATCACTAATAACGTTATCATTAATAATAAGAAATGGATTAATAATTTTGTATTACATTTTAATTAACTTTATTTTTAGGGGATTAGTATTATATGTTTTATAGTAATGTTGTTAATGAATGACTCATTTGATATTATTTAACTGATAATAAACACATTTTTATTAAGAGTAGAGTTAAGTACTATTTATTGGAAACATTGAAACACTTTTGTAATACTCTATTAAATTACATAACTGTTTGAAAATAGCATTCAATTGAAATCAATTGATTCATTGATTTGAATATCGATTTAATTAACAAACAATTATTGTATTGATTGTCAATAATGTCTACCAATAGTGTCATTGATATTACAAGTAGTGAACAATTGAATAAAATATTAGTCGGGTATTGATTGACATATTATTATGAAATATAAATTATAATTAAATTAATAAAAATTGTTAACTCTTTAGATCGGATGTATTGGTCATTCATTTTATGTCAGATGGCGTCCAACAATGTCTTCAAGTCAATGATGTCTTGAGTGAAATGTCTAAAAGCAAAGATTACAAGAATGTTATATTTGGCAAAGTATTGCATTTTATTGTGACAAATGTTGAACCAATAGATTATAATGAATAGGTTTTATGATAATTAGGTTTTGGCTACTGATATGTCGGACATATCGGTGAAGTTTAATGTGTCATCAGTGCCGACGTGTCTTTGCTTTGTCAAAGGCAAAGAAGTTTCGCGAATTAATGGCGCAGACGTCCAAAAGCTAAGCACTCAAATCAAACAATTAGCCGCTGATTCAAATGGTGATAATACGACCACTTCAGACAATATTGAAGATCGACTCAAAGTGTTGGTCAATAAGTCACCGGTTATGGTGTTTATGAAAGGATCTCCTGATGCTCCGCGATGTGGATTTAGTAGGACTTTGATCTCAATTCTCAATGAAGTTAACATCAAATACAATACATTTGACATATTAATGGATGAAGAGGTTCGCCAATCATTGAAAGTGTACTCTAATTGGCCGACATATCCACAGATCTACGTCAAGGGACAGCTTATTGGAGGTCTCGATATAATTAAGGTATTAATATAACAATTAATTAATTCAATTATAAGAAAGTTTAGTTTAAATTTATATTTAGTAATAATTTATAATTTTATCGTTTAAAGGAATTGAAAGAATTGGGAGAATTGGAACAAACACTTAATGGATAATTTGTTTGTGCAGTAAATGTTATTTCTTTAATAATTATTTAGTTATTACAATACAATAGTTTTTTTACTATTATTATAAAATTTATTTTACACTTTTAAAAAACAATTGGTGTTTAAAATATGTCAAAATTGTGTTTATCGTAAATTCATATCATATATATATATATATTAAAATAAACTCAAAATAAATTCATTTATTATTTGGTCAAACTTAATGACTACAATCAGTGGTAAACTCTTAATTGGACTGTTGTTGAGTTGATTGACTACGAGTTATAGATACCGTACACAAGGGACAGGTGTCTTGAAAACAGAGCCATTTTCGGAGACATATTCGATGAAAATAATGATTACAATTAGTGATAATTGATGAGTTAGGGACAGTCATATCAGTGAAACATATGGCACAGACATCATTGTGTTGTTTTAATTGATTAGTTGTAGCGAATGAAAGGGAAGATGTTTTCAGTAATGCTTTCCTTCGCCGAACATAACTACTAACTCCAGTGTTAAGTCTTTGCCAAACATTAAAATAGCAGTGAATTATAAGAATTATTGCATTTGTTAGACTCCATTGTCCTGTAATTCCTTCCCAAACACCCACCACTACCACACTTGTGGCCACAAAAAATTCAATTATCTTTGTAAAAGATCGCACGTAATATACGGCTTCATCTAATGATTCCATCGGTTCAGATCTTAAAGAATCGTACCATAAAATGCAGTGAACTATTAAGAGATCTGCTACTTGTGCTGATGTGAGGATACTTGTGGAGAGAACCACTGCCATCCAGAAGTCAATCGGAAATATTTGCGACAAAACATAAGTTACATGAAGTGGAAACAAGAATAAGAAGGCACACAAAATCAACACTTTTATGTGATGTATAGCATTCTTGCCGTGATATGCACTCAATGACAATATTACCGGTTCTGCCATTTCCAGCATTGACTGCAAAAGACTTGATAGGACTACAAATAAGATGATTGTGAGGACAGCCATTCTTGCTGGTTGTTTCATATCAGTAATGCCAGTCAATAAAGCTAACAGCAATGTAGTCATGCCTTCCTCCCATCCGCTGTGTTTATTGTGAATATTGGGTGCATTGGTCAGTGAATGAACACTATTGCCCCATAAGTAGTATTTCATTGCAGATAATAAAAAATAAGACATATATGTGACGGCAACTGCAGTTGAGAACAATGAGACCGGACTTATACAGACAGCACTCGCAGCACTTAATACAGACACAAACCAGTCTTTTTGTGGATCATTGATGGTCTCAAAAAGTCTCATAAAAAAAGCGATGGACCAAAATAGAAAAAAATGTGTCGGAACAAAGATCTTGTGGCAAACATTGACTATCAATGATGTTAAGCCTTCAATTTCCATATTAACTAACAAATGGTTGATCCAATCTTTCACTTCACTTAACACTTTAGGCATCCAATTGTATAAATGAAAAACCAAAGTGATTACAACTACTGCTGAACTAAACTTATGGATCACCTAAAGGTAAAAGTAATCAAATGATATGAAATGTCAATTTTAATCAATCGTATGGTTTTATAAAGAAATGCTATTTTATATAAATTAAATAATATTAAAACTGAAACAAACCTGAAGTGATTCGTTGGGAAAATCGAGAATTCGGGCAAAAACTGGCAAAGAATATGAGGCAAACACTGCAATCATTTCAAACAAATTGTTACAATTGTTATAACATTTAAAACTTTATAAAAGCAAAATAATAACAATAAATAAATTAACAAAACCTGGAACTAATGTCTTTTGTGGTCCTTGTAATATAATGGACACTATTATAGCAATGGCCACATGAATGGCTAACAATGATATCTGTTTAATGGCATTCATCTGTACCAGAGATAGAGCTAATGATTCAAAAAATGAGACACCATTTTGGACATCAATCATATGAACCAAATAATAGGATAACAAATGAGCTGTTATTAGGAGTGCACCGCAAACTATGTGGCAGTAAAGCAATCGGATTAATGACAGCGGAAGTAATAACAGAAGAAATCCATTGAGTAATGCTTTTGAAATGAAAGAAAAAAACAGATAATAATTGTAAGTTAACTCATAAGTATTGTCCAAAATTACCAATATTTGTGACAAATGATGTCCAGAATTGGTTCCAATCATTTGAATGCAAAATAAACTTGTGGTCATCACATCTCCACCAATACTCTATAATGAAGAGTCCGGGTGTCCGCAGAATCACTGCCACCGCTGTCTCCACTCGTTTGCCAAATGTTGGCCCCCAAGACATCACTGGATCTTTAATCTCATTTAATCAAATCGATAACAATTATATCAAAAATTCAATTAGTCATCAATTGATTTACAAATGTCATCACATCTTTCAATTGGTGATAATTAACCAAATGATGGCTTAAGACACCATTCAAACAGAGGTTTTGTCGGAATGACATTCAATGAGTTGTCACTTAAGAAGTCATTAATTATTGTTTACATTAATTTATATCTAATTGTAAAGTCATTACTAATCAGTGATTATAATAAATGTTACAACAATTACATCACARTATTGTTAACACAACTATAGCTTCAAAACAATTATTAATACTTTATTTAATTCAATGTTTTATTTATATTATATTAGAATCGTTACGTTATATATGAATACAATTTATTTACAATATATACGAAACACATGTGACTGTAATGTAAAGTACTTTAAATTTATTAACAATTTATGGTTTCATTTAACTCATGAGTTATTTGTCTTGAGCTACCAATAAGTGATGCAAAACGACGACGTAAGACATAAACTAATTGGTGATATCCATTGAATGTCTTGTAATAACAATTTTGTTATCAATTTTCAGGTGATTTGGAGTGTTCTCAACGGAACCTTCTGTTCACATAAAGTACAGTCAGTATTGCCATCGAGTCTTGAATTAATTGTATTGTAATTATGATTAAAAATATTTGTTATTGAATTTCAGGACAAAAACACAACACTTTTGTCGAAATGAATTCAATGTTAACGGTCTTTGCAGCCGAACTTCGTGTCCGTTGGCTAACAGTAACTACGCGACGGTTCGCGAAGAGAAAGGCGTTTGTTATTTGTTTATAAAGACCATCGAAAGGGCGGCATTTCCGGCAAAATTGTGGGAAAAAATTAAGTTATCGAAGAACTACGAGAAGAGTTTGGAACAAATCGATAAACATTTGATTTATTGGCCAAAACATATGAAACACAGATGTAAACAAAGATTGACTAAAATAACACAATATTTAATACGAATGAGACGTTTGGCGTTAAGGCGACAGAAGAAATTGGTTCCGATTCAGTCTAAAGTTGAACGAAGAGAACGCAGACGTGAAGTGAAGGCTTTATTGGCCGCCAAACTCGACAACGCCATCGAAAAAGAACTATTGGAAAGACTGAAAAAGGGAACGTATGGTGATATGTATAACTTTCCTCAAACAGCATTTGAAAAGGCACTCAAAGACGATGAAGAAGAGAGCGATAGAGAATCGGTTAAAGAAAAAGAATTGGAAGAAGAAATGGAAGTAAGCGATGACGACAACGAAGAAACTGTTGAATATGTGGCGGCAAATGATTTCGAAGAAAGCGATGAATCAGATATTGAAGATTACAATAAAGTTGATAAAAGCAGTGAAGAGTCATCAAGTGATGAGAGTGACAATCAATCGAAGAATCGTAAGAAGAAATCACAAAAGAAATCAATTAAGAGATCCAAAGTTGAGATGGAATTCGAAAGAGAGTTCGAAACAGCCGGTCCTTCGCGTATCAAATAATTATACATTTTTTGTATTTAATATCATATAAATCACATTATATTTTATTTTGATTTTTGAATAAAACTAATTTTTAATTATAAAATACAGTACTATTTATTAAAATACACATTAAATTAAAATAATTATTTATATATATATATATAAATACAATTTGAGCGCATATTATTGATTAATTTGTCTCAAAATAAATTTTTATAAAATCTAAATAAGTTTAAAATATACTAAAGAGGCACTTAAGATATTGTTTTAAGAAACTAAATATACTGTATGTATTTCAAAATATAAAACAATACTATTATCAAAACATAGAAAAATTAAATATATTATTAGTGTTTACATTTAAAATATTTGTTGATATTTGTAGTCAAAATATGTACGTATAGTTTCATTGTATAGATATACTGTATATGTTGTATTGCTATAGTTTTTGAATATGAAAATTGCTTAAATAAATAAATTTGGCAAATTATTACCGATAGTTAAACGGTTATAAAAAACAATTTATAAAATACATTATTTCGGTACATAAAATAATTTTTAAAATACTGAATAATTTTTTGTTTAGTATAGAAAATTATTATTTAAGTCATGCATTTTTTGTGTTACCGTAATGTAAGAGAAAGATAGTGATAGAAAAAAGCGTATTTAGAGGAATGTCACTCACGATAATAGTGTATATAATATTTGGTTAAGTATTAGTGTATATATAAGTTTAAAATAATAATTATTACATTAAACAGATTCGGCCGGACTCTGGAATTCACTCAACGCTTTGATGGGCGCAATGTTACGCTTCTGTGATCCGCGCCGTACTTTCGCCCGAACTTCTTCTGGCTTTTCCCTTCTGACCAATGGTTTCTTTTCTGGCGCTTTCATTCTCCAGACAACTATTGGTGACTATATTTTTAAAAAAAAGACATTCAAGTGATTGAGTCAATTGTTTGCAATCACAAATGTAAACAAAACTTACAATTGGTTGTCCACCTCTTGGATATTTAGTAGATGCAACATATGATGATTTGACAGTCAAGACAACTGAATTCATTAAGTTCTTCGCCGCCTGGATTAGTGATGTGGCGCTATCGAGCTGTTAACAAATATAATCTATTAATTTAAATTTCTTAATAAGTAATAAAATAATAAATATCTTACCCCCGAAACAATCAAATTTCCTGATATGTTTTGTACGTCAGCCTTGACTTTAGATGTAATATTCAATTGATGACAGTATAGAGTAATTCTTGCCAAATATGAAATTAAATCATTTTTGGTGGTAGACTCTGGACATTGATCCGCAATTTGTTTGGCAAATTTATCCAATTTGGATCCAAATTCAGATATCCTTTTGGCCGCATTGATGACATCCATAGTAGTTTTAAGTGGTCCCTTACCACGTGTAAAGTCAGTCATTTCCATCATAATCATACACATTTCCTTTGCAATCACTATAATATCATTTCCCGTATCATCCCATTTGGCCACTTCTCTATCAAACTTATTCTTCTCAGTTCTGAATGTCTCCACTTGTTCTGCAATTCTCTCCTTTTCTTCAGCTGAAATCAATCGATAAGCATCTCTTGTATTACTGATTCCAGTAATATCCGGATACTCATCAAAGTCCGTATGAATACTCGCTATAAATTTAAATTACGGTAAAAAACATTAAAATAAGAAATTAATATTTCGTATAAAACAATCAAATCCTTACATTTGCTTCGAGTCTCATACGTATTGTCTTCGTATTCTATTTCTGTTTCAGAATCAAGTTCTTCGACAGTTCTATTCAAAAGAACTGCGCGTCTGATCTCACGGACGCCATCGTAAACAAGACGCGAGGCATCAATGAACTCATTTTCATCGAGTTCTCCGCGTTGATCACTTGAAAGTGCGTCGACAGCTCGTTCAACACGTCCGGCAAAATTAGGCATAACTTGATCTCTTAAACACGTCACCGCTTCCAATACTCTTTCCGTATAATTTCCCGGTTCATAATTATCCATTTCAGCGGTCACTACATTACATACTCGTGCAGATCGACCTCGAATAGCACCGGCTGTTCTGTCAAGACTATCAGCGTCTGACACTTGTAGAGCGACCACACATTTTTGAACGTCTTCTAAGATATGATTCTCCGAAACGGCCAAAAAGTCATCTATGGTTGTGATGTCGTCAACTGCTTCGGTAAGTATGCGCACCTGATTATCCCAGGCCTCTCTGAATGCCTCCATGTTTTCGAGTGCAACCTTAGAACGCGGTCGCGCAGCCAAAATCCGAGCGGCGTTTATCACTTGTGGACAAAGACTATCGATTTGAAGAGCTGCGTAGCGAACCATTTTGACGCCATCTTCATTGGGAGACATACTACACGCTAGATTTGCCACTTCCACCAGTTTTGATGCGTGTTCTGTAAATACCTGAGCATATTCTTCTACTTCATTAACACTTCCTTTCTTTGCCGCTTCAATTAGCACCAGAAGAGGTACATTGGTTTCTAAGAATGAATCGGACACGTGATCTATAACTGCTTTTCTCAATTGTCTTCGCAAATCTCTAGTTTTGCGATTCATGTGATCAATAGCTTTGTCCAATCCTTCATCTGGTTCTCTACGGCCAGCATTTGCCATATACTCTGACAATAAGTCTTGTAGTGCCTGACGAACGGCATTACATTCGGCAACAATTCTCTCTCTTCGTTCATCTCTAGTACACGAAGAGTCAGCCATAAGTGCGGCGCCACTTATAATACTTTCAAGACGTTCTTCAAGTAGAGGTCGTGTTCTCATCTCGTTATATACCAACGGATCCATTAAAATACATTCATCAAAATCGTCAAGAGCTGCGGCAAGTTCTCCGGGGCCGTCGAAAGGAGGAACGCCTAAACCGTTATTGGACTCGAGTTTGCCCTGAGCCACATCACTGATTGCACTAACGGCTTCACAAACCTGTCTGAAAATAAAATCTCTGTTTTCTTTAGCCGCTGACAGTTCCGGATGTCTAACATATACTTTAGAAGCTGTCAATAACATCATACAATTCTTCTTAAGAATAGCTCGAGCGGCGGCCAAGTCGTCTCTAAGACGCGGATCTTTAAGTTCTGCTTGTCTTTTGGCCGCTTGACTAATAAGATCGGCTGTATTTTTACCAAAACTCTTGAATGATTCGACTAACTCTGAATGACTGGAAGCGCTCTTAACTTTGTCCAAATCATTTTCAACTATTTGTAATGATTTGAGAAGTCTATGAACATCAACCATATCAGCTAATATAAGAAGTCGAGTTACGGCTGACAATAAATTTCGGGCCGCTTTCACCATATTTCCTCTCTTTATTGAACTGCACGGGTCTTCAGCAAACTCTCGAGAAGATTTACCCATTGAATCACCAGCTTTTCGGACTTCATCGACGGCTAAAAGCATTTCGTCCTTAATATCGGGATTTTCAAGTGCTATCTCTTCTCCTTTTTGTATAAAGTTTTCGGTGGCCTTTTCCACAGCCGCTACCAATACATGAGCTCTTTTGGATCGACCCTTCTTTTTCTTGGACGGACCCTTCGTGTTGACCAAAGTAGTCACCTATAGTTCATTGGTAAGAGATGTACACAAAATAAATATCAATATCAAGATATACACAAAATAAAAATACATTTAAATCTTTTATTTTTTATGAGTTAAAACACATTTTCAACAAAATGTTTAAAAACCCGTAAAATGATAATCAAATAAATTTTTACTATCAATTATGTCACCAATACCTGCATCACCAGTGGTTCCAATGTCTTCTCTACAGATAATGTCCTGATTTCCAGATTTTTCGGATCCCATTTAATGGACATTTGACTGCCAAATGTGTGGTTATTATTATTATTATTATTAATTAAATTACTGCTATTATTGTTATTATTATTATTAATCAAAACACCATTTGAGGCCATTTTGACAGAAATTGGTTTAAAATTTATGAATAAATAAAATCAAATGTTATGTCAAACGTATGGTTACATCAATTCATTTGTTACTTAATTGAGTCAATCGGTAATCAATTATTGTTTACAAAACCCATTGACAAACAATTTAACGGAAGTTATGATTATTATTACATATAAACAGCAGTTATATTGAGGTATATATTGATGTTATTATTATAGCACTCATTCACTGCCAAATGTCGCCCACTATTATCATATATCAACAAATAGCACACTCTATGTACTATCTATACTGTACTTTATTTACACTCAATCAACGTATGAATCAGTACAGTATATATAGTATACGAGTCAACGTTGTATACATTGGATGCCAACGTAAATATTTAAAGCTAAAGTCTATGAGTCATTAACTGTAAGTACAGTACAGTATAGCATTGCCAACACAAAAATGTTAACAATGTATTGACAAATCAAACATATTATAGAATGTATTCTAAATTAAAAACATTGAAAATTGTTTTTAAATTTTATTTATTATTATAATAATAATGTTTTGACAACAAATTGTCTCATTAATCATCACAACAATCACAACAATCACAACAATCACAACATAACAGCCAATTGAATGACAATCAATACAATACCTTTGCTATTGACAACCCTTAAAAAGTATTGCAAAACTTTTAGTTAAATGTGTTATCAAATAATTGTTATACTATTCTATAAAATTGAGTTAACATTGAATTCAATTACAATATAATGTTTTTTTATTTTATTTTTTCATACGACTAATAATAATAAAAAAATATTTTACATTATTTTGCATTATATGAAAATAGTTTGCATATATCAGTAAATGTCTAATAGACTAAAAAAAACAATTTTTGATACTTTTATTGTTATCGCATTTAGCTAGTACAATTTATATATTTATTCCCCCATTTAATAGGTAAAGTATATTACTAATAATATAATAAGTATATTATAAATTAGTTTTAACTATTTTTAAAATAAATAAACGCAACATATTTTTTGATTGTATATTCAATTTTCAATTAAATTCAACATAATTTCAATTAAGTCAATAGTTTATTAATCAATTAATAATAATAATAATATTATTATTTAGACTATCGTACTATTATTATAGTACTAATGACAGAATCATTACAATAAATATTATGATTATATAATCGTTAGATAAATATTTTTAGTTAAAATCAAATTTGATAAATAAAATAAATAAATATAATTAGGTATTGAATCAAACAAACTTATATTTTTTGTTGATATTGCAAAACTACATGAGCTAGACAATTTGAATAAATTGAGGAAATGTATTATTTTAATATAAAATTATTTAAAAACAATTGCATGTTGATATACAGGGTATTTTATTATATTAAATATTGAAATTTTATTTTTTTAATAAACTAGGTTATATTACTCGAAAACTATTTAATATAATTAAAAATGCTAAAAACATATCAAATTATTTCTAATTAAGTATAATTTAGATTCAACAGAATTGAAATCTCTTTTAGTTTTTGAGATATCATACCTCCCTGAGCTAGCATACCATTGCTAATATAAAATCAAAGTACTATAATCATTGTGTTTGTGACAAAAAACCATAGTTTTAAATAAAATATTTGTGTTTTATTCAAATTCATTTAGAAGTTATAACCAAAAAAAAACTATTGTCATATATTTTGAAAGTGATTTTATATTGTTTAATATTAAAACATATGCTAAAACATTAAACTAATCATAAAAATAAACTAAAATATAAAACTTAATAATCAAAATATTAACCATTAATATACAATATATACAATTAATTACACAATTTATTTGTTATCATAGTATTGGTTGACTGAAAACCACTCGTCCTTTAAGACATCCCGAAGCTATTTGGCAATGCGTTGGACAGAATTTAGTGGTAACAACATAGTCGGGATGAGATAAATTGGTTTTCAGTTTACATAACAATTTTGGTTCATTTGATACACAATCAGACATTTCAGAGCACTTATCATCAAAAGTGAGAAGTCTGTACCCGAAGTGATAGGGAGAACATATGACACGTCCGTCACTACTGAAACACAACTCTTTAATAAATCCATGACTTTGATTGAGTTCTTCAATATAATACTTAAGTCGAGGAATATTTTCGTAAACATAACCATTATTTTTGGATACATGTCTTGATTGATGAACAACTGTAGTGTGTGGTTGTGTGGAACCAATTTGATTGCTGATTACAATTATAGAGCTATCAGATAATTGAGAGTCTCTTAATACTTCATCAAATGAGTCGAGTTGTGATTCTTGTGATATTTGCGACTCGTTATCATTTGAAAGCTTTTTGATTGGTTTCATATGAGATGGTTTGATACTGTCATCGATGTCATGAACACATGTCCACTCAGAAGTGTCGTCTTCAGTTGTATTTCTTGATAATACAGACCAACCGAATGGATGAACATTTAAAGTAGTTATGTATCCGTTTTTGTCTTCACTCGGAAAATCAGAGATCAGTTCAACTCTATTTCTTTTGGCAGCAAACAAATGGTTAATCCACGAACCAATATCTATACCATAATTACAATTATCTTGCATTAATCGATATAATTCTGGCATAAAATCTTCCAAATCATCGGATAATTTATTAATGTCTAAGTCATGAATAACAAGAAGATATCCATCGGCTGTCGATATAATCATTTTGTTTGAGTCCGGAGTCAATACCATTCGTAACATATTTTTAATTTGAAGAACTTTTTGTGGGCTAACACAAGAACTATTGATATCCCATCGGAGGACAGTCTGGTCATAAGCGGCCGATAATAGTACGCCATTATTAGAGTCATAATCAACACTTTTCACCCAATTTTTGTGGCCAATCAATGACTTAACCTTTTTGTCACATTTTCTGAGATCCCAAATCCCAAGACTGCAGTCATCAGAACAGGTGACGAAAGTTCGCGAATCCAAGAATTTTATTAAATTAACACAAGATTTATGTGCTTTTGGTATCTCTTGTAACAACTTATGACTCTTTGCGCAGAAAATCAAAATCTTTTTGTTTTCTGTGGCCGCCAATAGAGATGACCTAATCGTCAAAAACAATAATATCTTATATTATACTTATTTAATGTTATATTAATAATTATTTATATGTTTAATACCCATCGGGACTATACTCGACATTGAATATTGAACCGGTATATGAACTGCATGTCTGTCCTCTATCTATATGATTGTCCCAAATATACTCTTTACGAGTGGACATTGATTTATATAAATTATAAGACAATTCATTTCTGAGACCCAAATCTACTTTCTCTCCAAACAATTGTCGATTGTTATGAAATAATGGCCAAAATATGCCGACATTTGGTTTAGCCATTGATTCATATTATGAACAAAACTTGTCTTAATTAATGATTTAATAAAGTCATCAATTAATTGATTGATTTATTTAAAGTGATTGCTATTTAAATGTTGTTTACAGACAAACAACACAAACACGTGATAAATATGCAGACAATGGGAGGAGTTATGCGTTAGTAATGAAAATATTATGATATTTGCGATAAAATATTAAGTCTATTAAAGTCTAAACTAAAAGTATTTATTATTTACAACAACTGTTGTCCAAAGTTTGTATTAAATGATTGCTATTATCATTGACTTAACAATTATTATCATTAAAATCAAGATCTGAACCCAAATTTACTCTAATTTTTTCACAAACACTACTTCTTGTAATATTTGAAGAAACAATTTCTTAATAAATTATTTCAATAATGTTTTTGACCACAAATTGTTTTATATCATCGAAAGTATGTTTTTAATTGACATTTGATTTTGAATTTTTGTTTAACATTTGATTGTTTTTTGTGACAGACTTTGGTTAATGTTTTACTGCGAAACAGTGGTCGCAATATCACCGCTGGAATCAATGGTCACAAGAGATGGACACTAAATACTCTAAATAATGTAAGACATTTGTCAACTGTCCCATTGACTCAGTTATCTGAAGAAGAATTGGCAATGAAAGACATTGTTAAGAGATTGTCTGTCGAAAAGATCCAACCGTTGGTCAAACAGATGGACGAACAGTCAATGCTCGACAAGAGTGTCATTACAGCGCTCTTTGAAAATGGGGTATCAATTAATCTAAGATATAATTATGATGTACTTAGAAGTGATAATAGTTTAGTTTGTATTGTTAATATGATAGTTAATGGGAGTAGACATTGATCCCAAATATGGTGGCACCGGATCGTCATTTTTTACAGCTATGCTTGTGATTGAAGAATTAGCAAAAGTTGATCCATCGGTCAGTGTTTTTTGTGACGTTCAAAACACTTTAGTGTCGCAAACCTTTCATCGATTCTCTTCTGAAGAACAAAAGGCTAAGTATTTACCACGGATTGCAAACGACACCGTATGTTATAATTGATATAAACTTATAAGTGATTTGTATTTAATTTAATTAATGTTGATTAATAGGTCGGATGCTTTTGTCTGTCAGAACCAGATTCAGGTTCGGATGCATTTGCTATGAAAACAACAGCTGTAAAGCAAGGGGACAGTTGGGTAATAAACGGAACCAAGTGTTGGATCACGAATGCAGAACACGCCGGCATATTTTTAGTCTACGCTAATGTTAATCCAGCGGCCGGTTATAAGGGCATCACTTGTTTTGTTGTCGATGGCGGAACTCCCGGTCTTTCAGTTTCCAAACACGAAGACAAATTGGGTATCAGAGCTTCGAGTACATGTCCTGTCATTTTTGATAATGTTAAGGTTAGCCTTTCAAATAGATCTATTTTCAACAATATCAATTTATTTTAATAAATTTTGTTAGGTTCCAGAGTCTCATGTTATTGGACAGGTAGGACAGGGATATAAATACGCTATAAGCACCTTAAATGAGGGTCGTATTGGTATTGGAGCACAAATGTTAGGTTTAGCTGAAGGCTGTTTTGAGCACTCGGTTAGGTATACATTAGAGAGAAAGCAATTCGGACAACGAATTTTTGACTTTCAGGTAATTWTTGTTAATAACCGGTAGATTAAAAAATATGACAATTAACTAATATTTAGGGAATGCAACACCAAATTTCACACATAAACGCCGAGATTGAAGCCGCAAAACTGTTGGTTTACAACGCGGCCCGACTTCGAGACGCTAAGAAACCGTTCATTAAAGAAGCGGCGATCGCTAAATATTATGCCTCTGAAGTGGCCGCTCATACAACCACTAAGTGTGTCGAATGGTTGGGTGGAGTTGGCTTTACCCGCGATTTTCCCGTTGAAAAATACTATCGAGACTGTAAAATAGGTGCCATATATGAAGGAACTTCTAATATACAGCTCAATACTATAGCTAAACATATTGCTGAAGAATTTAGTTAAACATATTATATATTTTTAAATTGATTTTTTATACTCAAAACTATAGAGAAATCTCCTATTTTTATAATTGATTTTTAATGGCATTTAAATAAAATTATGAATTTTTGATACTGTAAATTATATTGTGGTAAAGTTGAAAAAGAAACGGTTCAAACATTTAAAGTAAAAATATTTAAAATATACAGTAAATGTTAAAATTAATTTTAAGTCCGAGTATTATAAATAGGAAAAAACAATAAAAATACAAATCCTAAAAAATAAATCAAATTCTTGTATATAAAATTTATGATAAAAGTAATGAGAAATGCATTTTCTAGAAATTTTAGGATGAAATGAGAGGACAATTAAATTTTTAATTAAGTTCTCGATTTTTGTTATGTATACAATAGTGAATATAATTTTTTTCTATGAATCACATGTATTATGGATCTATTATATAAGCTCATGTAAATGTAATATCTCTAATATCACAGAAACTATTAAAAATACATGTATATTGGATAAAAATTATTAGATTAATGTTTCTTTATTTTTCTAAAATTATATACAATATTATTAGTAATACTATTTTATTATAATAGATTTTTTATATATATTTAGTCATTAACAATTATCGTAATTATAAATTTACATTAAAAATACTGTATAATTATGCAAATTAGTTTATTGTTAACTTTAATATTAGTGCTAATTAATTTACATTTTTATTATAAGTTTTTAAATATTTTTTTTATGAAATTAAAATAATTTTTATCTATTGATGTTATGATTTTGATATACAGTGTTTTTATATGTGTCATACATTATAAGTTTTTAAATAGTTTTTTTTAATAAAAAATATAATTTATTTTTAAACAGTCAGTATTAATAGTGATTCACTGTAACGTTAATAAAATTTAAAATTGAATTTTTAAAATTTTCTTATAATTAACTTATTAATTTATGAAAATAAATCAATTGTGTCATATTGTAGGTTAATTTAGTTTTTATCTAATTTAATTGATATAATAAAAATAAAATAAAATTACCTAACATTTGTCGAGTCGTTTTGTTTATCAATATATTTTTGGTTTGGCTTTAATTACTTATAAGCAATTTTATTGTAAATAACATATTTATAATTAAGTTATTACTTTATTTTATAACATTTTAAACACTAATCTGAAGTATTATTTTAATTTTAAGGATGAAAACAAACAATTTTAAATTGTTATTAATTTTAATTAAGTTTAAATTGTCATCAAAACTAAAATTTTACTATTTAAAAAATTTGTATTTAATAATTAGCATGAACTATATAAAAAAATGTATAAATAAACTTTTAACTTAATATTTAACAATAAGTAAAATAATAGCTACGATTATACACATAATGTCAAATAAATTACTAAATATTGTATAACACTTTTATAAACAAATATATCTTAATATTAAATTAAGTAAAAGTTATGTAATACTGTTCATACCTTTATATGCAAAGAGATATCATTGTATGCCTTTGTTTTACAAACTTTAGAGACTTTGATCTTCAATAAAAGTATAATTGGTTTTTTATAAATAAAAAATAATAAAATTAGATTTTATATAAAGTATTTTATTTGATAATAACAACAATAACTTAAATCTTAGTATACGGTATTTTAGTATTTTATATATATTTTTTGCCAAAAACAACATACAAAGAGTATTGAAATTTTACGATAGTTTTGTATTGGTTTAAATAAATATCTATTGATTTGACAACACACTAAATATACTGTAAATTACAAAATTGTATAAATTTATATCTATATACAGTACAGTCTATCAGTAGATTGTTAAATATAATGCAATAACACATACATTAGTGTTAAAGTAATTTTTCGATTATACATTTTATAAAGAATTTGGACAAACAATTTTCAATTTAACTAAACATTATATGCACTATAAATATGAGTTTAGTTGAAAGTAATGTTCATTATATGAGTGTCACAATTGTTATAAATAAGTCTATAAAAGTAGTCATTGTATTCACTAAAGAGAATTGAGTTGAAAATAAAGACAAAGTTAAAACTATAAGAAGAAATACATTTATATTACATTATACGGCACCGGTATGTGTATGTACTGTATGTGTCAACATATTATTCTATATATTTGCCAACAAATGATGATAACTATCTATTGTGACTCTTATAGCGAGTTTGCAGACATTTATTACATGTTTCAATGATATTAGATTTGAAGGCATAGTCATTGAGTGCTTATGTGTCTGTGTTTGTCATTTTGCAAATAAATCTCAATATTTGCCACTAAAACACATGTTTGCGGATCGGGAGAGAATAGATAGGATAGACTGAAAAGATAGATGTAATGGGATTGCAAAGGAAAGGTATAGCGGGTGACAAATGGCTACAAGAAATAGGATCACATATACCGTTGAATCTTCACTTATGTGTAACTTATGTTCACTTCTGTTCATTTGTCGACAAAAACAAACTTTTCTCACAAACGTTGTGCCAATCGTTTACTTATATTTACCGTTTTTCTCTCTCTCTTTCTCTCTCTCTCTCTCTCTCTCCTTTTCTTACAATACCTATAATAATACAATGTGTTTAGCCATTGATTTGTTACAACAAAGTAATGTTTGCACACAAATCTATTGTTGCTATTGATTGCCGTACTCATCACACAATAGATCCAAAAATAAACTTTTATTCAATATTTATAGGTCAACATCGAGTTTGGTTTGTTTGCTGAGACTCGATAGTCCATTACAACCACTGACCAGTCATTATATTAAAAAACATTTGTCGCATAAAATAGGTATTTGCTTTCAAATTAAATTTCAATATTCTAGTGCTGGACGACCACCTTCTGAGTGGCTCTCAGTTTGTTTGACAATATAAATAAAAATTTTATTACTTGTATGACTAATAATGTATACGATATATAAATATGTTTATTCAAAAAAAAAAAATTACTCAACGAATATTTTTTACTTTACACATCACATTTAAAATAGGTATTCATATATAGATTACAATAGACTAAGTATTGATGGCTTCATTTTGGTCTCATATATAATAAAAGCATAAAGTTTAGTACTGTATAACTTAATGTTTAACTCATTTGTTGTGTGTGTGTGTGTGTGTGTGTGTGTGTGTGTGTGTGTGTGTGTGTGTGTGTGTGTGTGTGTGTGTGTGTGTGTGTGAGTGTGTGTGTGTGTGTGTGTGTGTGTGTGTGTGTGTGTGTGTGTGTGTGTGTGTGTGTGTGTGTGTGTGTGTGTGTGTGTGTGTGTGTGTGTGTGTGTGTGTGTGTGTGTGTGTGTGTGTGTGTGTGTGTGTGTGTGTGTGTGTGTGTGTGTGTGTGTGTGTGTGATGAGGATTCACGCTGTGTTTAAGTATAATATATAAATAATATATAATGCTTATAAACATTTTATTTTACATGAAAATATTGGTCTTTCATTATATTGCATGTTTAGTATATTAGAGTACTGTATATGTATGTAATACCACATATTTGTATGCATGGATCGACTTTATTGTTATGATTGAGAGGACATTGAATTAGGTAAAGATATGCACGTTTTGGCACATCTCTCACACATGTATTAGCACTGCATTAACACTCTCTTTCAATATCTCTATGAATATATAAATGAATTTCTCCATTGCTTTACCCTATTTTGTACGCGTGTTTGCATTAGACTATTGTAGGCATACATTGTGCCAAATATACCGTCTCTTACTTTAATGTTATTGAATTTGATTCAATACTTAATAGCATTGGTTTTAGATGTTTAGACATTTATTATAATAGCCGTCACTGCACTTCATTTATCTTTTTCCAAATCCATTAAAATTCAATCGATTTAACCAAATATTTAACTTTAAAATTATAACTTCTTTATATAAAGTTTTCAGTTTGTATAATATATTTCTACTGTAATTATTATACTTTTGTATATAAATATTAAGTATATTTTACTAATTGACAAAATTACATACCGTCATGTTAGCTTATAATAATTTAAACTTAGTTATATTATATCAGTCATGTACTTTATAATCATTTAATTGATATTTTAGATAACAATTTTTAAATGTTAATATAATATATAAATAGTTATCTAAATACAATGTGTTCATCTTTAGACTAAATTATCAATATTAGCTTATAATACTGTATGGTATTATACAATACAATACAAATACAAATAAAATTGTATTGTTTGTTATTATTATAGAGTATTATAGAGTATATAAATATATTTTGCAATCATATAATGTATATAAAATTATATCAGATGGTGGAGTTGCTTAAATGGTTAGTTTGATTGTTGGCATAACATTAATAGTTAACTCAATTCATTATATAAACATATTATTGCTGTTTGGATGTACACTATTAGAGAGTAATTTAATATTCTCATTGGATTTACATTGCATTTAATCAAAAGCTTTTTGATATTCAGTCTCTATTATCGTTATATGTATTAAATATTATTATATAAGTGAACATAAATACTGTATACAATATAATAGTATATTTATATACTAAGTTAAATAATAAAATGTTATCTCATACCTCCCGTCTCCCTGAAAGCAGAAAGCACCCTATTTTTGAATAAATGACAAATTTTACGAAACAGACTTACAGAGGAAAGAGAGAGAGAGAGAGAGAGAGAGAGAGAGAGAGAGAGAGAGAGAGCTTCTGTCAATCGAGAAGTGCATAGGTTTTCATTTAATATTTGATTAGTAAATGCAATATTTTAACCTATAAATGGACTTAATATAAGAAGATTTTAACTCAAGTATATCTCAAGAGAGTTACGGCATCACAACATTTGGTGATTCAAACAAATCACTAGAAAGCCATAAATGAAATCAAAAGATACTTTTATTTTTTACATTTAACTAATGATTAATGGTTTATGAAATTTGACGTCTTTTTAAAGTCAAGTACTGATATATAAAAGCCACCAAAACTTTATATACAGTTATAATAACTTAGTATATAAGCAGTTCACTACTTCTCAATCTTGACTTCCCTTATATTTTATATTATAAGTTAATGTAAAACGACTTT